TTTCAAAAAAAATCCGCAATTTTCTGGCATGGAATAACTTTTCCGCAATTAGGTATCTGGTTTTGGAATAGTTTATTTCCGGAAAAATATATTCTTATCGTCTGGAGATGAAGAAACAGAAAAATTACTATTTGTTGATATTTTATCACGAACTTCAATAACTTTAAACTCGATCAAAATGTAATTTGAGAGTTTAAAACAAATGATGATAGTTTTCAAATAAACTGATCAATAATTTTGATTTTTTATGATATATATAGTTGATGATTGACAGAAGATCCAACTGTGCTTTACCGTAACCTGAGACTAAAATATGAAATACAGGTTTTTATTTGTTAGACTAAAGAGTTCAAAACACTCTGAAGAGAATATCAAATTCAAACAAATTAAAAGCTGGACTTTTATTTAATAGATGTGAACTATGAAACTCGCTTGAAAGCGACTCACATTACAAAATATAAATAAAATATTTATGTGAAACTTGAAATCTAACGACATTTATTAATTAATTTCGATTGGTAACAGGAGGATCTGTAGGCCTGAAGCAAGCGCCTTCACTGACTTCATATGACCAAACGAATAACTTATTGAAGCTTTTTAATTAACGTTGTTGAAATTTACCATCACATTAGTTAAACAATATGATCGAGGGAGAAAAAATAACATTTATTAAGCGAAACGCCTCATGATTTTTTATTATTGAATTTCTATCCACTTCTTCGTTCATGATACACCTTCCAAAGCGAGTTTATCATGAAGTCGAAGTGTGTTGAAAACGAAACACGAAAAACTCTTGTTCATTGTATCGTGATTACGATTTCATTCGATACTAGATCGATTAAAGCGATGTTATATATCTTTCGCTGTGCAAAGATACACTTATGAAATATTAATTTATTTTCATAGTTTCCGGAGCGCCTTAAAGATGTTCAATTCTCTTCTTCTTCACATCTTTCTTATCGCTTCATATAAATCAGGTGTAAATCAAACATTCCATAGTGCACAACAAAACGTATTTACAAGGTAAAATCAGATATGAATTTAACAAATAAATATTTTTATTTATGTGTGTGGTATAAATAATGTTTTCAGGATATTTATATGTTAATAAGCATTATTGAAGCTTTTTAATAAGTGGAAATCAAGTTTGCATTAAATCAAGAAGAAAATAATTTACTGCTGGGAATGTTTGTAAAAATGTAAAATTCTGTTCTTGCGTTGCCTTACATTGCAGTATAATTAAATTTCCTCAACTGTTGTCATATATTTCCATCACTAGTCAATGACAATTTGAGCTTCTTTAAATATCAAACTTTACGATTTCTTAACTGATGTTACATTCATGCTACAAGACTTTGTCATTCATACATAATTACAACGAAATTATCATTTTCAAGTTCAAATAGACTAGCAACATCTTCAAATTTGCGTAACTGATATGTATAACAATGTTAAGACTTTGAAACAATAAAATCATGTGCAATTTACGAAACAATCTCAATTTAATCATTTCATGTTTCATAATCAATGAAGAAGGTTAAATTTCAAAGTTTTGTCAAGTTTTTCTTAAGTAAACTTTTTGATACTGATTTTGACTTCAATTCTAACTAATTTATGTAAAGAATTTTTGTTTGCTATTTTGTATCTTTTTTGTTTGTTCAAGTTTTCGAAGTTGTTTCCGTCGTTTTGTCTATTCCAACTTAACTCACCCTTATCATTATGATGAAGTTTCTCAAAAATTGTATTCATCATTTGTTGCAATGTCATCGTGATCATTGGCAAACATTCTTCTGCAAGAACGATCTTTACCTTCTGAATAAACAGTCGATTCAATGGATGGAGCTAGAACAATCAAAAGGAATCATAAATATTTCATGTTCCTACTTAATCCTTTCATTTCTGAAAGAGAAGAAGAAATATTCAAAGATGAAGAAATTGCTCGAAAACCTCCTGTTGGGTCATAAATATTATGACTCTTTTTGAAGGGACATGCAGTGGACATAAAAGGTTTGCTTAGGAGGGTTTCTTTTGGGTTGACCACATAATCATTAAGAAGCTAGAGAAACAAACTTCCAATTTTTAAGAGAATAAAGGACAAAAGAATTAAAAAGATTAAAAATCAGGTCAAAACGATTTGTCCATAGAATGCATATGAACAATAATTGGCTTAAGAATTTATCACAAGCTAACTAATCATATTTAATATTTTTAACTTCTCTCTTTGTTAAATCTTGATTAAAATCTTTCTTCACATTTAAAGAATTCTCAATAATTTTTAATGTTGGACTGAACAATTTTTGAAATAAATAAATTAAAATATTTCATGATTTAAAATTTACTCCAAATATCTTTCCAAAAATAATATTTTGCTGCTTTATGTAGATTCAAAAAATAACACGAAATTCACAGAATTGACTATTGACAAGGAAAGAAATGTTATGTTAGGATGACATTAAGGTACTTTCAGGTAATTATCTCAAACTTCCATCCGATCCGTTGTATTTCAAAATTTGCGAAAATATGTTTCAAGAATCATAAACATTTAAATTTGCAATATTTTCTGAATTGTCTTGAACTTACGTAATATTCTAAATGCTTCCATAAAATCATAAAATATTTAAGAGACAATTATCCGCCTTTTTTACCTACAAAGCCGCCAAAAATAAATTTCTCTCCCTTGAAGATCTTCACTGTTAAAAAAGCAGTTTCAACGTTTCAACATTCATAAAGTAGAGAAACATAATAAAATTAATGTTTGAAAATCCAAAAGGTGACAAAAAGAAATGATCGTAGCAGAAACTTGTACGCACATACACACACACACACACATTCTTTAACCTTCCATAAACATTTACGATGACGAAATATTCACTGGAATAGTGGAAAGAAATTTTCTACATTGCTCCGATTCGTTGAATCTGTTCCCCTTCTTTGGCACTTCTAATGCATTTAAATTTTAAATTGATAATTAAATACCTTGGAAATTATCTTAATAAAAGAATGAATGAAAACTTCTCATCATAACTTGTTGATTAAGATAACATTTATAAGTAAAGTTTATTCAATAATTAATAACATTCGAGGGAAATATGAGAATAGAAAAAAAACTTCTTTTATTTTATTAGCAATGAACTTTTGCGATTGCAAAAGCTTAAAAGAAATAAAAAAGATCAAAGCTAATTAAAATATTTGATCATCACATTCATTGCTTTGAATGAATGAGCGCAAGCAAAACCTTTCATTTACTGTAAACAGAAATGCTTCATTTAAAATCGTAATTTCTATTTAATGGATTGCAGAAAAATCATCTTTAGATTATTTCAATTACATTCCATAATTGATGCAAGGTGAAGCACTTGCTTCAATGAATAAGTCACGACTAAAGATTCCAAACAATGTTTAAGTTAAAGAATATAAAATAAGCAAATCGAAATCAAAATCATAACGATCGAAGAGCAAAAGTGTTCAATAACTATCGAACGAACGTTCAAAACCGTGAGAACTGGATCACAAGTTAATTTATAAAGATCATCTCCTTCAATTGATTATTAGCATTCGTTCAATGTTTTCTTCTCTCCTCTTTGTTGCAAAATCTTCTTTCAATTCTTTCTTTACACGGAAAGCACCACTCGTTTAATAAATTTTTACTTGAAAAGACTCGACTGGTGGAGGCGTAAGCTGAACGTTATGCTAAGATTTCTTAATAATTCACGTGCATTACTTTTAATGAAAGGGAATAAAAGACTTAACAAAACCGCCGACTTGTTTTTTTTCCTTTTGCCAACATTTAATCGAAATTTGTATTGTTTAAATATTTTCATTTAAATATTCTTTCCAACGATGACTTTTGTGCATGTCGAACTATCCATCATGATGTTCAAGAAAATTTATGTCACGACTGTTGAAAGTAAGAAGCGATCCGATGCTTATTAGCAATTCAAGGTTACTTCATTAACTAACTTAACAACATCGGAAACATAATAATAAATTATATCGACATGTAGGCTTATATATTAAAAAAAAATCATTGCATTTAAACCTTCAACACTTGCAGTGATCATAAAATGGTTTGATGAATCATTGAAGCTCAATTCCCAACTAGTACATCACATCATTAAGTAAAAATTTTATTTATTTCTATTAAAGTCTTCAGAATTATCCTAATAAAAAAAGGATGACGAAATATCTAAGAAAATATTTATAGAAGTATCATAAACTTAATCTTCATTTTACGGCTTTTGTACTCAAATATTTTTCTTTTAAGAAAGGTCAAGATTAATTGATTCCCAGACAAATGCAAATAATCAATTTAAATTGTCAACACATTAAGATTCATACAGAATTTAATTAAATATTCATCTAACACCTGATGTTTCTAGTTCGAAACGAGATCTAATTATTTAATAAAATGAAACCGAATACAAATTAAAATATTTAAAACATTCAAAGAAATTCTCAACTCTCTTAAATGTGTCAAGTGATTCCTTTGATATTTATTGAAATAGCTTAAGATTTTAATTGGAAATGTTGATTAGCAAAAATTGTATCAAAAATTCACAGCCGTAATTTTTTTTCGTCAGAAACATTAATTTTATGATGTTATGTTGTCTCAGATGATTTTAATCAAAAAGGAATGTATGAGCATTCATTAACATTTCTCGTACCATTAAGTAAATTGGATGTTTTTTTTGTCAGGCAAGCAATAGGAATCTTGTGATTGTGGAATCAGCTGGAATGGTTAAAGAAAACAATTTTTGAAAGTCTTAATTGAAGAGCAGTTGTGATCATCATCACAGTCCTCAAATTTCAAATTATCGCGCATATCATTTTATTCAAAAGCATCAACAATAAATATAATTGAGTGAGAGTCTCATGATGAGTAGAATATGACGAAACTATGGGAGATATGATCAACGTGGGACTGAAATAATGATTTTCAAAGTATTTAACAACAAAGTCTTGATGATGATCAACCGTCCGAGAAATGTTATAATTTAAATGTTGTCCGGTACAAGTGAATCTTTCAGAAATCTTTCATCAAGATTAAAGTGACAATTTGATGGGACGGCAGGTATTGTGGAATCGCTCAAAGCAAGTGAATTGCTATTGAGTAATTGCTTTGAGCTGAATTAAAAGACGTCTCTTTAAATTTTGTTTTCATCGTCACTGCAGTGGTCGTAACGCAGTTGATCAAAATCACGATTTCCGTTCGAAAAAAGAAACGTTAACTCATCAATGCTAGAAAAGCTGAAGGAGAGCAAAGTCATCAGAATAATTTTGGTAAGTAAAAAAAATGATCAATGATGAATTTTTTGAAACAAACAAATTATTAATTCCCGATCACGTTTCATGACTAACTCGTTTTAAAATAAATCAACTCTGCATGTTAAAGTGCGATAGGACTCAACAGTTCATTATTGTCGTCTTCTTAACGTGTTGGTGTTGCTTTGATTAATTATACAATTTTAATTCTTCTTTTCTGTTTTCATTTTTATTCGAAACAATATGGATTTTAGATTCAACATTTATCTGATAGCTCGAGGTGTTAATAAATATGAAATATAAAAGTTATCATTCCCGTTATGCTTGCTAGTAAAATGTTTCGCAAAAAACTATTCACTAAAGACAATAAACAATAACAACTAAAACTAATTTAAAATAAAGAAGAAAAAATGTTAAATATACAACGAAAGTGTAAACCGAAGCTTTGACTCTCTACTTCATTCAAGTGGATGATGAAATTTTATCTCGTTCATTTTTCACGCCTCAAAACTTTGACGGAACGAAATTTTCTCATGCTCACCTTTTGCTGATCTATTTAATGATCTCTCCAGCACTCTTTGTAGTTATGGTCCACATTTGACAGCACTTATCATCTTAAATACACAATGAACGTCCACTTGACATGCTATCCAGTTCATATACCATTTTTCAAAGAACTTCTTAAACATTTTTCAAGACACTCAACTCTTCATCAATGCCTTAATAGTTTTAATGTCGAGCGTTTTAGTTTCTGTTGGCTCAGGAATCTTAAGAGCTTTTGTTTCTGAAGATAAAAATGATTGAAATAAATGATTTTCTATTGTGAGTGACTTTAACTCTCCTATCCTCCCTCTCTCTTTCTCTCTCCCTCTTCCTGCTGTTCTTCTTTCATTCAGTGGTGATTACATTAATAGATGTTGATTTATTGATTTCAATTTTGAACAACAAACATTCATTTAAGTTTTGTTTTTGTTTTTCTTTGATAGATATTTAGATATTTCTTCTATTTACCAATGTGGTGTGAATTCATACCTTTTTATTGTTCTTCTACATAAAGCATTGTGAACTGATCTGGTAATATTAGCAAGTTTGAAGGTAAGATAAGATCGTACATATTTATATTTAGACGCTGTTTTGAAACATTCATGTGGTGATTCATTTTGTCTATGATTTTGAAGTTTGAAAATGTTAAAATTTTTGGAACTTCAGTTTATTTCGACTGAAAGAGTTGAGAAATTAAGTTTATTTATTCAATAACTTAATTAATTGTGTAATAAAAATTAGCATAAGAAAATGCTACAAATAAATAAATTCTTATCTAGCTTTACATCGTTTACTAGAGTCATTAAAATGTTTTAACTCGTTTGGAGCAACGTAGCACATCTGTTATAATTTAAATGAGATTCATCTCATCGGTCCCATCCTTAAAATGACAGCAGGTGATCGACAATGACTTAAGAGTTATGATTTCAGTTTCCATTTAACTGTTAATATATTTAAAAGTGATCTTCAAGGTTTTAACAATCATTTTTGAATAGAGAAATATTTTGTAAACTATTTTCATTACTTTTATAAGTTACAAGAAGAGATTCTAAGAAAAATTGGTTGAATTCTGAAACAAGTTTTAAAACTTGAATTCATTTACATAATTATCTCTTTCATCATAATCGAGGTCATACATGCTCGCATAATTCTCACTCAAATCTTATCTCATCAAATAAAAAGTTTGCCTTGAATTGTTTTGCAATCTCGGATTAATTTTGAATTTTCAAATTTGCTAATGCCAATTCCAGACTGATAAGATTTCCTTTATCTGCTCTCACTCTCTCTTTATCTATAAAAGTTGTCAGCTGACTACTCGTAAGTCAGTTCGCATTCACGCTTTAGTGAAACCTGACCTATAAATCTCTCTCATTCTCTCTTTATAATATTAAAAACCAGAAAAGAATTTCAGTTCGTTTGAATAATTTCAATAGTAAAGTCATGAAAATTGGTGTTGTTGGAGCTGGGCCAGCTGGATTAGCTGCCATTAGACATTCATTAGAATTCGGTTGTGAAGTTGTTGCATTTGAGCAAAATGAAAGCATTGGAGGCACTTGGATCTACACCGACAATATTGAAACGAATAAATATGGATTGGAAGAACATTCAAGTATGTATCAAGGATTGATGACCAACCTTCCCAAGGAAGCCATGAGTTATCCAGACTTTCCATATCCACCATCTGATAAGTCCTATCTGACATCGCCTGAGGTCTTAGAATATTTCAGCTATTTCGCGAATCATTTCGACCTTGTTAAGCACATCAAGTTTCAATCTCATGTCGTAAGAATCAGTCCATTGTTGAATAACCAGTTTGAATTCATTGTGAGAGATCTTCAAACTGAGAAAAACGTAAAACATGTTTTTGATGCGGTTCTAGTGTGCGCTGGATTTTCTGTGCCAATGGTTCCAACATTTCCTGATTCTGATAAGTTTAAAGGAGAAATAATTCATTCTCATCTTTATCGAAGCCCGAAAAAATATGAAAATAAAATTATTTTAATCATCGGCGGTGGACCGAGTGGAGTTGACATCGCTTTTGCTGTATCGAAAACAGCGAAAAAAGTATTTTGGTCACATCATATGGATGAAACCTGGGGAAGGAAAGTTAAGTTAGAAGTTCCATCGAATCTCTCAGAGAAAGTTGATGTTGCAAAGTTTACAGAAAGTGGAGCAATTTTTCAGGATGGAACTGTTGAAGAATTTGCAGTTGTAATATTTGCGACTGGTTATGACTACAAATTTCCATTCATTTCAATTGATTGCGGTTTATCTTGTTACAAGAAATATATTCAGCCTCTTTACAAGCATTGCATCAGCATCAATAGACCAAACCTTGCTATAATAGGAGTTCCATACTTTGCACTTGCAATGCCATTATTTGACTTACAAATTCGCTTCTGCTTAACCTTCATGACAGGGAAGAAGCAACTCCCATCGAGGGAAGAGATGCTTAAAGACACTGAAAAGGATATGAAGGAAAGGTGGACGAGACTCAAGCCACATAAAGGTCATGCTTTGGGAATGGATAAGCATGAAGCATATTATGCTGAGATTGCAAGAACTGCAGGCATTGAACCTTTGAAACCAGTGCTTGGAAAGATGTTCAATCGAAGTTTTACACAATTCACAAGTGACTTTAACAACTTCCGGAAAGAAGTCTACGAAGTCGTTGATGATGAAAACTTTTCAGTCTCTTAAATGTTCTTCATTTCTGTGTCGACAGTAGATTAAATCGGGTTTTGGGAAAAAGTTTTTGTAGTTGACATTTTATATAATTTTATCTTAGAAAAATGAATAAAATTGAAAATAAATTTCAGTTGCTTTTAGAAATTATTTTTATTTAATTATCTCATCGTTGTTGAAGTCATAAATTTCAGATTTGAAGATTAATTTGACCTTTGAAGTGACACACAAAGTCGGAATTTTTAGGAGATTCGATGAGATGACAAATTTATTCAACTAGACAAAACATTTTCACACTTTAGCGAATTTAAATGTCTGATATTCAACATTCTAAAACACAAAAATATTTATAAAACATAACAAAACAAAACTGAAGCAAATTTTGTGAATAATTTTCATATTAAAATCAACTTTAAGTTAAAGATTAAAGAAACTGGATGACAACACAGCATGTGATTGGAGAATAATCTTAATCTGAACTTCAAGTTGAATAATTTTTTTGTTTTGACCAAAAGAAAAGACACAAAAATAAAATATCAGAAGAATTAATTACATACAAGATGTTAGATATCATAAATTTGTGCGTCTTCTTCTTTCCGTGGAATGTCAATCGAAAACATTTATAAGGAAAAAAAAGAAAAGAAATTGCAAAGGCGAGAAGAGTGCAAAGTTTGAGATAGATAATGAGAAGCATGAATTTGAATTGGTTTCATCTCTTGACCTCACATCACATTTATGTTGAGTGTAATGTAATTCTTTTCACTGAAATCGGATTGGAAATTACAAGCCAATACTGACTTCTTATCCCTCAGCTTGTGTTCTTTTCTTTCTCACATCTTCAAGAAGAAATTTCTTTTCAAGAAATATGAATAGCGTGTGGAACATGCTGTATGTGTATCTACGTTGTGCTCTATGATGACATGGCTATGAGAAGTTCTCAATCTAATTTTCTAAAAGCAGCAGGAGCTTTGTAATCAATTTTTTTAAAATAATTTTCCTGAAAAGGTTAACGAAACTTTAAGTCAAGATTTGATCCATTAACAATAATGCGTCCAGAAAACAGAAAATAAAGCGAATGTGAAAATTCAGATATTGTGATTTTATACAATAAACGAATACATGAGGCACAAGACTTTTGCCGTTTGCCCTCCATCACGATCAGTACTGACATCTTCTGTCGGTTAATAGACGTTATGCTACGATCTACAACAATCATCATAATATCCATCATAAAGTAATACCAAAATTAAATTAAATTTTTAAATTACCTCGAAAAATTGTTAGAGACATGAAAGAAGTAGAAAAGTTGTGTGCGATCGTGAGTTGTTCGGATCTGAAATGTAGCACAAAACAAAATAATAATCGTCAGCGTGTAGTTCACCGCTTCACATATCATAGCTCGACTCATCGACCGTCGTATGAAGTTTTCTTTCACATGACTTACACATTTCATTTCTTTCTTTCTTTCATTTTTTTGCTGTGATTTTGTTTTTTGCTCTGAGCGTCAAAGAGAAAGAAGACGAGTCGAGTCGAGTTGAGTGGAAGAAAAGTTCCCAAGAAACCAAGAAACCGATGGATGATTGAGGAAACAGATATTTTCATTGTAATGATTTGAAGTCAGCAAAAATAGTTTGAAAGCTAAATAGCGATTTAATTATTGATTTATCATGTTGTGAGATCATAATTGTGCACTAATCCTCTCGCCGTTCATTGCCGTATTTGTTGAATCTTCTTCACTTTTCACTTCTTCCGAAGTGGTGAAAGAATTCTTTAATGGACTTGGCTGGCTTATTCGTTCAATTTGTTTGTTGTCTTTAATTCGTCAATTCGTTCAGCCTTTCGGTAAATGGATCGAAACCATCAAAATTAGATTATGCGCTTAGGAAACAAATGAAGTAATTTTCATTGACGATGTTTTCATCCGTTCCACGACTCCATCAATTGAATTCACACAACTGACGAATTGTTTCTGTTTCTCTACTAATAATCAGGTGATCAAGCTTTGATGGAGAAGGTCATTTAAATCCATTCTCTCAATTTTCGATTGCATCACTTCACATACAAGATTCAGATTGTCTAACTTATGATATTATCATTTCATGCTTGCCAAACATAATCCACGTTCTGTATGAACTTAATTAAATTCAGAAACGCTTGCTTGTAGTATTCTCAACTCAAATGCTGCTATATCAGTTTATGAGAGAAGAACAACATGGGAAAGGAAAATGAAAATTTGTTATGGGATGTTTTAAATAATAAATTATATTGCAGTTTTCATTAGTTTCACTGTTGTTGAACATGATATCTGCCTAATAAAGTTGTTTGTATCTTCATTCCAGCTTTTTTCATGTATTGTTGAATTGCAATCTTCAGAGCATTCTTTTATCTTCCTCACATAAATGCTTCAATGGATTCTTCTATGAAACTATGAAAAACGAAATAAGAAGAATATTTGTAATGTTCCAAGGATAGTTAAAATTGAAGATACAAGTTTTGAAAGTCATTTTAATTGAAGTGATTAATTTGCACAGTATTTATGGATGGTTAAATCTTACATTTGATCAGACTCAGCAAGTGACGATATGAAATTACTTGTTTCAGATGTTTTCTCTGGAACTTTAATAAGATAAAATCTTTATGTGTTATTTAAACGATTTTTGTTAAAGTTTAAATTCGTTTCTCACTACTTTGTTGAACCGGAATTCCAGAAGTTTAATTGGATACTTTAACTTGAATCGCAAGGAATTTAAATATATTTATTTAAATATTAAAGTAAACTTTTCATGTGTTCATTTTTGTAATATTAAGATAGTTGCGGTTGAACTTAAGCAGGCCTATTAGTGATTAAAAAAGAATTTCCCCGATCAAAATTATCGCAGAGTTCAATAATCCGAGAATCAGATGTTTGTTTGAGATCAAAGTGTTGACTTTCTAGTAGAAATTGGGCACCTTTCAAGCCACGATCTTTGAGATCAGTTCTAGTTCGTGTTAAACCATTTCTTCGTTTTCAAATGCAATATTCTATTCTGGTGGTTTTGTTTATGAAAGATCACGAGAATCCATAATAGCGAAAACAAAAAGATTACTGAAAGCAATCAAAAAAGTGTTAATGTTTCATTAAACAAGATATTATAATGATGAAATTGATGTTACCGTTAAGAAAATGTTTCGAGACCATTTGAAGACAACGAAACATGAAATTATTAAAACTCTCAAAATGACCTAACAACAAAAAATTGTAACGCCGACAGTAATTGATGGTGAAAATCATTAAGTAAAATAAATAATTTTTATATTTCATGTGAAACTTTTGTAGCGACAATTTCACGATCGCTTCTGTATGCGATGTTTGTTCTCAAATTGTCAGAGACAACTATCGGTGTGAACCTTCAAATTGATATCATTTCTGTGTTGAAACGTTTCATTTAATTTGGATTTTATGTTGGTTTCATTGAAGGTGAATTTTTGTTTCTCGGTTTCGAATGACAACACACAAAATGTGGAGCGGAAAGAAAAGTAAAAAAATTAAAGTCACGGCAACAATGAAGTTGGTCATTTTCATGCTTGTTGTGTTTTCATTGTTAGAATATTGCTAAAACACTATAATCTTCGTAAATTAGACGACAACAAAACTGTCTGAGATTGAATGACAATATTTGAACTGCGGCGAAGTATTTTAAAGCCATTTGATTGCATCAACAATTTCAACTTGGATAGTTATTACTTATTAATGCGATTTCATTGTCTTTTAATGCAATTTGTCGTCGCTTCTCAAATAATAAGCGGTCATGAAGAGAAGTACTTACCTATTTAGCTATCTACACATGCATGCATTAAAATGCATTTCAATTGCAAACAACATCAACAAAAAATTATGTAAATAGATATGAAAAATGAATCATTGAAAGTCTCGCAAAGTTAATCGTTGCATAAATCTTAAACATTCAAGTTGAGCTTCTGATCTGAAAATTTAATATCTCATTATACATTGCAAGGCCAAAACTTTTATTTTTTTCAAACTTTATTGATTTATTAATTATTTTGAAAGTCCAAACAATTGGATATTAACTTTAGTACTTCTACTGGCACTAAACAAGATTCTCTTAAAACTTTACATCTATTTAACAAATTATTTCTTGCAATGTTTCTTCTTTTTCATCAACTCATGTCATTTCATGCTCTCCTGACTTGCCGAAAAAAGACAGAAAAAATATTCTTTCGAGTTGATACGATTCGGATTGAAACTAGAATTAAACCTAAAATTATTTAAACAAGAAGTTTTCAATCATCGGTGGATCAAGAAAATAAAAATTACAATCTAATGAAACAATGAAACTTGGCTGAATTGAATTGGAATGAATTGAAATGAACATAAAAACAGCAACATGACAACAACACTTTACATTTTATCTTTGGCTACATCAATATTCAATTTGAACCAAGCACATCGATAACTTTCATGACGCTCAAAATCAAAAGACTTCCTAATTAAAATCTCTCAAACTTTTGTCGTTAAGTCTAATGGTGTAGTTATGTGAAGTTTTCGTCGCTTCAACTCACGCTCATATTCTTCATCTTCATCACTTCTGTCATCGAAAATTCCTTTGTTCATGTAGCCGTCGTCTTCTTCAGCAGATACACTGCCGTGGTTTATCTGAAAGTGCTTTTCATTGTTACCATCCTTCAAATCGTGACAATGAATCTTCTCTTTTCTGTTAATGTTGTTTGTTTTTTGATCATTTGAATCGCTGTCTGAATTTCCATTCATAAGAAAGCTTACAGAAGATGATTTGTGGTTTGTGTTGACTTTGAAATAGTTGTGATTTATATCGTCAGATTTCGAGCTGCTTCCACTTTTCATACTTAAGTCGATCGGATTGTTTTCTACTTGAGGTTGTTGTCTCGGTGATCGAGGTGATCGTGGCGGTGTTAAAACCTCATCATTTTCATTCATATCAATATCTTCGTCTTCACTTTCTTTACCATCTCTGAGACTTGATGAATCAGAAATCTTTGGTATTTTTGTGATTGTAAGTTGCTTTCTCTGTGACTCCAATAAAGTGGCTGCTGATAAGCTTCTTTTGTTCATCTGTTCCTCATGTTCTTCTTTAATCATTTCTTTCTCATTCTCATCATCTTCCTCTTTCATTGACGTAAGATTTGCTGATGAAAATGGCAAATGCATATTTGATGTTTTTAATAAATCTTGTTGAACTTGATGTTGTAACAGATGATGGTTCTGTTCGTAAAAGGCATTATGGTAGCTTGAAAAGAGAAAATGAGTTGGTGGTGGTAGAAAACCTGGTGGTGGCATCAACGGAAAACCAGCAAATGGTAAAGGAAGAAACAAATCTTTGTTTAGACTTAAAGGCTGTTGTTGCGTATTTGGTACAAGCTTATTTTGTTTGTTCAAAATTGAATTTCTTTTATCGCCAATCTCTATAGAGCTGTCTGAATTGTGACTGTCTGGTGAGCTGATTGATGGCGATGATGCTGTTGCTGGGTGTTTAACATACTCATCTAGTCTCATCATCATCAAATCTTCTTTTGAGCAAGGAGGTCGTGAAAATAAATTAGATGAGTAGGATGGATGTCGCATAAGATTAAGTGAATTCGGAGACAAAGCTGGAACTTTTTGATTGCCATTTTGGCTTGCTGCTGCTTGTGCTTGTTGCTGTTCTTGCAAAAGGCAATGAATTTTAAACCAATTTGATCGGCGACCGTAACGTGAGCCGCTTTTTGACATTCCAACCAGCAGGCATTTTCTGAGTCGACAAGCCTTGCATGCAGTTCGGTTCTTCTTGTTGATTATGCATTCCCCATTATTCTTGCATTCCGAAATTGATGATAAATTGTTGTAAGATCTTCCAAAGAACGACTGCGAAATAAACAATAAAAACAAACAATTAAATGATATCGAAATCGAAAGTTAAGTGAAATTAGATGAAATGAAAAGTTTTTTGTTTTTTTTACAATGTTTTCAATGCGACACAAAATTTTCTGTTTTTCACTCTCTGAAGATTGAGCAATTTTCAAATCGACTTCAGACAATGAAAACAAATTGTTACAAAAGAGAATTAACAAGCAAAAGCAAAAAAATAACTGAAGCATAAAATCAACTATAGTTAAATGCATTTCCTTTACAAAGTTAACAGCATGAGTAACAATCTATTGGTAAATTGTAGTCGATTTTCTTTTTCAATGATTTTCATTGATTAAAATGTGTAAAAAGTAATTGATTGATATTAAATGTTGCTGATTTAGGCTTCAAATCATTTAGAAGTCGAAAGTGTTTCGGTGATTTGGTTTTTCTTCTACTTTTATTCATTAAAGCAGTCTATAAAATTTTAAGTAACGTGGGCTTGTGCAATAAAAGCTGCACCTCTGTTCAGGAAATGCAGTCTCCCTGCAGACACATAACAAGAACACTTGAAACTAAAACGAACGGCAGATTTGCATCATCTAATAGTACATGTCGTCATGTAATATATACAGTAGGTGCATCAACCGAATGCTTATGAAACAATACACTTTAATTTGATTTAAATGTGTAACATTAAGAGACTTAAGAGACTTAAAAGGCCATTGAAGAATAATTTATGAATCATCGTTTTTCATCAGACTTAATGACGCCTACAATTTATGACACTTTTTTCTCTTCTTCTCGTTTTTTTTTTATTTTCTTCGCCAAACAGAATAAAAAATTGAATTTGTCTCAAAGAGTTTAATTGATAATTTCATCACATTTTAAATAATTACCTTGCAACCCTCGCACGTGAAAGCACCAAAATGAAACCCTGCTGCAGGCTCCCCGCAGACTTTGCACTGCTGATTCATCTGAAATAAGAAAACAAAAAGTGAGTTTATGAGTTAAATTTCCACGGCTTCAATCTTTCTTTCTTTCTTTATTTCTTAACTGACATAAATTTGAGTTCACACATATTTAAGATGCGAGTAAGTTTCGGTGAAATTTCTTTTTCATTCTATTCATCTTCATGTTTCTAATCCATTTTGTTTGTGTAATGATCGCCTTGTCATCGCGCCTCAATGGGAAGAATTACTTTTGATATTTAACGTAAAATAGAAACATTGTGTCGGAAAAAAGATCGTTCAATTTTTAATTCAATTAGTAACACCAAATCAATCAACAGATTTTCATGAGGTAGGTATTCGATTGTTCTGCTCTAGAATGAAGCAAAAATCAATCACTTTTTAAGCGTCTGAAAAGACGACTTTTCTGTTGAGTCACGACTGACTTGCAAAAGTCACCTTCCATAGTGTACAATGCGAAGCATAAAAATATTAATAAATGATTTATGATGTCGAAGTTTTAGAAGAATATTTTCTTTGATCCTTTCATTGCGCAAAAAGGAAATTAAACAACTGTGTGATCAATCAACATCAAAATCACCCAGTTGCAGTTTGTTTGATGATCAAACATTCACAAATTCAAAATCATGCGGAAATTTGTCAAAAATTATTATTTTTGAGATTGCTGGCTGCACTTGACCTTTTTGTGATGAGTAGAAGTGACTTTGAAGATCAATTTAATTTGCATATTAACAACTTACAGACTCTTAAAATGAAATAAAACACTCATTGATACAAATTAACTTTATAACTTTTAATAGAGCACAACATTGTGCAATGTTGCACCACAGTGGAAGCAGAAGTTGAAGTCGAATAAGAGAAAAAATAAATTAATAGCTTTGTATAGTTGAGTAATTGAGTTATTGTTTCCACAATGCACTTTTTTCCATACTTGACATTGAAATGCCTCCGAATCGAGTTAATAAAAACTTCAACGTTGAATTAAGTCAGAAACTTTTGTTTTTCCCAACTACCTTATGACTTTTATGGTGAAATGCTTGAAGTCTCTCAATCTTAAGATAGTTTAGATTATTAAAGATTCTTGTTTAAATAACGTTAAATTGATTTTCATTTGCTTTGTGTTGTTCAAACTAAAACTTCAAATGCACAATGCATTGTATTCATTTTCTGGAGTTCATTAAACACTGCACTGCCTGTTAAAATTATTTTGTGTTAACTTCCATTAGAAGTCAGAGCAATGTAAATAGTTTTAAATTGTTGTAAAATAAATAAATTTATAGAAGCACAACTTTTGAATACAAAGTAACATTGAAATTCAATCAAACACTCTTTATGTTCTATAACTTATTTTATTGACCATCCTTGAAATATTAAACGCTAATAGCGAACCTTCATTCAGAATCAGACATAGCACGTTCCAACTCATCCAATATTCTTCGGAGCTCGCATTCAAAGCTATCGAACTTGAATTGATGCTCCGATAAATATTTCAATAATATGTTGCTTTTGTCACGTATGAAATAATTTATGCAATTCAAAATCTGATCAAACTTCATTCAGTGAAGCTACGATCCAGTTTATTTACTTTTGCCAACATTATTGTTGTTGCTTCTTCAGTTGATTGAAATGCATCATATATTTTAAATTCCTCTAATTTATATTCCTTGGAATGATTTTTATTGACAAAACCGACGCTGGTCACTTGTCTCGCATATTGATTCGAATTATTCGAAACAACAGCCAAGCTCAGTTATTCTCTATAAAAAAATTTAAAAACAATACAATCACAATTACAACTTGCTTCGTAATATGCTTTGGAATGAAGTTAATTTTCATACCGATCCTAAATTTGTAATGAACTGAAAGCATTTCTATAAAAAGCTATCCTTTTAATTAATCGCAATCGAGAAACCATTTAACTCCATTTAACCATTGAAACATTGTATACGCCTACGTCTTCTCTTTTATTACAACTTGTACAATTATTTAAAGCATGCTAATGAGTCTGCTGATTTTTTTTAAGCAGAGAATGAAATATTAAGCTTATTTAGTAGACGGTGATATGAAGATCATGATTACTAAGCATACGATAAACCTCAAAACGGATTTTAAAACTCAACATTGTTTATTCGATGATCTAATTCTCACGATATCTCTCGGATTGTTGTGAGAATGCTTGTAAAAATATTGTCTGATCAATATGAGTTTTCAACTCAATTTGATTATTTTTTTTATGTTTTTATTTGAAAGGTAGAAAAATTGAAATGGGAAAGTCGTGATTTATGGATGAAAGCAAGTGTTTCTAATTTTCCTTCTTTATCGATTACAATCAATCGAAGATTCATCACTTTAAGCGTTAAGAATTGCAATGATCATCATTAGAGAGAAAGTTTTATTTAATTTCATTGGCAAATAACAATGACAATTAATTGAAGCCATTGGCTGCTGTATTGATTTTTAAATATCTAAATAAACGTCAATTTTATTAAAATAAGAACTTAAAGAATGCAATCTTAAGTTAAAACACTAGAAGTTTATGAAGTGATAAAATTTTTCTCTTGCGGCGTGAAAAAATTCATTGGAATTAATGTTATGGTTTTTTTTCTCTTTTATCCATTAGCATTAAGGGGAGGAAGAAGCGCATGAAATTTATACTGTGAATTATTTATGCGATATTTATTCAAACAAATGTTAAGTAATTACAAGCGTTTTAATTTTACGTGTGAAAAATTATGTAAAACTGCAGACGCATTACATATTCAACATGATAATCAATTAGCTTAAATAGAATTTGGGTTAAGGAACGGAGTTCTAGAGATTAATTTAATTTCAACTCTTTATTTGCTTGCTTATTCAATTATTTAAATATCAAAAGATCACAAATATTATGAGTAGGGAAGAATTCAGCTTTGACTTCTCTTTTCATTTCTTTTTCAAACGTTGTCGCTCAAACAAAGGCGTGTCACTCTTTCTGTACTCGACAACCTGTTAGTAACGGGGAACCGATACAGAATTTTATTTATTTAAAAGTTGTTTAACATATCTTGGCTTCTGATTGAAATTTCGTTCTTTGTTTCCTTTCTTTTTGAATATAAAAATAAAAAAGACTGAAATGAAATTCCCGATAGCTTCACATGGCTTTATTTATTAATAAATGAATCTTGTTGTTGAACTTCTAAGCCATAAACTTTATTACGTCGATAATTTTATTTCCATAAATATTTTCATCGCTTATAAAGTGTTAAAATCATTTCTTCATTTTTCTGATTGCAATAAACTTTATTGCTTTTCTTTTAATCTTAGCCAAGCGTCGATATTAGCGTTGAGCGAACGAATAAATAAAACACCGACAAAGATGAAAGAATGAATCTTGAAGAAATTAAATTTCTTTTAATGAATCTTTTACATGCTCTAAACATTAATTCTCCAAATTATTTTATTCTTCGAATATTATTCATCATTAAATACATGACGCGACTCTGATTCATATTTAGATTTATTTTAAAAAACAATTGCATCGCGATTAATTGCTTTTAAAATGCATCACATCCGTTTCGGAACTCACTTGTTCGAATGTCAAAATGGAACATCAACATTAAGTAGTTTCACGGGCTTTGTTGAAATGAAATAAGATTAAAGTGCAATTTGAGATTAAAATCTTACAAGACAAAGAACGAAACGAAAGATTTAATGTGCATACGAACGTTGTCCCTTATTTTTCTTGATTTAATTCTCGTGTTAATTACCTCTGAATGAGGTGGCATGAAACCGCACGAGGTTAGTAAAAATAATTCTCCCCATAATCCATTTTCGTGCATCGCGAAATGAGACAAAGAAACAGCAAATATATGCAAAAGCCAAATATCCGTGAAAAAAAATGTTTTTTTCTGTGCATATTAAGAGGTAATCATTAAATTACACTTAACAAAAGAAACGTCTTCTTATTAACTGCAATTCTTACGATTTAATAGTTATGACTTTTGGTTGTTTAATTTTTTTTTTTTCTCATAATTCTTAATGGATGTAAATTATTTTGTTGTACCGCGATAAATTAAGAACGGTTGAAAGCTCACTGAACCATCACTTTGACCTTTGTTTGAAAATCCATGTAGACATGAAAATATGCAGTGAGATTGCGAATACATTCTATGAACATCAAACAATGTTGGGAGGCTAAAAGAATTATTTATTTTTCTTTTAAGTAACAAAGTGAATTCCGAAGAGCTCAAAATATTTTAAGACAAACCTTAAATCAATGAAAATTTCTTGAGTGATCGATATTTTGCGTGATGGTGACATTACATTATGTTTCTGTTTATTTAATATTTTCTTATGACAGAAACAAATCGAAAGACTTCAATAGATCAATAGACAACGATCATTAAATTTACATACCTTACTTATCGAATTAAATTAATCCAGAAATAATAACAAAATTTTCCTTGTCTTAAAGTTTCGCTTATCGAACCATATTTGTAAGTTTTCTTGTAGTTTAATTCCTTGCTCACACTTCTTGAATATGATTGATCAATTAAGATAATCGTGTAGAAATAATTTCTGATCTCTTCTTACATTTATCACTTTGAAATGATTTATTATTATTTGTTTTATAATTTTCAGAATCGTTTCATTCTCTCACTTTTGTTCTAATTTTTAAAATCAGTTGCTTTTCAACTTTCTTATAAATGTGTTAATTAAATATCATTCAATGATTGAGCCTTTTTTATAAATAAGCACGTCTGTAAATATTTACTTCAAAATATTTATTAAATAAAATCCGATAGCATCCGAAACACGTGATCGACTGACACTGCAGTTTATTAAACTACGGGATTCCTACGACACCTTTGTTAAGTGAAAATTAAAATAAAACTAGACAACTCGAGACCAAACGAAATCCGATTGTGCGCGCATCAAAATCTAAGAAATAACTGAATTGGAAATATCACAAAATTTGTTAGTAAACCTGTTTGAGAAACGAAAAGAAAAAAGAAACATTGCATAGAAAAAAAAATAACAAAAAAAATGTTAACACACAAGAAGTTTTCTTATTTTTTTGCTTTCCAGTGTTATTCAACATTAAGACAAACTTCTTAGAACAATGTAAAGCATACACAAGAGAATAACAAAACGAATAATGAAAGAAGAAGGGGAAATGAACCGACGAATCGCAGCCGTTTGCCGACAAATGCCAACACCTACTTCAGGTATTCCAGTTGTGCCTTATTGGAAATTCTCCGACAAATGTGTGAATGTATTTGACATCTCAACGATGAAATGCATTATTCCATTCGGAATATCTTTATTGTCACTCACTCATATATTTATTTTTATTGCCGCTCTGAGACACTGATTTTTTAAGGCATGTTTTCATTTTTTAAGAATCGTAAAAAATAGATTCTCGACTGCTGAGCTATGCGTTGTAAAAAATTCAGAATGTCACCGATGTTTATTTTTTTTGCAAACTTTAAATTGTTTTATTGTTTTATTAAGCTCTAAATTATATAGCAAGCTTTACTATCCATTTACCTAAGACAAAGAGCACAGTTACGTAAGAATTATCAGAAGGTTTATTACGATGACAATTTAAGGATATTTTTAAGGTTGCAAATTATTTTCTTTTTCGCAATTTTATTTTTTACAACTCAAAAAGAAAGAAATCGTAAAAAAATTCTTAGTTGGAAATTTTTCCCAAGCTCGTCTTAAAAAAATGAACAGCATGGTGATTTTGTTTTTGAATTATTCAATAATGAAAAGATTTGCATGCAATCCTTAAATTTATTGCTCTACATTTTCAAAGGATCTCTTAATCTTGTGATGAATGGCTAAGCCAATTATTACTCGGTTATTATAACTTTTATGACCTGTCTTGACATATAATCGCTTCAACATTTCTTTTTCACCCTTGCTGCTTTTCTGGCGGTAGTTTCATCGTCTTAATTTTTGTGGTCAAACCTTATTTTGGGAACTCTTTCAACGTCCAACTACTGTCATCTGAAAACAGAGAAAAGAAAAACTTCGTCGTGTTTCAGTCACAACAGGAGGTATGAGCAGCAAGAGTCTCTGAAAATAAATTTCAACAGAAGAAAAAGGATTAAATGGGTTGTGAAATATTTCTGAAAAAGAATCATAATGGATAGAAAAGTCTTCGCAATAACAAGATAATGTCTTCGCATGATCATTTTTAAGAAATTGACACAATTCTTGTACTCAGTAAATAAATAAAATCTGACATGTGAGAATGATGAATCGATAAAATCAATTGAAAAGAATTTTCCACGCTTTCCATTCACAAAATGATTCAGCTCAAGAACAAGAGAGTCGAGTCGTTCAATCAACTAATTAACAATTTTAAAATATGCTTCGTTTAACCAATTTTCCATTTTCTGAATGCATGCGAAAATTGCTCATTGATATCATAAGATTGAGATTTGTATTCTACGACAAGGTCTCCGAAATCTGTTCTCGAAACAATAATTCCATTGTTCAGATAATTTTTCACATTTAATATGATTACAACATTTCCACAAGCAGAGAAAAAGCTTAGTTTTGTGTTTTCGTGTCAACCCCAAATTTCAATACAATGTATGTTCGTATTTTTCAGGTATTTTATGTTAAGTCAAGGTCACACTTTGATGTGATTACAGATTTTAGGCATCAACTCTTGCAGTAAAACTTTGACATCTTAATATTTATCGAGCATCCTGTTAGTCACGGAACGGGATATCTGCAGATGAAACCGTTGCAATTTCCTGATTAATTTTATTTATTTTATTTAAGAAAGAAGAAGTTGAAAAAAACCCAACTCAATAACTTACATCCAGCAAATCAGCTTTGCGTCATTGTGTAATTCAAAACTAAACATTTCAATTTAAATGCGAATCACAATTTTTCAAATATGACTCGTGAAAGTGATTGATTATGTTGAATTTGTTGAAAAATGAAGTCTGCCTTTTGAACACATCATAAGTAACTGCAAATTGCTTGCTAACAACAGTAAGAAAAAGTGCATCTTATTCATCAGTTCAACATTCATAAACTATCGTTGTGAGAATGATGAACCAGATTTAATACTTCATTTGTTTCAGTATAGGAAGAACTATTAATTATCGTAATGACTTTTCACATAAGCAGTTTGCACGATTCCTATTTACTGTAATAAGAAGTAAGTTCGTAACGTTCTCAGGATTGCATTTTTATGTGTGATTTATTAATTTTTTAATTATCGATCGTAAGACGGCCAATCAATCTTTTAAATTCCCGAGGCGATGGTTGAATTGCTTTAATAAACTTAACACATTGATGGGATGACTAAGACCTCAAGTAGAGCAACTGACATGTTCTTGATCGAAATAAATTCACTTGTCAAGAGCTTTGAAAGGATAAAGAAATGAAGCAGAGCGATTGAATTTTGATGGCTTGAACTGAAGTAAAAATAAATTCCAGAAAATATTTTACATCATTTCTCGAGTCATTCTTAATCATATCAAATGGCAAATAAGAAGGAAAATCTCATGACCTTCACACACGAAGTCGGTTCCGTTTCGTTACAATAATCATTTTTGTTTTTCTAGGTTCCCTCAACAATTGTGCAACGCAACATGATTTGAATGAAAACGCGAGTAAAATTGTGAGCTCAATACAATTGTTTTTCTGAGTATCTAACACATGCTTTTGCTAAGTAAATCACAAGACATTTTATTCGGTAAAGCCATTTAAAGTAGGTAAAACGATTTGAACTTGACAAAAAGATTTTTTTGTGCTGCTTCGACTACCGACTAGCTTAGTGGTTAACGAAATTGAAAAGAATTCAATGGAAAATTATTGTCATTATTCTAGTCACATGTACATGCTTGATGAACTGTTTTCAAAGACGAATTGCTTTTTTAATGAAGCTACGCATGCAAAATGTGCAATGTGATGTTTGCAAATTATCATTACGAAATTTCTCAACTACTTCTCATCGATATCACTCAAAGCTTCGAAGGAAATGCGTTTTATTTACCTTAAGTTTCTGCTTCAGTTATTTTCTAAGTCTTGCTTGTTTGATTCTCTGTTGTAACATTTATTTCCATTGTTAGGCTTGAAATGGAAATTATCCAATCTCAAGAAAACAAGAAAAAAGAATTTGTGTCGCATTGAAACTTTTGATTTCATTTGATTTTTGTTTAACTTTCGATTTTTTAAATAATTTATATAGATTTATATTCTCTGAATGATGAGATGTGTTCCGAGTTGAGTTTGTTATTTATTTACGTTAAAAATAAATCTTTTCACATGATTGTCTGCTTCTTAAGAACAAAGTTTTTCATTTGAACCAAACCCTAAGCAATAAATTTATCTCAAGCTTAATACAAAGAATCGATTGTTGGTAAAATGCCGACAGACATTACAAACATTTTAAAACGTACCTTTAGAAGACGTTAATTAATATTTTGAGTAATGTTTAGCAATAAAACCACAACATTGAATAGTTTATTAGTTCAAAATTATATATTTTGATAGTTGATGAGCAAGAATTTAAAATTTTTGACTAAGGCCAATGAAACCGAAGTGTCCACAATGTTAAGCCTCAACTTCCAAGAACCTTTTTCAAATCGGTTATAAACGGAAATGCATTAAAGCGAACACTCGAACGATATTTTTTTTCGATATGATCTACAAACAATAGAAATAAATTGCAACAATTGTTGAAAAAATCTCGTGACCTTCACATGTGAATTATTTTTCCGTTTCGTCGTAATTCGCCGACAAGAAAAACAAAACAGAAAAAAGACTGAGAAAACATGACAAAGTAATTTCTGATGTTATTTCTGTTTGATTCTATTTGAAAATTTGAAATTCGCTTCTCTTTGATTTTTTATTTTTTACATTCATGTCCAAGAGAAATAATCACGGATGCTGAGCTTTTATCAAAGATTTATTCACTTCATGGAAGATGATTAATGGACAGAAAATCATCACTTGGAGGCATTATTATAAAGCTGAATCAGTTTTGAACAAAACAAATTTATTTACATTTTCTTTCTAGCTACCGTGTTGTTAATGAAACTTAATTTGACTTAATGAGATTAAAACTTATTAAATCATTGAAAAGGCCAACCTTTCATATGCTACTTGATGTCTTGTGGATCCATTCTTTTCGGACTTATTAAATTGTGGTAGCAGATTTTTGGTTTATCTGAAGCTCATTATTTGTTATTCAACTTACGAATATCATGACAATGCAATGTAATGTGAATGAAAACATTACAGAAATATATTTTTCAATTCATAATTTATAATTGTTACTCAATATGTATGCCGATTTATTGAACATCCCATAACAAATTTTCATTTTCCTTTCCCATGTTGTTCTTCTCTCATAAACTGATATAGCAGCATTTGAGTTGAGAATACTACAAGCAAGCGTTTCTGAATTTAATTAAGTTCATACAGAACGTGGATTATGTTTGGCAAGCATGAAATGATAATATCATAAGTTAGACAATCTGAATCTTGTATGTGAAGTGATGCAATCGAAAATTGAGAGAATGGATTTAAATGACCTTCTCCATCAAAGCTTGATCACCTGATTATTAGTAGAGAAACAGAAACAATTCGTCAGTTGTGTGAATTCAATTGATGGAGTCGTGGAACGGATGAAAACATCGTCAATGAAAATTACTTCATTTGTTTCCTAAGCGCATAATCTAATTTTGATGGTTTCGATCCATTTACCGAAAGGCTGAACGAATTGACGAATTAAAGCCAACAAACAAATTGAACGAATAAGCTAGCCAAGTCCATTAAAGAATTCTTTCACCACTTTGGAAGAAGTGAAAAGTGAAGAAGATCCAACAAATACGGCAATGAACGGCGAGAGGATTAGTGCACAATTATGATCTCACAACATGATAAATCAATAATTAAATCGCTATTCAGCTTTCAAACTATTTTTGCTGACTTCAAATCATTACAATGAAAATATCTGTTTCCTCAATCATCCATCGGTTTCTTGGTTTCTTGGGAACTTTTCTTCCACTCAACTCGACTCGACTCGTCTTCTTTCTCTTTGACGCTCAGAGCAAAAAACAAAATCACAGCAAAAAAATGAAAGAAAGAAAGAAATGAAATGTGTAAGTCATGTGAAAGAAAACTTCATACGACGGTCGATGAGTCGAGCTATGATATGTGAAGCGGTGAACTACACGCTGACGATTATTATTTTGTTTTGTGCTACATTTCAGATCCGAACAACTCACGATCGCACACAACTTTTCTACTTCTTTCATGTCTCTAACAATTTTTCGAGGTAATTTAAAAATTTAATTTAATTTTGGTATTACTTTATGATGGATATTATGATGATTGTTGTAGATCGTAGCATAACGTCGATTAACCGACAGAAGATATTGATCGTGATAAAAATCGCCAGACTAAAAATAATGTTTAACGATTTGTAGGGTAAATTTCCGCTTCTCCTTCTGATGATGACTTGATGCACATAATTTTATGTGAAAAATTATTAAAAAAAAAGAAATCAAAGTCAAGTTTTTAAGTTTCTGAAGTAAATCAATTTATTTATTTTTTTCTTCTCTTCTGCAGAACTGATCACAGCCAAGGTCTGATAGCACAAGAAAAATTAACATTAAAATAAACTTAATTAGAAATGACAAGAGAGGAATTTTCGATAGTTTGTTTGACTTGTGGCACCAATTAGTGCCCAGCATAGCGACGATTTCAATAGTGATCAGATATTTTTTTCAGATAGGAAACCATCAAACTGAGCAGCTCTTAATTAAGACGTGAATATAAATTTGTGACTCAAGAAGAGAATATGAATCGTCTGTGATAAGTTTTCTTGGTCAAAAACGCTTTGATATCAATAAAAGTCTAAAATAAAGAAACAAAAACTTGTATCGCTATCAATCTTCTCATCACGGAACGATGAAAATATTTAAATTTCTAAATTTATTTCCTAAACGTCTATTAAATTTCGATATTTCATATCGTCACACTTGTGATTAAATAATTCATTTCCAATATTTCACGAAACAAAAGACTCACAAATATCGAATTTCGTTAATACTTTTAAATCATTTTTGAGTCCTAAATATTTTTATTTTTCTTCGCGATGGCATTTCGAACTCGTATGAAAATTAGTTTCTCGTATTGTTTCTGTTCAAGAGATAAGCAAAGCAAGATGAAGAAATAAAAATCCTATTTGCATTTGAATTCAACCGATCAAGAATAATGGATTACTAATGAAGGTGTAATTTTTGAATGCCTTTTACCGCTGAATAGCAGCGGAGTTCTTGAAATGATTTTGGAATCTGAAAACATGTTAATTTTTGTCACAACAGTTTTCAATGACTTACGTCTCTTGACGATTTATATGCTCATTAGAACGCTTCATTGAAGTGTTAAGATGAAATATTTGTTAAGAAGAATCTTCGCTCTTCGGTTTTTTGATAATGAAGCAGGTGCGAACCAAGCTTTACCTAAATATCTTCAAAGCAGAGTCTACCTTCATATCCAGAAATAAATAAATTAGTTGTCAGTTACTTTTGATGAGTAAAATATTTTCATCACTGCTCAGTTAAAGATTTGTAAGTTTATTAAACATTCCCAGTCTGATGTTGAACTTGTTATAATTCAGAAATGTCAAAACAAACTTTAAACTAATAAATTTATATTGCTCATGTTTTGATATCAAAACGATCTTCTTCGTTAAGGAAAGAGAGAAGAAGGAATTCTCAAAATTAATAAAACAGAATCTTCTTGTTTACATAAGAAGGAAGAAAACATCTGTAAAGCGTGCGAGACCTTCTGCTTTGAAAATATATTCAGTGATAAAATGTTTCAAACAGAATTAAAAGTCAATAAATTATTGCTAAAGATGATCTCAAATGCAAGCAACAAGAACAAATTGGTTGAAATAATAAGAAAGAAGCTGCATTAAAGTTTCTCAAGGACATTTTTCTTGTATTTCTTTATGCGTTCGCAAATCATCGCTGTTAGTTTTTTTCGCAGTTGAATTCATGAGAAGGTTTTTATCGTCACTGAACATCGAAAAATTTGCGCAGCTTGAAACAGAACTGCAAATTTGTTTAAACTTTTTTCCCCAAACAAAAATTATTAACTTTAATTCTGACAAAAGCGTGAATGTTTCGCCAAATAATTCTGTCTTAAAATCGCGATACAATAATTTAACTTACCGTAGATTAAAAAACTCGGAACAGAAATTCAGTAAATCATCAACAACTGATTAAAACATTTCGTCTACTTTTAAGAAAGGAAATTTATAAATTTATTCATTTTTAATGGAAATCGAAAAGTTTTTCAATTTTATTCTTCCAAGTTATTTTCTTCATCATCATCTTCATCCGCAAAGTCATCAGAGTGATTCTCATCGGGGTCGTAATTGTCATCAAACTGTAAATAAAAGAATTTAATATTTGCCTACACTCGACTTCAAAATACAATTTTACATCACTATCATCAAAATCTTCCTCATATTCATCAGGGCTATCTTGGTGATCATTCAAATCATCATTTTGCACTTGATTCTGTACAGGAATAATGTTAACAACTCTAGGAGGAGGTTGATTGGAATAAACAGCTGAATGAAATAAATTCTCTTGTTATTTTATAATTTTCAACATAAAAATGTGATTAACTTACATGACGGGGGATGTTTGAGTCTTTGGAAGTGTTCAGGATTTCTTCGATAACATGAAGCACCAAAAGGACAATCTGGAGCATCATCAGGTGCTGGGGGAAAGTCTGGTCGACGATAATCAACGTCTGTTGGATGAGCAGTGTCAAGACGATGATCAACAGTGTTTCGATAGCAACGAATCCCAAATGAACAAGATGGACGGAGTGGTGCAGTAGCTGATGAATTGGATGAGTCGGGACGTGAATTATTTTCACTTTCAGTTTTGATAGCAATTTTAGAAGTAGAATCAGGATCTGTTTTAATGACTGGAGTTTCTGAAGAATTGGAGGATGAAGGCACTGGCATGTCCAAGGTATCAGATCCTTGACTTTCTGGTTCAGTTTTAACTTTCACTGTTGTCAAAACGGAATTTTTATTTGCTTTTTGATCTGCGACGGCTGTAGAACTTGTGACGACATTTGAATCTTTTAATTTTTCATCAGAATTAAGTTTAGATTTTTTATTGTTTTCATCTTCTTGATTATCGTTACTTAATGATCGTTTTCGTGTGGCTTCTGAGTTCTTTGAAGGTTCGTTCTCAACTTCCATTGAAACGTCTTCCGTTGAATGACTTTGGCCGATAGCTTCTGAACTTATTAATAACCCAGATTGCAGATTATCATTGATTTCGAGTACATTTCGAACACGAATTTCTTGTTGCACATTAGTTTCTTCACAGCGATCATTTTCAGATGTTCCCGCCAAATTTTCTTGTTCTGATAACTCATTCCGAATCACTCGAACTTCATACTCAAATTCTTTGGGCAACAAGCTAAATTTATCGGAATGGTGAAGAGTGATTTCGGAATCTTTTGAAAGAACTTGAATTTGATTGCTTCCATTGGTTTTATAAAATATTGGATTGGTATGACACTAAACAGGAAAAATTATTGAATGAGATAAAAGTTAGAAATAATAACGTTGTATCTCATCTTACCGCTTTAATCTTTATCTCTTCTTCATGTACTGTCAATAACCCGTGATTTCTCGAAACTCTTTTATCTTGACACTGGATAATTGTTAATTGAGAGATTTCCTTAGAATTATTTCAACAACAAATGAAACTAAATTTACCTCAAAAATACCTCGACCTAATGTTATCGAAGCTAAGGATTCTAGCTCGTATGATCTTTTGTTCGTGTCGTCGTAAAGTGTTACTTTAAACATAATTAAAGAGGATAAATTGAAATGTTATGAAATTTTAAACAAATGAACATTTCAAGCGCTTTAAAAACGTAAACAAAAAGTGATTGCGGCTGAATAATTTTCATAAGTTCCGAATCTTAGTCACCCTGTAGTAAAACCGATTCAAATCGTCTAAATTGCATCTTCAACAAAAACACAAATATGTTCGAATAAATTTGGAATTTCGTAGCTTATCTCCTTTGCAATAGAAATATTATACAATTCACTGAAAACTTGAAACCCAGTTTTAAGATTCTTGCTGAAATGGATCAGAAAAAGTTTAAAACTGTAAGTGAAAATGAAAATATTATTTTGAAAGCCAATTTTAATTGCAAAATTTGTTTTTATTACTTTTTTTTTATAGAAAGAGGAAATTGCAAAGGCATTTGATAATCTTCCTGAGCGTAAAAGTAAAATCGCTACGATACTCAAAGACGAAAATGTCGCTTATTGCATATGCAGATCCAGTGACTCTTCTCGGTTCATGATTTGCTGTGACTTTTGTGAGGAATGGTATCATGGTGACTGTATTAATGTGACAGAGAAGGAATCGAAAGCAATCAAGAAGTATTATTGCGATAAATGTCGAGAAATTGATCCAACATTACGAACAGTCATTAAGGGAACTTCAAATCAGCAACCAAATTTCCAATCACATTCAAAGGAAAAAGACAAAGATAAACAAGCAGAAAGAGATGTTATGAAGAAGAAGAAAGAGAAGATTGATGTTCGTTGTGGGCATTGTGAAGGTTGTCGATCCAGAGTTAATGGCAAGAAGGGAAAGTGTGAAAAACGTCTCAGCGCCTATCAACTTAAAAAGAAAGAAAAGAAGATAAAGGAAGGACGAATAAAGAAAAGAAAGCGATCGTTAACACCAGAAATTGTGTTGAATCCAGCATTAGAAGGGATAAGACATTGTTATGGTCCCGAATGTCGCAATACAGCTCGTCCCCAATCAAAATATTGTTCCGATAGATGTGGCATGTCACTTTCAAATAAAAGAATAAACTTTTTCCTTCCATCACGTCTCACTGAATGGAATTGCTCGCCTTGTGTTGCGAAGGAAAATAATAAAAAAGCTTTAGAGAAAAATCGAGCAAAGCAACACATAGTAAGAGCAACATTAAGTGAGTTGGATAAACGTCATAAGGAGCTTGATTTATTGGTTGAGCTATCCAAACGCTGTACTCTCGATGAAAAATTCAATGATACCGTCGAAGTCGAAGATGAATCTTCAATGTATTGTGTCACTTGTGGTCATGAGATTCACACAAGAACAGCTATTCGACATATGGAACGATGCTTCAACAAATATGAATCACAAGCTAGCTTTGGAAGTATCTTTAAAACACGCATTGATGGAGGGAATTCAATGTTTTGCGATTTTTATAATCTTACGAGTAAAACTTACTGCAAGAGACTTCGAGTTCTTTGCCCTGAGCATTCAAAAGATTTAAAAGTTAATGATGATGATGTTTGTGGAAGTCCTTTAACAAAAAATGTATTTGAACTTACTGGCGAATATTGTCGTGCACCTAAAAAATCTTGTTTCAAGCATTACTGCTGGGAAAAGATAAGACGAGCTGAAATTGATCTTGAACGTGTTCGGCAATGGCTGAAGATGGATGAATTACTTGAGCAAGAGAGGCAAATTAAACAATCTATGTCATCGAGAAATGGATTACTTGGCTTGCTACTCCACTCAACGTTTGATCACGAAGCAGCTGCAAGAGCTGCAAGGATGCAACAATTCAAAACAATGCAATAATTTTTAACGTTTTTTTTTAAAAGTTATTATTAAACCGATTCAATTCTTTTATTCAACCGTTTCATTTTTAAAGAAAGTTTGGAATATCAAAATATTATTTCAGTCTTGTTTCAACATTAAATCACTGCAAAATGAAAATTTTGCTAACCATTTTATGTGCTTTTGTAATAGGTGAGTGAGTAACAATAAAAGCTTTTGAATCGAAAAAACATTTGATGATAAAAATCTTGATAAAGAGAATCAAGGATTTATTTAAGGCGTAAATGTATTATTTTGTTATTGTTACAATTTCTTCCATTTATTTCTACAGGAGCTTCTGCTTCCGCTTTGCTTGGAAGAAAGAAATGTACGTATGGTCCAAGTTATTGGTGTAGTTCTATTCCGTAAGTATTTTATTTAAATTTTGCATTATTCATAGCATAAATGTCGCTAAATTGTTATGAGTCATTCACTCTTTGTTTGATAAACTTTTGTTGGAATAACATCCAATTAAGGGAGAATCATTAATTCAATTAGCTCATATTAAAGAGGGTATGAAAAAGAGGAGATTGCATTGAGGAAGCTTAAAGCTTTATTTATTGTAAAATTCCAGCTTAATTTATAAATTTCTGAGCGAAACAATCTCGCAAAGTCATCGGGTTATCAACAAATGCCAATTGTTGCTTCTTCTTGTTCTTACTTATTACTTTAGATCTATTTTTATTGTCGTTTTTTCTGTTTACTGAAGAGTGAAAAGCTTTTGCGTCACATGAAATAATTTTTAATTTTTGTTGTTCTCTTTGTTAAATAAATTTTGTAAATAATTCATAGGAATGCAAAATCTTGTGGTGCTGTCAAACATTGTATTAAAGCAGTTTGGGAAAAACAACATGTTCCGGAAGATACTGACAGCATTTGTAAAATATGTGTAGACATGGTTGGACAAGCGAGAGATCAACTTGAGAGTAATGAGACTCAAGAAGAGATTAAAGAAGTTTTTGAAGGCTCATGTGACTTAATTCCAATCAAACCGGTGAAAATTGAATGCAAAAAGTTGGCCGATGGTTTCATTCCTGAATTAATTGAAGCTTTAGCATCACAAATGAATCCTCAAGTTGTTTGTTCGACTGCTGGTCTTTGCAATAGTGAAAAGATCGACAAAATGTTGGAAGAATTTGAAGCCGAAAAGAAATCAAATCTTTTGAGTTGCGATCAATGCGACAACATTGGGAATGTCATTTCTCATAAATTCCACACATCAACTCGTGATCAAATTCTTGATGGATTTCTAGGATTCTGTGGACGTTTGTCATCATTTTCCGATGCTTGCTCAAGCTTGATTCTGACATATTTCAACGATATTTATGACGAATTGTCCAAGAGTTTAAATGCTGATGCGATTTGTCATATGAGCGGCGTTTGCTCAGCAAAATTCCATCAACACGATGATGACTCATCGGCTGTAAAGATCGAAACATTATCAAACGTTGGATTTATTAAGAATAAAGAAGCAGGTGAGGACGTTCCATGTGAGCTGTGTGAACAATTGATTAAACATTTGAGAGATATGTTGGTTGCTAACACAACAGAACTTGAATTCAAAACTGTTCTTGAAGGACTTTGCAAGCAAACAAAGAAATCTTTCCAACAGGAATGTGTAAGCTTAGTCGATCAATATTATCCAATAATTTATGAAACACTCGTCAACAATCTCGATGCTAACGGCGCTTGTTTCATGATTGGAGTTTGTCCTAAAGGAAATAATCAGCCATTTGTTGCTCCATCAAATCCAATGTTACCAGTCAATCAGGAACTCCCAAAACGACAAAAACTTGGTGTTAATGAGAAGGCAATTGACCTCATGCCACTTCCTATTGACCAATTGATGGGAATCAAGACAATTGATCAATTGCAGCTTGTTGATGGTGGCGAATGGTGCACAGTTTGTCAATATTTCATGCACTTTATTCAGGAAGAGTTGAGTGATGCTAAAAATGAAGATGAAATCAAAAATCTTGTTGGAAAAAGTTGCAAGAAATTCCCAACAAAATTGGCAGGCGAATGTCTCAGTTTTATCGAACTTTATGGCGATGCAATTGTCGCATTGATTGTTCAAGAAATTGATCCACGCGAAATTTGTCCACAGTTGAAAATGTGCCCAGAAAATATTAAAGATGCGGAAATTATCAAAATCGATGAAATGGATGTGCAGATTAATGAAGAATCGAAACCAACATGTCCACTTTGTGTTCTGGTTGTACAGGAAACAGAAAATTATATCAAGACTGAAAAGACGAAGGAATCAGTTAAGAAAGCTCTTGATAAAGTTTGCTCAAGATTGCCACCAAAGCCTCAACTGCAATGCACAGATTTCGTTCAAACTTATTACGATGAATTGTTGGAGAAATTATTGTCAGACTTTTCACCGAAAGATGTCTGCACTGAGATGAAATTGTGCCCCGCACTTATTGGTGATATCGATGAAAGTTCCATAAAAGTTGGAATTGATAAAATCGATAACATTCCATATGTTGGTGGTGACATTGACACAAATGAAATTCCCGACTACACAATCAATGGACAACCAATAAATGCACAAGAAATCGAAGAATCTGGCGAATGCATGCTTTGTGTTGAAGTTGTTGGTGGTGCAGAAAATAAAATCAGAAAGGGAATGAAAAAGGAACAAATTGAATCGATCTTGCTTCGTGAATGCTCGAAATTCCGTGCATATGAAGATGTTTGTGATGGTTTTGTGAAGAAAAATGTCGACAAGATTATTGAATTGTTAGCTAACGAAATGTCACCAAAACAAGTGTGTCAGCAACTTTCACTCTGTGCTAAGAAGCCGCAAGATTTAGAAATTGATGAAGCAATCATTGTCAATGTTTTCGCAGTTCCATCATATCCACATTCAAAGCTTGTTCGTGTTCCATTGCAAAAGAATGAAGTGAAAAAATCAGTACCGCCAGTGGCTGACGATCCACAATGCGTTGTCTGTGAGTTTGTGATGACAAAGTTAGAAGCTGAATTGAAGGACAAAAAAACACGCGATGAAATTCGAACAGCTGTGGAGAATATTTGCACGAAAATGCCGAAATCAATCTCAAAGCAATGCACGAAATTCGTCGAGGAATACGCAGATCTGATCATCACTTTAGTTGACACAGTTCCACCTAAAGAGATTTGTCAACAAATGGGATTGTGCCCAATTCAGAAGAAGGAACAACGTCTTTTGGGCGAAAGTGAATGCACTTGGGGTCCAAGTCACTTCTGTAGCAACGAAAAGATTGCCGAAGCATGCAAAGTATGACATTTTGTGCGTTATATTTTAGATTAATTAAACTTAATACAATTTCTCTTTCTCAGGCTACAAAATACTGTCAAGATAGAAAATTGGGAATGTTTGCTTAGGACGCTCGTTTTCATCCCGTGATGGTTTAAAAAGTGCTGCGATATTCAATAACAATTTTATTTTCTTATAATCTCTTTCAATTATCTAATCCTTTAATTTTTCATCTTCAACTGTCGTAGACTCTCTCGAATGACATTTAATTTTGTTTGTTTTGTTAATGTGAATAGAGATTATTAGTAGCAAACAGAATTTGATTAAAAACAATAAAAGAAAAACAAATTTACTATTAATCCAGAGACGCCTTCATCACATCAATTTATTTACACACTCAACGCTAACAAATCATTTTAAATTCTTAAGTTCTACAGATATTCTCTGAAATGCATTCAATTTCTTTCTGTTTTCAGTTCTTCCAGCATTGCTTTGTTATATTTGACGCGTTCATCTCTGATAACTCCCTAATTATTATAAAACACATTTTTGAGCATTATGCCGGTAATTAAATTTTTTCCTTACCTCGATTTCTTTTCTGTGACTTAATTCTTCACGGGGATAAAGTTTACGCTTTGTTTCTGTCACCTTAACCAATTGAAAAATTAAAACCATAATTGGAGTTTATATAAAAATCAAAAACAACTGGAATTACCCATTTCTCGAAATATTGTGGTTGGTTGAAATAGTGGAACATTCCCACTGGGAATGCCATATAAATAGCCATTTTGCCCACTTCTAATTGCCATCCACCCATTTTTTACGCAATAATTGAAAAAGATTTTGAAGAAAGTTTATTTTACTGCGATTTTTCTTATTGTTTTGATTCTGAATCGGTAAATGTTTGGGCGATAATCGGTTGACGATATTTGAAATTTTTAAGTTCGTTAAAAATTCTTAAATGTATCTTTATAAACTTTTTTACGAAAAATTGAAATAAACTTTTCTAACTTAAATACCTACTAAAAATGTAATTTATTTAGATTTCTTTGCTTACATCTAAGATCGTGTATTTAAAAAGATTCAACATTTATACGAGCAGCAAGCAATTTACATGCGACAATAATTTAAATATTTAATAAATCCACTGTGTGGCAGATTCGAAGAAGGTTAGATCCAAGATGTCAGAGAAATGTGATTTCGTCAGAACCATTAAATAGTTTAGAAAGGAAGTTTAGAGGGTTGCAGGAGGTGCGTCTATCTAAGTCTTTGGTTTATAATCGAATCCGAAAGGAACTAAAATGAAAAAATTCATTAAATTTTACATACAAATAATTATTAAGTTACTTACTTCGTAAAATCTGAGCTCTTATCAATGACATGTTCAAATTCAGCAAAGCTAAGTGAACCATCATCATCTAAATCAGCTTCCTCGAGAATATTTTGGATCAGCTGATCCATATCAAGGTCAGTAAATGAGTTATTAAAGCCAATAAGTCGTTGAATAACTTGTTTCAAATCGTTTTTGCTCAACATATCATCACCATCAAAGTCAAATATTCTAAAGGCATGTTCGGATTTTACTGACTTTGGTGCTTGATCACTAAAAACGCTCATCATATCTAAATAGTCTTCGAAAGTACAATCCCCTGTATTATCTCCAGCACTACTGAAAACTTGGCAAATTCTATCAGCAAAAGGATTACAAGCAAGTTCTGCTATTCCGTTTATCATTTTGTTCATCGATAGTTTTGCATTTTTATTATGGTTGACTTTTTCAGGACTTATTGATTTGAATCGTTTGTGCGCTCTATAAAAAGAAAAAAAATATGAAAAAGAGGAAAATTAATTGATTAAATGATTCAAGGTTGGAAGTAAATTATAAAAGTATTTGGAAACTTCAAAGATTTATTGCATTAAACACTTCGTCTTCAGATAGGACGAAGCTTTAAAACAAATTAAAGCTTTTGCGATTAATTAATTTTTCACTCACAATAAAATTTCTTTTTTTGTGAAATATGTTAAATCCTCATAGTCCCGCAATTCTTCTTCCGAAAATTGACTTTGGTTGTTTCCCATTTGAATGTTTTTGAGTTCACGGAAAATATTGAATACTTGATAATTGTAAAAAAATTTATTTGTCAATTTTTCTTTTGCGAGAAAATTTTTCTCTATCCTGAACCGGTTCGAAACGGTTCAAATTGCATGCAAAACCGGTTCGTCCGCATGTAAACAAAGTTAGAACTTTGAAACATATTCTTTAATCTAAAATTTTCCAATTCTAAGGATTTATTTAGAATATGGAAGAATCTTCGAAAATAGCAAAGAACGCTATCCTCGAGGCTTTAAATTTCAATATAAGTTCTTCTAAATCGAAACGAGATATCGTAGAAAATAAATTCTTTAATTGCATTTTTTGCGAACATGTTGAGCAACATCAGATCAACTCATCAAACAAAGCAATTCTTAAACATTTATACATGGAACATCGTCTAGTGATTGCTGATGTTGAAGACGTTTTCGATCTACAGGAATATCTTAATTATTGGAAGAAAGAGTTTACAGGTTTGTTGACAAATTTTGAAATGTTTATTGAAATTTATTTTCAACTCTTTTATCAGGATATCAACCTGAGGAATACTGTACATCACTTTTATGGAAACAGAAACCTGATGGAACGAAGACAGAACATGATGAAAAATATTTCTTATTAAGTGATATTCTACCAAAAGATAAACAAATTCGTGAAGAAATTCAAAGAAAAACTCTAGAAAAAGTTCTCGAAAGGCATCAATTTGAAAGAGTTGATGACAATTTCATCAGAGGCTGTTTGTATTGTCGAAACAGTTTAGAAACAACAAGATATAGTTATGTTGAACATCTTTTTACAAAACATTTTCTGCAACTTGGAAAACCTGAAAATTTGGTGTTTATTGATGAGCTTATCGATTTGATTGAGGATAAAATTACAAATCTGATTTGCATTTATTGCGAAAAAGTTTTTAAAGACCGTCCAATATTGAAAGAGCATATGAGAAAGAAAGGACATAAACGAATCAATCCTGAAAATAAAGCTTATGATCGATTCTTCATGTGCAATTACAAAATTAAAGAAATTTCTAAAACAAATCATGAAAGAAAATTTTACAATCTAAAATCTAGTGAGAGAAGACATAGAGAATATCGTGAAGAAGCCAATTTGTTCAATGATGACGATAACAGCGATTGGTCTGATTGGATGGACAATGAAAATGAAGTTGAAATTATTTGTTTATTTTGCGACTTCAAAGAGACCGATTTTGATCATCTGATAAATCACATGACCACTGCTCATTCGTTTGATTTTAATGAGCGCACAAGAAGTTTGAACTTTTATCAGAAAGTTAAGATGGTCAATTTCATCCGTAGGAAAATTCATCTTAAAGAATGTCTTATGTGTGAAGAAAATTTTGATTCTACTGAGTGCCAAATGAAACATTTGATAGATTCAAATCACATGAAGTGCATTGAAAAGAACTTCGACAAACCAGAATTCTTTTTTCCTACATTTGAAGACGATTCATTTCTTTGTCATCTTGACAATTTCAATGAAGTCGATGAAGTCTCTGATGATTCAGGAACCGTTGTTATATCTGAAGATAGAATCACAATTGTTAATGAAGCTGCTGAAATGTTATCAAAAGAAAAATTCATTGATATTTGAATAAAGAATAATTTAATTGCATTAAATAATGTTTATTTTTTATAAATTGATTGTTACGTGTTACCTAATTAACGGTGGGTTTAAAATTTAAACTAAATATTTTGAACTTCAAATGAACTTGAATTGAACTATTGATTAAGTTCAAAATCGAAATTGGCGCTAATCGAACGAAAATACGGAAGTAAAATTATTCACATAAAAATATTACATAAATCGCGCCAATACTTGATATTTTATAGGAAGTTTACTGCGCAAAAGCGACATCAAAAGAGAAATTTAGGAAGACTCTCCGAGTTTAACCAGAAGAAAGGCTCTTATCAGGTATCTCCCTTCATTCAACATCGCGTGTGACTCATTTTTTGTTGTTGTGGAAAATTCATCTCAAATACTTTGAGAGAAAATTGTGAAAATTGGAAATAGAAAAGTTATTGAAAATTTAGTGATTTTAACATAAGTTATGTTGCATTGCTTAAAAAACGTAAAGTGTAATTAACTCCAAAACATTAAATATTACTTTTTAGTTTTTAATGTGAATCGTGTGAAAAATCCCAGAAAACCTCTCGAAATTAAATCTCTGATAAAATTTCATTAATCAAACTATCAATATCCCTCCGTTTATTGATATAATGAAAAACAATTTACAAGAAATTGACTAAAGTGCACAACACGCTTAGGCACTTTCCCTCTTTTAGATTCGTTGCATTTCAACATGCAATTACGAGGGGAAATTCCATTAAAACCTCGTAGATTGTTTTTAACTAAAACCTTATCATCATTTACATACTTTCGTGCACAAATGTTTGTCCCTCGCCGCCATAAATATCTATTTTTCATACAATAATTTTCCCCCTTTCGTGTTCATGTTTTTCTTTTATTTCCTCATTTCATTGTCACACGTGATTCCTTGATTAAAATTTCACTACGTTTCGTGTCCCTTTTCGATGATGTTTTCATTTTTTTCTTTCTTTCTCGTGTAAATTCTGAGACAAAATTTCTAGAACCAACACGAAGAAGATGAAAACAACGCGAATTTAAAGCGTATGCGACAAGGCATGTTTAGTTTTGCTTGGTTCTCTACACATTAGTTAATCAACAGCAGTCTTGAATCAACCGGCGTTGCGTTCACCTCAAGTTTAAAAAACTTTAAGCAGTAATTTTCTTAATTGCCTCTTGAAATGATTTCATTTATGGACAAACAGATAATTTGAAATGCTAATGAGTGAATTGATTTATGTGAATGATATGAATAAATAAACAAAATTTCTTTGTTGTGATTTGTGCCAAAAAAGGAAAAGAATAACAAACGAAACCATAATGGATAAGAGAAATTATCAAAAGGGATATCACATTGGTAGAAATATTCGTGGTGTCAAGCAGAAACCATGGAGTCATGACGAGTTGAATGTATTGCAATTGGATTTATTCGATCGTACTGTGGTTAAGATAGCGGGTGAGTAATTTAAAAATAAATAAATAATCATGTGGAATTCTTGTTACCTACATACTTTAAATCAACTTGAGTGATAAATCTTGGAACTGCTTTTATATAAAATTAAAATCCTCCCAGATTTAATTTAAAATAAATTAAATTCTATTTTTAACAACACGTCACGTGTAAACAATTCTTGATTCTCATTCTTAAAAACTTAATTTAATTCACACAATAAAAATTAAATAAAAACATTTTCGTCTAAAAATAATCAAGAACAAGGACAAAGTGCAATAGAACTTACGAAAATACAAAATGTTCTTGTAAGATTTCTTCTTTCATTGAAACTTAAATAAATTTAATGGAGGGGAATTTTCTTCTTTGCTGAAGATGATTCAGTAGGTAACATTGAATGTTGCTTATAAGCGTTTACACCTTGAACATAAGATCATGCAGAAAGGAACCCTTACAAACTATATTCAGGTTTCTAGAATGAAACTTTATCCCTTGTGTACAAACCTAAATCATTCCTGAATCAAGAAAGTCATTGTTCCAGTTCCATTTCATCTAATCTAATTAACATACCCAGTTAGCCTTGAAACATTTTTATGCTTTTGTTTTCTTGAACATTGCCATAACGTCTTCAATCTATTGCCTAACACAATTTCCCGTCTCTTTTTTTCTGTCCAGTTTTGTTTAAATTGAAAGTGAAGCGCGACATACGACAAAATCCATTAAATTGAATCAAATGTTCCATTATCATCTTTGCTTCTTGATGGCAGTTTAAATAGAAAAAATCTTCAGAGGCGTTTTTATTGTCTTTTGACTGTCGTACCGTTCATTGCGTTGATGCTGTCGATTTATTGTGATGAATGCTTATAGTAAGCACTTTGTATGAATAGAAAAATGATGACCAGAAGTCAGATAAAAAAAAATTGTAAAAACAAAACGGTGTTGATGAAAAATTGTTTTTCGAGCGTTTGCTTCTGTTTACTGATCACTAGGTCAACACGTTTAAACGAACGATGATTTCATCCATTGACAACATTCTCATCAATTCATAAATTTATGACATGCGAGTAGAAGAATTTTTTCTTCTGTTATTTAAAATTATTCAAATTGTTTTGAACTCTCAGTCAATTGATTTAATTATATTCTCTCCTTATTCAAGTTCATGTCCATTAAAACTTTATTTATGGTTTTAAAAACATTTAACTTTGATCCTCGAAAAAGCTCACAGGATGTGATTTAATCTTTCAAATAGAGCAATAAAGAGAAATTCGAGAGGAAATTGCGGCAAATTAAATCACAAATTTGTTGTTGAACGAGCTCTCAACATGTTGTCACTCGATGTTTGCAACAATTTCTTAATCTTTTGTACGTTTTTGTCCATTGATTGCACACATGATTGTCAGCCTGAGTTATTAAAAATAATAATCTTGGGCATGTAATTACCAAAGACGTGTAACAGTTTGTAGTTCAACATAATGCAAGTAGAAAAACAAGAATCAGCAACACAATTCACATATGTTTCTGAATCACTTAAAAGTAATTTATAAACAACTTCCATGGCCTCAATCATGTGTTTATTTGAATATTCAGATCCAAGACATGCTGATAAACTTTATTTAAATGCTCAATTTACATTTCTTCATCACTTTAACAATTAAACTTGACCACAATGTTGTGATCATACCAAGTAAGACTTTTTATGTTCGATGCACTCCCAACAAAGACAAGATTTGCATACAAAAGTTTTAAAATTAAACTCAAACTGGTGACGAATTTTTCACAACGTTCATGGTGAACTCTTAGTAAGAAATTAGTCAAAGCTTCACATTTAACAAGGCTTTTATTTCCATCGATTCAGCTTACACATCAATTGTTGTAATCTTTTGTTTCATATTGACAACAAACATCAAAAATAAAAGAATAGAAATCATAATTATTATGGCTGAGCTATTTCCGTTGTTATTTTTGGTTTCGGATCGTCTTCATTTGAATATTTTTTACGTAAAATATTTTTCATTGCACGTGCTAATAACATTTTCTTTCGATCATCTGTTTCTTCTGGTGTTAATGTCGCAGTTATTGATGGCGTCATCAATGAAGCTGGCTTGGGAACTTCTAAAACTTTCTTCCAACGATTCGAAAGCTTATTTGTGACGTTCACCGAATCCATTAGTTTGTCCTCCATTAATCTCATCATCTTTTTGCGTTCCTCTGTTCGCTCTTTATGCAATTGTGTTTTGAGGTCTTGATTTGCCATTCGAAGTGCTCCCGTTAAAGATATTAAGTAATAAATGAATAAAATTAAGAGCAGCAGCAATGGAATAATAGCAGCAGGGCTGACAATGTATTCAAGAAATTTATGTGATTGCGATGGCATTATTCCCTTCACAGTGTCAGTGAACAGATAATACATTCGTTCGTAACCAGAGAACGGACCGCAATGCAACGAAGGTTCAAGCCAAACAATTGCATAAGAAACAGGCAGCACGCAAAGGAACAACATTGTGAGAAGAAGCGTTAAGTAAAAGTTGTTTGATCTCGAAGCTCTGTAAAATTTCAATCGTGTTAGCAAAAATTTATTTGTTTTTTAATGAAATGAGACATAAATCTCACCTAAAAACAACTTCGTGTGGAACATTGCAAGTTAAGACAGCCCACGATCGCAAATACAAAATAAGAACAAGCTTGATAAGATTTAATATCGCTAAGCCCGGACTGAAGAACATTCCCATCCACACCATTCCTTGATTATTCACCAAGTGTAAAATATTTTCAGCAATTTTGAAATCGCCGTACTGGAAAGAAGCCTCAAAAAAATTAATAAAAGTTAAAGAAAAGTAAGAAATTTGTTAAGACCTTTGGAAATCGTTTCTCCAAATCCCAGCACCAACATGAGTTCATATATCGAACAAAAAGAGCTCGAAAGAAGTCAAGAATCATAATCTGCATGACAGTTAAAAGCTGAAAATATTTCAAATTGATTTTCATGTTAATTAGATAAACTTTAATAATATTTACTAAGTCCATGACTGTAAGCTTCACAAGTTCTTGTCCAAACATTGTTTCCCAGCAAAGTTTTCTCAATTCCAATTGTGTCGATGAATTTAACAAATCATTATTGATGAAGGATGATTGATCTGTTTGAAGAAAACTGTACTGAAACCCTTCAAGAGCTGAAGCAATTGGTTCGATGTTTGTGTAATTAACCGCTGGAGAATCATTGAAGCCTGAAGGGTTGATGAGATTCGACATGTTAAAGTTTGAATTTATAAATAAGTCTCCCGTTGTATTCGTGTAGAAATCCGTGTAATTTCCGAAATCATTGTCAATGTAAAAAGGATCCGTGAAATCAAAGAGAGATTCTGTGAAATTCATAATTGTTTCGATTGTTGAAGTCTCAACTGTCGTGGAGATTTGTGTGTCAGGCTCTTCATATTCAAAATAATTTGTGTTTGAATAATCGTAACTTTCAGTTGGATCTGTTGGGTATTCGGTCGTAGTTTGATTTAAAATTTCAGTGATTTTTGTGTAAACGCTATCAGTGATTGACTCGACTGTTGATGATGGAATGTCAAAATATGATGGCGTTTGGGTTACAGGTGGAATGGGTTTGAAAGTGACTGAAGGCGATGAGGTCGTCGAGGTGATATTGTCTTGTGAACTTTTGATTTGTCCTAAACGTGCCGTCATTCCATTAATCTTCCCAAACAACGCCCAAATCAAGGAATACAAATTGAGAAGATTTAAAATCATAATTCGAGCCAGTTGCAATCTCAACTGCATGCGTGGGTGGTAATATTCCATCAATCCAAGTAATTCAAACAGCATTGGAAAGATAAATGAAATCATCGACATGACGACTGTGATTTCGTTTCGTCGCCACCATGAATCGTTTTTTTCGCTTGATCGTTTCACAACCCAAATAACCGCATAAGCTGATACGCATAAAAGAAACAAAACACTCAAATTCGCAATGATTCTTAAACAAATGATTTTCCAACTGTAAAGACAAGAAGACAAACGATTATTAAAGAAATAATTAAAGATTCGCAATAAATTCTTCACTTTTTCTTGTCCTTTTGTTTCTCAGCTTCTTCCAGCAATGCTTCTTTAAATCCCATCACAACTGAAGCGATTCGATTTGCGGCTGTTTCTGAATGTCCAATCATAAAATCCCAACCCGTGAATAATTTCCAAGAGAACACGCATTCATCTTCTTTGCTGCCAAGCTTAGCATTTCGTGAATTCTTTGCCATTCTGTTATGGTGGAAATTTATTATGTAAATTGTCATTATATCATTTCATATTTTTTTATTATTATATACTTTCGTAATGTTGCAAAAAAGCTGTAAATGTAGACAACAAGACCGGCAAGAAAATATGCCATCGGCAGTTGATAACCGAAACCAACGGAAGAGTTTGAATAATAGCTGCGAATATATCGATTTATCATAACATTCCATAAATTCTAACACGAAGCTTTCGCTTTTACCCATAAAACAGTGGCGAATATTTCAAATATCCTTCAAAATCCCAAACAGTTAGAAAATTCGAAGCGACTTTCTTTTCATCGTCGAGCATAACTTTCCTTACAACCAATTCTGGGTCTTCATTCTTCTTTGGATCTGCTCCTATCACCTTTAATTAATTAAAAGTTTCAATAACAATCACTTAAGTGCTATCAATGGTCTCACCTCTGGCACGATAACAAACAAAGTAAAAATATTGGCGATCACAATGTTCACCCAGAAAAGCCATCGCAAGAAAATGAAATACGAAGCGACTACCGAGCCAAAACGTGACTCAATTTCCTTGATTCGAATCTCCCAAGGAATAAGTAAAGCAGCGTAATTGTATATCTCACGTTTCATGTGCTTTAATTTCTGTTTTACGGGTGGAATATAAAAAACATTTTTTAATATTTCTTAAAGTAATTTCTGAATTATTAAAAACACTCAAAACAACTTTATTTGTCATGACTCATGACTAACGAAGAACTTGCAGGTACGTTAAATATAGCACATCACAAGTCGTATGCTAAAAAACTGTCGCTAAGAAACTGTCGAAAATTCCAGATATTAAATGTAAATAACTTTTTATGATAAACAATTCATCATTTTACTCTTTTATCAGATAAAATTTAGTCTTGTATCAGATGTTCATAGTGAAAGATCATTAAAAAAACTAAGACATGAAATTTATTATTCATTCGATCGTTTTGTTTTACGTGGCTTGTGAGTTTAATTTTTAACTTATTAGAAATTATTTTTTATTAGCAATCCTTTAGCAATCGTGAACTCAGAAGAAGAAGCGGAAATTGCTATTCCAGAATGTGTCATCAAGAAGGATTCAATTGATCAAGATAAAATGCTGACAGAATGTCCAAGTACTGCATCGTGTGAAAATGGTCAACTAGTAAAAACATCCGCAGGTTGCTGTTGCGATAATGAATATTATGAAAACGATGATCGTTACTTGGACATGTCTAGACCACGTCGAAGAGGATCCAAACAACTGCGACGTTGTGAATATAATGAAGAATATGAAGTAACTGGAAACTATCACACTCATTGTAATGGTTTAAGTGTTTGTGAGAAAGATTATGCTTTGGTCCACAATAATGAAATTCGCAAAGGAAGAACAAGCTACGAAAGGACCAATAAATGTTGCTGTGCACCTTACGACATTGCAGAGTTATTTGTTTTTCCCTAATGAAAACATTCTATCTCAAAAATATTTACTGACTGGAAACTTCGCTAAAAATTGATCATTGAATAAATATAAGCAGCAAATAAAAAACCGAAAACTTTTTTACTCAAATAAAACTTTTAATAAAAGTGTTAAAAATGTTTAAAATAAAATATTTTCCAACTGAACTACTCAAACATGATCGATATCTGCTATTTGATACTGCATCGCTTTTGTTTTGTTTAACAAAGATGTTTTCTTGATATTCTGACAATTCGTGCGACATTTTATAGCTTCATCTGTCACAATAAAATCTTTCACACTTAAACATTGTGAATATTTTATCATAAATATTTAAAAGGATTTTATTACTGAATAATTTCTATGCCATGCCCAGTTATAAAATTTTTAGTTTCTGCTTTATTTATGACTGAATAATTCTACTCACATCAGCGAGAACGATTTTAAATCTCGCATAGAGATCCTTAGTGTTTCCTGATTGTGCGAAACGTTCTTGTAACGTATCTTCATGTCGTGACACGTACTGCTTTGCCTTTTGCACAATTTTATATTTCTTAGACAAACTCCATGGTTGATTTTTAACTGATTGAATAATTTCCTTATGTAACCGAATATTCTCAAAAAGCTGTTCTTGTGTCGTGATGGAAAGTGAATCGTCGAAAGATGTTAAAGATTCAGCACTGGAGCTGAAAATGCTTCGTTTTCTTATATCTAAACTCTCTTGATGTCGATCCTTCATGTTCACTTCTTATTATTTCACTTGTCCATCATTCACTTGAAACTTAAACTTCCTTCTTGATAGAATGGACAAAATATTTTGTTTTTCTTCTGTACACAGGAAAGATCCACTCACGGCAACCGATGGAAGCACAATGAGTGTAAGTGGGGAGTTCGCTCGGAAGACTCTATTAACACCATCGTGATGGAATAGAATCGCCCCGAAAGGGATTGTTGCACCATTACGAAAATATTTTCCATTTAAATTCTATACAATTTTCCCACTCGCAAACGTTTAACTCTCGCGCGCGCTTGAGACGACTCCCGCACCTACTTTCAGCAAGGGATTCCATCTTGGCGTTGAATGGTGACGAGTTAACTTGAGGATGTACAGTTGAAAGCCCCTGGGGATACATAAAACCTCATATTGATTCATATTATTGTCTATATGGAAAGGAATATTATTGTGGCGCTCTCGCGTCCGAAGCCGAACACACCCATCAAACTTTACTTTCACCCACCACTAAATAATACTTTAATGGCATTCCTATGAAAAGAAATTCCGCGCCTCAGAAAAGTGTTTAAGCTTGTGTTGGGTCGTGGCATAGTTCAAAAAGAATTTTCCCAATTGTTCGTCAGTCAGCTACGAACAATTCAAAGGAATTGTTGAACTCGTGACGATATCTTGATGACGAATTGTCATGAAAGTTTCCTACGACTAATAATTGCTCTCAAAAGATGAGATGACGAAAGGTTATTGTGCCAATGCAAAATATATCTAAAATGAAGAAATAAATCTTGGCATTCATCAAGGTCTTGTCATAGTCAATAAAAGTATAAAGTTTGAATTGCCATGTCAGCGGTGAAGCGTCGTTATTTAACGCCATCATTGTTGTGCTTGTAAGTAAACATCGATATTCAAATGCACTTTAACTTTATTTGCACCTTTCACGTGATAGACGGATTGACATGTTGATTTTCAAGTGCGAAAAGCAACTGATTGAATAAATATTTACAGATGGTTTCAAGTTACGAAATCATTTGATTGTTTGTGCGATTCAATCTTTTGTTGATTTTTAACCGCTTTTTGTCGTTGCAAAATTTATGTTCGGAATTCTCATAAAAAGTTTTCGAATTAATTTCTTTTGCTTGCTTGATTATTTCTCTTAATCCGGAATTTCAAGTTTCATTTGACGACGAAAGATTTTAATGGCATATGATCTGAATTTTTGCAATCGAAGCTTCAGCATTAACATATTTTTCGGATCACTTTAAACGATATTGAAATTCAAGTTTTTCCACTTCGTCGAAATTCATTTGAGAACCTTTTCCTTTGTATTGATTTTGAATCATAAAAAATGATTCTGATTTCACCGCATGAGGTCACAAAAAATATTTTAATCGAGGATGTTACAACGGCTTTAATTAAGTAAAGTGATGATATTCGTGATGGCTATGAAAAAGAAATTGCCTCGATTTTTTTTTTATAATTCTAACTTCTTTCACGTGTTGTGCTATTGTCTGTTGAAAATATGCGAAAATATTTCCTTAATTAACTTTAGCAGACCGACGATGAATAAAAGGCTGGTGAAAGCTGATTCTTCCGCTCGAAACTGAACAATAAAATCATCATAAAAAAGGAAGAGAAATGAGTAGATATTCAGTCAAACTGCTGATGATATGTTTCGTTCTTCGTGACTAACTTGAATTAAATGTGATGGAATTTTAGTGTTCCAACAAATTACAACATTCGATGATCAGAGGTGGAATCAGATTGATGATTTGAAAACTATTTTAATCTTTTACTTACTCCACCCTGGAAATTACTTATTATCATGTAGAACAATTTGTATCCTGTTAGTGATGATCATAAACATTTTGTTGTGGGTAATCTAGATAAGATCGAATTCGTGATTTCGCTTTTGTTTTCGTCGTTGTACAGTTTAGTTATCAATACATGAGAAATTTTCGATAAAGTTTTGTAAAGAACCCCACAAACTTATTTACCATCATGAAACGCTATTCGAAATTGTAATATATAAAGGAATTAAGTCATCAGTTCTGATAACGAAGCTATAAATGTTAGTTTGAAAGGAAATAAATATAAATATTACTTAATGATAAAGGTCGTTTGTCTTGCTTTTACCTACGCGACACTTAAACTTACAAGATCACAACTTGACCAAACTATTTAATGCAGCTCACGAGTGGAGTTTCATAGTCTCAATGAAGGTCGAAGATGAAGTGCTTATAAATCATTTTGTAGTTTTATGATCCGTTAGCTGTGAAATAAATAATTGATTGCCAATAAATCTTACATTTTATGAGTTTTATTTCACTTTCAATTGTTCGATTCTTCAATTGTCTTTCAATTTATCAATTCAAATTGCAAACAAATGAAGGTTCAAATTATATCGCTAATCTAATTTGACCATTTATAGAAGAATTAAAAAGGCAAATACATTGAAAAATATTTTAACGATTTACTTGAAATGATTTCATGCAGAAAAATCTCCAACTTTGTTGATCATTGTTTGATGTAAATTAAATCAAGTCAAACAACGATTATTTGAAAATCTTTTGAACGCAATTTAATGAATGAAAATAGCTTTGCGATTATTTATTAATTAATTAAATATTTGACAGAAACAACCAATTATTCAATTAAAAATACATTTCATATTTATCAGTGATTGATTGAAAAAATATTTACGAAACTAGTCTAAAAGGTAATTTGGTGTTTCATGGTTGAAAGCCTTTTCAATCATTTATGAATTGCGTTAAATTCCACAAGTTTAGTCATAAGATTAACGTCCAAGTATAGCAAAATGTTTTAGCACATTCCAACAAGTATTCAAATGTAAAACTGAATCCGTTTTGTCTGCACAATAAATCACTGACATTTAATGCGTTTTTTTAGCGAGACTTTAATCCTTTTTATGGACATTTCAAGCTGTGATGTGTAACTTGTTTGTGTCTACCGCAGCACTTCAACAGAAATGCGAAAAAAAAATGTTTTACTAGTTCAATGATTGTGTAAGATCAAAATTTCACTATCGTTTGTTTACTCTCTCGTCGAGTTTTTTAGGCTCAAACACATTCTTGTGTGAAGATAACAAATTGTAATTGTGAATGGCATTCTCTTGAATCAATATTTGTTGATTTACTACAAGTTTCGCTCTTGCTCTCCGATTGATTAGATTCCCATTCAGTTCTAGCTGCACATGGATCAATGGCTAGCCGATAGTTTATCACGACTCGCTTAAATTTTTTTTTCTTCTGTTTCTCATTCTCTTCGCCACATTCTCGCTCTTTTTGATTTGGTGTTGGGGTAACTTTAAAGCAACACAAATCATTTTCAGTTCCATTCCGACCGCTGTCTACGATTCAACTCGATTGAAGTTTTATTCATTCTTCCATTCATACATTTTTGTGGTTAATTAAACGTTTGCCGAGTCGCTCGATCGTATATCGCGAGTGCCATTCTTGGCTGTGTGCTTTGATATCACAATAGCAAAGTAGTTAAAAAGATAATTAGAATTGAAAGGTGGATCGTCAATTATAGTGCAAAGATCGCTTACATTTCTTAACAACAGAAGCCACAAGAAATATTGAATTGAATATTGAAACTTATCTTATTGGTCATGTGCTGATTCAAATGATAAAATCTGGCGGCATGATAATAATATAAAGTAGCTGGCAATTGTTTTCATTAAAGTGATTGGTCTTGACAAGTTAACTTCCCCATGACGCCATCAGTTGGTTATTTTTGACAACTTTCGATAACAAAAAAGCGATAAGAAATAAGAAAATAAAGAAAAATATGAAATAATTTGTGACTACGTATTATGAAGCAATCGAAACTATAACGAGAGTGTTGCAAATTTTATCGGATGATCGATAAGAACTGAAAGGAAATAAATATTATCGATGAAGTCATTATTAGCTAGAATAGCTGCAAAACGCAATTTTTAACAAAATTCTTTCAAACAAACCATGACCCGTGAAATTTCAACCACAAGATTCAAATTTTTAAAAGCTTTCTTGATGCTACTTCTTAGTTTCCGCATAATCGAACCGGTTTGTGTTGTCTTCAAAATCTAAAAGACTTTTTGTTGTTATGATGTCGCTTTAAAGCTTTCGGGCCTCCGAGACGCGCGTCTTAATGTGTTGAAATCTTGTTGTATTAAGTCAATTAAAATCATCATTAGTGATAAAAAAACATCGGGAAGTATGAAAATAAATCATTTAAGTCGATAATCTAAAGTTTGACTTTAATTCTTAAACCTGTCGCTTGAAGCTTTACGAAACATTGCGAATCTAACGGAAACAAGAATGTGCATCAGATGAGAGAATTTCTTATGCATTTAAATGTGGAAAAAAAACAAGTTAACCAAATCGAGACAATTCAAGTTTTGTATGCATCTAAACTGATCAGTCAGAAGGAGAACTGCAGTTGAACAAGATTAGAATCCTACGCCATTGTCTGCTGCACTTGAATCGATTTTTAATTTAATTGCATTCCATATTTGTTACTACAAGTGAGTGTTGAGTATATTGAACAATGAAGGAATTTCGATAATTCGCTTAAGCAGTGATTAAGTTGGTGTCTGACAAATGTTTAAATAAAAAGAATTTTAATGTTCGCGAAGTGTAAAAAAAGAATTGCGAGATTCTTCAACGTTCTACTTCAACACGAAAAGATCATTAAAATAACTGACAAGAACCTTTCCAACAAATATTTAATGGTTGAGGTTCATGGTCATATATAATATAAATATCTACATTTCTACATAAAATGCAGACGATACAAATCATTACTAACTCTGCTTGAATTCAAACAAAACGAATTTCCAAATAAAGTAACTTAACTAACTGTGTAATTATTAATTTTAATGTGTTAAGTGCTAAGATAATCAAACATTAGTTGGAAATTTCATTGATAATTCGAAGAAACTGAGCAAATAGTGAATCAATCGACATTCACAACAAAGTCATTTTAAAATATTTCCAAGATCTTATATGACAATGTGATAAAACGTTAAACTTAAATAATCTTTTCAACTAAAAAAACTTACAAATCCACAGAAGCTTCCATAAAGCAATAAAACTTCTCAGAATTCCTAAAATTTCGTAACTGCGGGTAGACAATGTCGGGAAATGAAGACAGTTTATTAAGATTTATTCTTCTGTTCGCTTAGGCTTTCTCACTGATTTAAGTATTTAATCGGATTGCTTAACTCGTTTTAACAACGATAAAAGATTCCCTTGTGTTGGTGAATTTTTAATCAAAGAAGAAAATAACTAACAAAAAAAATTTTCTAAGCAGAAGTTTGTCTCAATTTTTTTTTATCACACAAGACGAAGGTTTCCATGTTAGTCATATCGTAAAGATCTTAAAGAACGGTTTCAATTACAAACAGGGAAGAGAAAGAGAAATACACGCGAGATATAAATCGTTTGTGTCAATAACCAGCACGTCATGGCTTGGACATGATTGATGACAGTCTTGAAACAACTATTTGAAAACATTGCTTTATTAGATATTTCACTATTTATTTGAAGTTTATCAGTGAGAAGAAACCTTGACACATTCAGTGGGCTTGTCGAATGAGTGGAGAGAAAAAATAAATTTAACGATCGACTTAAGTAAAAAGCGAATGAACGATGAAAGACGTTCTTTAAGTGTTTGATTGAAATTTGTAAAGTGAAATGGCCAATCATTCGTATTTGAAAGATCGGCTCGGTTTCGATCCCGATGAGCTAATGAATGAAGTTGAAGAGTTGTTTAACAATGGTCCGGAAGATGACGACTTTGAATCGCCATCACATAAAAAATTTAAATCATACAAACCATCGCCATCGTCATCAGCATCGCCCATCAAAGATAACAAAGAGTACGAAAACACTTTGAACATCGTGAAAGGTAAATGAAAGATAATAAATATGTGATGAAAGTTTATTTGAGAAGAACGTGCCCATGATAATTGCATAATTGGTGGGTGGGCGCAACTGATTGCGTTGGTTGAAGCATCGCAATTTCCTTAGTGATTTTCGCATTAACCGTCACGCAACGATCATTAATCAGATCGTTAAAACAAAAGCGAATAAATTTATGATTAAGTCAACAAGCTTGCATTAATTAATTAAGTTATGGGTGAGAAGTTTCCATTTCCACAAAGAAATCCTTCAAGGTCATTTCAAGTCTTCTTTCAATTGTCGATTCTTCTTTGCCTAACAATTCATGATTTGATTCAAGTTGATTCCACATGATTCATGCTGTCGTAATATCTTAAAATAAACGTTTACTTAACCGTGTCCGAATTTTTTTTCTCTTCTCCAAATTTACAGATGAACGTGATGCGATTCAAAAGAAAACATTCACGAAATGGATCAACAATCACCTTCGAAAGGCTGGCGGGAAAGTTACGGATTTGTTTCAGGATTTACGCGATGGTCAGAGTTTGTTGACGCTGCTTGAAATGCTTTCGAATGAAAGACTTGTAAGTGCCATGAAAGGAATTTCATTGTTTGTAAAATTAAACATTCACTTCTTCCACCTACAGCCTCGAGAAAAAGGCAAAATGCGCTTCCATATGTTGCAAAACGTTGACACAGCTTTAAGTTTCCTTAGACGAAAGAATGTGAAACTTGTAAACATCCGTCCCGACGACATCACCGATGGAAATCCAAAGCTAACGTTAGGCTTAATTTGGACGATCATTTTACACTTCCAAGTGAGTAAAATTTATTTAGCATTCAATCTTATTTAGCGTCGCATTGTGCTTGTTAGTTAATTTTTTTCTCTACAACGATTTAAATCACATTATTGTGATATTTGTTTCTCGTTTCGTCATCAGTATCATCATCACCGGAACGGTACTTAATTCAAATACGCCAGTCATTTAAGAAATTCTTTATATAAGCAATGACGAGGATTTCTTAATAAAAAAATAATAAATTCTAGTCGAATTGTCGCCATTTCATATCATCATAAATAATCCAAAATTTCAGAAAAGAATTTTAACATTTTCTTAAAACGACAAAAAATTTGTCCCATGACATTTAAAGTTCATTTTTTGTCTTGAATACAAAGACGCGATTGAGTTGCGATAATGTGCATAATCATCACATATTTTAAATCCATAAAAAGATGAATCAAACCGTCAGCAATTATTCACCGAGAAATTTGCTGTAACAAATCAGAATCATCGTTTAAGCATAAATGATCATTTGTTGTGGCTGTCATGTTAAAAGCCATGAAATGACATTTTCATTCGGATAATCTGTTTTGAAATTTAATAACTCTTGCTTCACATATGATTTCAATCATTTCTTATTTAAAAAAATTGAAAACGAGAACGCAATTCGTATAAATTGGTCGACAAAATTCATCATCATGTGTCTGCGTGTAACTGCAATTGATGGAGACAGACAACAAAATTCTGATAGCAATTAAATTAATGGATTTAGGATAAGTCTTGTGATAACGAAACATTTCTGGCTTACAAAGTTTTAAATTGACTTTAATATCTTTTTACGACTTTCGTTTATAATTTTAATCTCTTGGAAAATAAAATATAAAAAAATTGTTACGTAACATTTAAAAGCTCCCCTTCCTGTCCAATAGCAATTGATCAAATAAAGTGCCGACTAAAGCAAGACAAAGTTTCTTCTAAACATACAAATGAATGAAAGATTGTTTTATGAACAGCTGTAATTGCTAATAAAATGAATTTCCACTGCACAGCTCCTTGTAAACATGTGTAAGCTTCTCGCTGTCTTATTTAATGCAGATACGAAAGCGAGTTGCAATAAATTAAATTATTAATCCAACAAACAAGCGATAAACGAATTCACCTAATTTATATTGACGCATTAACGATAAGTTGCCTTATTGACTGAGTTTCTTTTTCGATATTTTATTTTCGGAAAACAAGCTCAGCTCACGCAAATTATCGTTTTCTCCGATGGTGGAGGCTGGTGTTGGTATAAGTTTGTCTCCTGGTCTTCACAAGACGTTTTTGGAATTTCATTGTTTTTGAAAAAAAAGAAAATAAAAACAGATAGCGATGAGTTGTTGTTTTGCATATCGCGATATGAAGCTTTAAATATTTTTAATCTTCCCATACCCACCAACGATTCCGTCACACACAAAAACTTTAACAAACTTAAAGATAAATTACTGTACGTGCCCACATACCTTTTCTGATAAAGTGAACCTTAGTCGACCAAGTACGGCCATAATATTATTAAATATTCAGACGAAATGAAAAAAACTTTATTGAAAAACTTACATATTGGTAACACTGACACCATCATCGTCATCATCATCATCAACATCTCAGCGAAGTTTGTTCAATCGCCGTCTATATTTTATTCAACAGCTTCAATTGTTGATCGAATTTCTGCGGAGACGGTTGAGTTTTACATCGTTCGTGTTGTGCGTTAGTCAGTCAGTTACTCTTAAGTTGAATTCGAAAATTATTTTCGCTTGTGTTCATATTTGGATGTACTTAAAGTTCATTCGCTTTCGTGACTTGACAATAAATAAAGGAGAAAAAATATTTGATGACGTTTAATTGATTGCAATTAAAACGAAAATAAATTGCAATCATGTTTAAATTAAACGATAAGAAGCATCGTAAAAGGGCTTTGCTGAAGCTGCAACAGTGTAAGCCAAGTTGTAGCGGTGATGAAGAGAAGGACGACTTCTATGAACATAAAGTGACAAACAAAGCCGTTGAATATGAAGTGAAATATAATTTGAATGATTCACCAAACCATTTGGTACGAAAGACAATGAAATATGAGGAAATGTTAGCGAGTGAGAGTGGAAATACTGTTGATGAAGTTGACCATGCTGGAAGTTATCAAAAAACTCAACAGATGTTACTCGATTTCCCTTCGATTGAACGAAACAATCAGTCAAAGGTAGCGAAAAAAAATTTATAATATTTCGCCTTTAAAGTAGATCAAGGACTTTGCTTGAATTTCAAGTGTATGAACAATCCACCCACGATTGATCTTAACATTCAACTGTCGTTGTGTAAATGCTCTAATGAGATTGACTTCAATCCCCAAAACAAAAAGCTCAAAATACAATACCTTTGGAAACGTCCCACGGCACGTTCTGCTTCTCTATTTTTACGACCATAACAGGGTGAAAAAAAATTGCACGCGACATCCAAAAATGAACAAAAAGTTCTTTTCGTCGACTGATTTTGTTTCATTCATGAAGCTTATAAGCTTCAACATTCCAAAGCAAAACGATTTCGTGAATGAATTAACACGATAAATAAGTAGGATGATGAAAATGATTAACTTCAGACTTGTTTTTGTGTGTTGATCTAAACTACTGATGTGCTTTTGTTGATTTTTGATTTGTTTCGTTTGTGTAGAACACTCGAGCGCCATATGATATTTTTCCTTAAAGGTTTCAGGTGAAGATTTTGATGATTTTCGGGACTTTTATGGTCGCCGAAAGATGAGAATAAAAAACTGAAATGGTCAAAGAATTTATTTCGCAAGTTTATAGTTTTTCTTGTTACAAGATTGACAATCCTAATGATGGAGATAAGAAACGTAAACTCGTTAATAAATTACGTCACACTTGTTGTGGGTGTGACTGACTTATTGACTAAATATTTTTAAGAAGATGATGACTGCAAACAGTGAAAAGTATTTTGTGACGAAACATGAAAATATTTCCCGGTAAAAGCAAAACATTAGCAAACTCACAGATCGTGACCTTGGCTAACAGATTGGTGCGCTCGAACGAAATTTAATGGGCACCTATAGAGCCATTATTCGCGATTATTAATAATGAAATGGTCATAAGGTTTTTCTTACGCAACTCAAAGATCACCATCGTTCTCTCATTTATTTTCTTTTCTTTCATTTGATGTTAATTTAATATTTTGAATTTTACGTTTCGATCACGGACCTCGTTATGTCCATATTTAGAGCAGTTTCGTCATGGTTAATGAAAAAAAAGCATCGATCGATGCCACTTGCAAATCTTATTGGCATTTGCTATAATTTATTGTTTTCTCTTTCGCTCCTAGATATCAGACATTATGCTTGGCAATGATGAGAATGTTTCAGCTCGTGAAGCATTGTTGAGATGGGCTAGAAATACAACAGAAAAGTATCCAGGCGTTCATATTACCGATTTTACAACTTCATGGCGTGATGGTATGGGATTTTCAGCTTTAGTGCATCGAAATCGACCGGATTTGATTGATTGGCGCAACATTCGTGAAATAAAAAATCGTGAACGCTTAGATCGAGTGTTTACAGTTATGAGCAATGAATATAATGTTCCGAAACTTCTTGATGCATCTGATGTTGACACACATTCACCAGATGAACGTAGTATGATTACATACATCAGTTCCATTTATAATGTGTTCCCAAAACCACCAAAAAATCATCCATTAGGTGATATGAGTTCACAAAATCAAGCTCAAGAATATCGAACGGAAGCACAAAAGTTGATGATTTGGTGTCGTGAGAAAACGACAATGTTACAAGAAAGAACTTTGGATAGAAATCTTCCTGAGTTGAGAAGACTTCTTGATGACTTGAAGAAATTGCGCAATTTTGAAGTGCCTGAGAAACAAAAAGATAAACAAAAATTGACAGTTCTTTATAGTCAGTTGGAGAGATTTTTCCTGTCAACCGGTAAATCGTCACTAGAACTTGACCTTCGTCCGGAATCACTTGAAATGTTTTGGTATCGATTGATCACAGCCTTAGCTGACAAAGAACATGATTTACTCCTACACATTCAACAATTGCAACAACTCGAAATGTTGGCAGGAAAAATTGAACGCGAAGTTGAACAATTCGATCAGAAAATCACGGACATATCATACAGAATCTCAAATGAAAGTGCCAGAATTGATAAAGTTCACCGATTGGATGCGAGAAATATTATTGAATCAATTGAGACAGATGTGGCGTTACTTGAGAAGCCAATCGAGCAAATGCTTCAAGATTGTCATACTTTAATTGAAGGAAATCACGAGAAAGCGAAAGTCTTGTACGAAAGGTGAGTTAAATCATTACTAAATATTGTAAAATTTTTCTGATTTATTTCTCTTTAAAAAGTTCAACACAAATCAATCAGAGATACGCACAACTTAAGACAACATTCCATCTTCAAATGTTATCAAAAATGTCACCAACACGTGACTTAAACAGTGGACGTAATTTAGAAAACAATCCTTACCTTCGTGATGTTGATCAATTAATTCGATGGTGTCAAGAACGATTGGTAAAGTCACATAATCAAATTAACAAGAAAAACTTAACTAACGAAATTTATTTCTGTTTTACTTCCAGTCGGTTCTTTTACAAGCCACTTGGGGATCAGATTTGCGTTCAATAACTCACGAATTGGAATCACATCAAGCAGAACATCGCACAAATGATCAATTCCATTCAAAAGTTCTTCAAGCTGAACGACAGAAGTCAAACTTATCAGGTGATGAGTCAATTCTTTATCAACAGTCATTAAATCAATTGAAGAAAGTTTATGCCGAGTTGTTGAGCTTGTCAACAAAACGTTTGTGTGATCTTCATGCACTTCATGATTTCATCACCGTTGCTACTGATGAACTTGATTGGTTGGCAACGCATGAAGATATTGAACTCAATCGTGACTGGTCCGATACATCAATGGATTTGTCGACATTAAATCATAATTATAAATCAATGGTAAGTGAGTACAATGGAAGAGAACAGCAAATCAGGGCAACGATGGAGAAAGGTGAAGGTCTTGTTACTCAACATCCCGCATCGAAACTCGTCGCAAGCTACATGCAAGAGATTCAAGAGCAGAGATCTTGGCTGTATCAATTAATTCATTGTTTTGAGATTCATTTTCGACATCTTGCTGAATTCCAAAACTTTTACAACGATATTAATGAACAGAAAGAATGGCTCGTCGCGAGAAAGGAATTACTTGAAACAAAATATTCCGACAGTGATTTTAATCTCGATCGCGGTGAGATTTTATTGCGTGGCATGCAAACAATCTTAGATGAGTTAAATCAATTTGACACGATCATTGAGAAATTAGCGAAACGGTCACAGTCGATTGTTCCATTAAAAGAGAGAAAGCAAATAATTCATCATAAAAAGTACGCGGTTCAAAGCTTGTGCACATATAAGCGAAAGATTGTGTTGGAGAAAGGCGAAGTAGCTGAGTTGGTTGACGTTTCCGGAGGCGCTTATTGGAGAGTCAGAACAAGCAAAGGTGAAAACACAATTCCAAGTGCTGCTTTGATGATTCCACCGCCAAATGACGAAACAAATGATTTGGTGAAGAAACTCAGATTGTCACAACAGAAAATGATTGAACTTTGGCAAAATAAACAAATTCATCTTCGACGAAATATGATTCTTGCGACGATAAGAGTCGTCAGAGAGTGGAGTTTCGAACATTTCCTTGGCATGGGATTCGAGCAACGCAGCTCCATTCGACGTGCTTTGAATGAAGATTCCGATAAAGTTCTTGCTGAATCAGATCCAACTGATCACCAACTTAAACGTCTCAAGCAAGAAATGATTGAAGTCAACCGATTGTTTGATGAATTCGAGCGTCGCGCAAGTTCAGAAGGTAATTAATTGAACGTTACGCTAATTATTCATTTGTGCAACTTGCACATTGAAATTCTTGTCGTTTACCATATTTAGCGATTTTATTTCTATTACGATTGAAATTTTAATACACCACAGCATTAATTATGATATCGAGGAGTGTTGCTTGCCTCCATTTGATCATTTGATCGGAGCAATTTCATTTAATTAAATATTTTTGTTCAATAATTATTTACATACCAAATTGGGAGCACGAACGTGAAAATTGTGATATTTATGAAGATATTTGTGGGGAATGTTTGGAATTAATGTTACTGTAATAAATGCTGACATTAATTAACATTTACTTTTCCTTTATTACTCTTTTATTCTCACCGGAAAACGTTTCACTTTTAATGTAAGTTTGAAACAAACTCGACTGAAAGTGTAACGTGTCGCCGCTTTCATAATTCATTTCCCCTAAAATATTTCCAGCTCCACATGAATCCAAGTAAACAATTTAAAACTTTATTGATTGTGGGTTGATAATTCAATTGTTTGCTTTTTGTTCTATTATCGCTGACAATAATCAACGTTATATGGCGAAAATCTATTTCAGTTTATAAAGTTCTTGCACGAGCCATAAAAAAAGCTCAAAACATTGCCGTGACCACAGTCACAACGGTTGCGACTCTAAACAATGTTAAATTAGATAATTGACATGCAATTAAAGTAAATGGCTCGTAACTTGACGATGCTTTTGGGAAGAGAGAAAATTTAGTTAGTTTATCTTCAACATCTACATCAGTTAGATCACGCGATATTTTGTTTTTCAAGTTTCTTTCTGACGATTTGTGTTTTAAAGATTTTATTTTACAATCTCAATCATGAAGGGAATGTTTAGATTCAAATCTTTTCGTGGTAAAAGATTTTAAATAATTCTAATTAAATACTCCCACGCTAATTTCTAATTTCCGTTGTTTTCTTTATTTTAATTTTTATGTTATCAGAGGAAAGCAAACAAACGACTCAAGTGTTTAACGAGAAGTGCCTTTTGTTATCATCTCGTTTGGAAGTTTTAGCTAAAGAGCTTGATGGCATCATCTTGTCACGTTTACCACAAGATCGAAGTGCATCTGATGCAGCACTTGAGATTATTCTCGATTTTATTCGACGCTTAGGCTTTTTTGATTCTGATTTGAAGAACCTTAAAGAAACCTTCCGTGCTATACCGCAGAAAACTCCCGCACAGAAAAAGAATTTGGACAATTTAACTGAACTTTACAAGGAACTTGTGACACAAGCAAACTTGCACAAGGAACGATTGAATCTTCTTGAAAGTACATTACATGGTCTTGTCAAGAACACTGACATTGTTAAAGATCTTGAGAATGTTCTTGCCAGTCACATTATTATGCCTTCGACAGTTGAAGGCTTGCGTGACCTTCTCAAGCAGCTTTCATCCCTCCAGGAAATTATGAGCGATAGTCAATCGTCCATGGATAAAATGAATAATTCCGCCAACAGTCTGGGACGAATGGGAGTTCCAACAAAGATCATTGACGATTTGAAATCACTTCATTCACGAGTTGAGCGTTTAAATTCACGGTGGAACAATATCAATGTTCAACTTGCTGACAGGTGAATTGTTTGTTGAAATTTGATGGTAATCTTGTTTTTAATTAACATTTTGTTCCTTTATGACAATAGAGTGCAAAGCGTTGAAACAGCAATTGGTTTGCTGAAAAACTTGCAAACTTCGTTGATTCTCGAAGAGACGTGGGTGGAAACGCAAACTCAAAAGTTGAAATTACTGCCGACCGTCAGTCATGCTTTGGACTTGGATGTGAGTAGACAGATGCTTGTTTAATTGACGGGATTTTTTGATTGTTTGATTGATTTATCATTTCGTAATTATTTCGTCATCTTTTGTTAATTAAATCATGTTTGTCTTCGTTGCTTTTTGTGTTTCTACGTTTTTTTATTTTTGAATGTTGTCTTCAATTGAATGAGTGAATGAATGAAATAATGATTGTGATGAATCTTTAATTGTCTTTTTGTGCAATGTCTTCAGCCTTCACGAAAGCTGCTGAAGCTTTTAAATAACTTTTTCACATTTCACGCCATATCAAGCGCTTACGAGTAGTTAGCAAAATTGCGAGTTTCATAAAATTCAGGTAAAGATGCTTTAAAATATTTTTTTACATATTTAACTTCAGATTAATTTATAATTTCTAAAATTTAAGAAACAAATGAAGTTGCATAATTTTTGGTATGAGAAAGACTCACAATAGGAACGATTGGATGTTTTGTCACAATAGACAATTTAAAACTTCACATGTGACAAAACATCTTCACATCCATCCTTTTAAATAAAATTAATAACTTATTAATTCAAAATTTAATTGTTTTGTTCATTGCGAATCATATTTTTGGATCAAAGGAAATTCCACTCATCGGTTCAGTCATGGTTTTTATTTAAAACAAAAATTTTGATCATAATCCCTAATCAATTCACCTTTTGGCTCGTTTTCAATCACCGACATATCACGTGTCATAAATAAAGCAGATAATATGGTCAACCACTAAACTTAGATCATCGCTTAATTAATTTTGAGTAAAAAGAAATAAAACTAATCAAAGATTCCAACTCCATTAATTATTTATCACGATCAGAGTCTTCTGACGGAAACTGTCGCACGAGGAAATAATCAAATAAGCGATACTAACCTTTGTGGTGGCAAACTGATACACGTTTCAGAGGTATGTCAAGAAAAAATGCATAAAATGTGTTAATGATTACTTCAAAGTTGTCTCTGTCAATAGAGCTTCAAGACGAAGTGTTTTGAATTCAATGACTCAGTCAAAGATGTCCACGAGACAGCACCAGAAGTTCAGCTTTATAAACCAGAAATCAGCGATATTTATGGTGGTCTACTAGATGATCTTAATACCAAATATGAACGGTTATTGTCACTTTTTCAACTTCACCTCGATAGCATCAAAGACGCTGAAGTTCGAAAGGTGAGTCACTTAATATTCCACTTTAATGCTTCGTTCCTTGGTCATGGTCGTGACAAAAAGAAGAAATAAACGAAAAACTAACCTTCGAGATTGAGTAAGCGCGAAATTAGCAGCAACTTTACAAATGTTTTATTAAAACGATTCATTGTTGATGACATGGAATCAATTACTGAATTCTTTCAAAAGCAACTTTAAACATGCGACAAAAAGAAAACTTTTAGCTCGTGCTGAAACTTTTAAATGGACAAAAATTGTTGATTCAAACACTTTTTTTGTTATTATGAATTTATTGTGTTTCGTTTTGAGAATTGATATGGTAGCGTGGGTTGGGTGAATAGTCAAGATGCCAATCGTTCAATAAATGATGTGAATAGAATAATTGAACTCTTTCATCGCTCTCAATAAAAAAATATGTTTTGTGACGAGTGTTGTTAGTTACCGCATAAAAGAAATTCATCGTTGCATAATCGAAAACTAAGCGTGGGAGTTAGTCGAATCCTACTCAACATGCAAATTAAATTGCCATCCCATAAACAGAAAATTCCACGAATTGAAAAACATCATCAAAGGTTTTTTTATGCGAGTTCGTTATGAGGTTTATTTCTTATGTCTTTAATGCCTTCTTTTAACTTCGTCACAACTCGCATGAAAATATATGAAACAAGAGGCAGAAGTAAGAAATGACATCATTTTCTGAGCGTTTGCAGTTCTGTTTTTCTTTTTATTATTCCTTTTTTATTTTAGTTAATGTTGACATTGAAATTCTCACATGGGAATGTTTGACAAAAAAAAATCCGAAGTAGCTGCTGAAATTTATCCACATTTTCGACTACCATTTCATTAACACTTAAGATGGTTTCATGAGAGTTAATTCGAATATTCTCATGAAAGAGTTGCTCTTTATAAAATTCGCAGTCATTATAGTGTTAATTTAGAGGATAAAATAAATACGTGAACTTGCAGAGCTCCATTTTAAAGAAGACGCGTCATTGTCTATTTTTACCAGAATAATATTTGGTGAAGTCAAACAAATTTCGTGCAGAGATATTTGAAGAAAAAAAAACATTTTAAGTTAATTGCTGATAAGACGTTTTGCTTTCTGTATGTGTAAGAAAGTCAGAAATTTTTATTTATTTTTCTAACAAATAAGTTGACTGAACTTTAATGGTTTAAAATTCAATTTGGGAATTGATTACGATATGAAAATTTGTCAACATTGCACAACATGTATCTATTAAATTTAATTGAGACATTTAAGGAAGCTTCATGTCAAGTAGCGATCAAGCACTATTAAGACACTTGTCGAATTATCAGCTCTCGTCACACTTTATTGCTATTAGATTCATAGGTTCATTTGATTAATGGACACTAGTAGCTCGCGCTAACCAAGCAAAGACTAATTGTGGCTCTTCAACAAATTGTTGTTATATTTTTGTGTTCTTTTTCTCAATGACACACCAAAACACATAAACATTGACATTATTCAACTCATTCAAATGCTGGTTATCGTAAATATGGTCTCAAAGTCTCGTTTTATTCGTTATTACACAACAGATGATGTCATTGTTATTAACATCGTCTTTTCAATAGATGAAATCTATAATTTCCCCTTGTGACTTCTTATTGTTAACATTTCAATATGATTTCCTTTCGGACACTTTGATTTATATTCCTGCTAATTCTTTGATCCATAATTATTCGCAATAAAAACTGAAACAAGATAATTGGCAAGAAGAAAATAACAAAAAAAGTTCCAAACTTCGTTGCGTGTTCTTTGCCGGTTTTTTTGTTCATGTGTTGAGGAAGAGAAGAGTTGAGAGCGAGAGAATTTTTACATTCCAACACCAGCAGAAAAAAATATAATTAAATGCTTGTTGATAGTGATACCATGCTGCGGATTCTTTCATATTTCGCGCGTTATACTCTGTGGTGGTATTTCAATTTAGACTCTACAGGCAAACAGAAAAAAAATATCTTTTTATGAAAAGTTGGAGAGCGAACAGCCATGAATCTCAATTCAGTTTGCAAGTGAATTCTTAACGTGCTAGACGTGAAACTGTAAACCGTTGCGAATATAAACACAAATGTAGTTATGAAAAGCGATAAAAAGAAAACAAAGAATTTCAAGTTCATTTTACCGGCACTTGGGAAGTGATTTATCAAGAATGATCGTTCATTACGCAATCAAGTTAATCAAAGATGATGATAAACATTCATGATGTGTTTTGAGTTTGTTCATCACTCATCAACGAATTTCACTCATCATTGTAGTTCATTGAGACTGTTGAGTGTTTATTTTCAAACTAATGTATGAGAATATTGAGACATGAAGGAAAGGAAAAAAAAGAAATAATAAATTTTTTAGGTCTCGGAGAATTTCTTATGCAAATAGCAATTTGTTTTTGAAAGCGGCTGACAAATAATAAACGTGAGGTGATATAATGGAAGAAAATGACACAATCTGTTCAAAAATACTCACAAAATGACGTGTAAAGTCATAAATTCAATTTATCAATAAAATTGTGTTCAAGGTTTTGATTTGTTGTTTGGGAGTTGCGTAAACAATAAGTTAGATGGAAACTAAATCAAATCTACTTAAGAAATAAAATCTTGGGATTAATTTTATTAATTCCTTTTATGTCAAGCAGATATTTCAATCTTAATGAATTGTTTTTCTCATGAAGTCATGCAGCCACGTTTCAAATATTTTTGCGAATCATATCGAATTTGATTTCAAGTTTTTGTTGGTGTCAACTTTTTGTTATTTATAAACGTAATGGGAGGTAAATTTTTCGAGTATGTTTTTCATCAAAGGAATTTAATCTTGCGACAAAAGCAGTTCCAGTTTAATTTTCATTTAATCAAACGCGATAAGAAAGCGACGAAAGAATGTTCAATCAGCATGCGGTCATTCATAAATTCTCAACATTTTGTAAGACTGACTTGTGTGACATCAACAAAATTAATTCGAGTCAGTAACGAAAATAAAGAAAAGAAATTCAAAGATTTTATAATTTTTAAGTTGAAATATGAAAATGAAGCCGACAAGTCTTGTGATTTTATTATATTTTAAACTCATTTGGCCGAGTTCATAAATAAATTTAAATCCAAAATGTGGAAGAAGTTGGAATGAGAAACACAACAACAGCATTTAGAATAAAAATCTATTAAAAAATCGACTTTTGCGATTTAAAACGCAACACAATATTGGTGGTTGAGAAGTTTTGTTTCCATTTATTAGATTGACCGTGACATTTCCAAAAAGTCTCATTTCAAATTACGATAAATTTATTTATGAAAATGTTGTGTTGTTGTAAGCGATATAATCAGCTGGCCAATTGTTAGAATTTAAATAATGTCTAATTAATGAATATTCCGTTGGAACTATAGTTAACTCAATTTATTATTTTCCTTTTTTGGTCTATAAATTAAATTTCGAGGAAGCTTTTTTCATTAGTCAACAACAAATGAAATGCATCAATGTTCTATTTATAGACGTGAAGACGATTCCACCGGTAGATTTTCGATTTAAAATTACAAATGATGGATTGAAATGAATTAGTAATTATAGTTAGAAGAATCTCAATCAATTCCAACACAACTTTAATCCCAATTCGTTTTGCTTCTCCTAGTCGAATAGGTAAATAAATTCTTAAATCAATAATACGAAAAAGAAATAAAATAGAAGGCAAATCGATAGAATAAATTATTTTTTTTTTGGGAGAATCTTTTTTCGACATGAGAACCCAGTTTGTTGTGCAATTCAATCCGTGCTTAGATTGAAACGTTTTGTTGGAATGATAAAAATAATTATGACAGCAAAGTGTCAAGATAACAATCCATTCATGCATTTTTGACAGTTTATGAGCTTCACCATTAGCAAATTCCATTGACGGTTTTTTGTTGTTTTGAAATATTTTTCAATTTTCTCTCACAATTCTCTTTGAGTGGAAAACTTTTCTCTCTCAATTGGGAAAAATCAGATGATATTTGTGGAAAATGTTATCGTGAAAAACTATGTCATTCTCTGTCTGACTTTACTGTGGAATGAAGCAAGAAAATTCTTTTTATAAATAGTTTCGGTTTTTTGATTTAATTAATTTAGTTTACAACAGCTTTAAGCTGGTATTGTGATAAAGTTTGATACATTTGGCCTTGAAACAAAAGCTCAACACTATCAATAACATGTAAAGTTAGATGTTTGTAAAATAAATTGATAATTCACATGAAATGTGTTAATTTGCGTGCAAGTTGTTGTTGACGTAAGCATAGAAGACACCAAAGTTGTCGGTAAAATGAATGAGAAATTATTTGAAGGTTTCAAAGTGTGCCATAAACATACACATAAAGTTTTGTCGTGTTCATTTTATCGCTTTTAAACCCACAGTTTATTACAAATAATTTCATATTTCCTTCTCGTTCTCAGCTTAATAAAAAAATAAGAAGAAAAATTTTTCAGACAGAACTGAAAATATTGAAAATTTCTTCTGTTTTGTCTCATTCCCATAAGTAAAAGAAAAAGGAAAAAGAAAAAGAAAAGAAAGCTGTGAAAATTTTGTGTCATTATACTAAAAATATAAACAAGTAATTTATGTAAAAAACGCGAGAGCCGGCGAAAGTGAAAGAAAATAAAAAGGAAAGAAAATTCATTGAAGTGCTCGTTCGAGGAAAATTATTAAATATTTTCATTTCGTGAAAATTCACGTAGCGCTAAAATGGATAAGCATGAATACAATTTCGCATTCGAGTTCAGGGTTAGTTTGTCGTTGTCTCGTGTTTGTTAACGATGATTTGTTACATGTTTACTAATTATTTCTCTTAATTATCTTCCGCAGCGTTTTGCTGAGAGTTTACGTAAACCTGTGAAAACTTTCAGGCGTAGCTCCACGCAAGAGGTTGTGGTTGAAGAGTTGGAACAAGAAGTGGCAACAAAGTGAGTTATTTGAACTAATTTAATATTCTAAATTTTTAGATAATCATCAACTTAATTCATAATTAAACTTTCAAATACTTTAGAGCAAATGATCCGTTAAAGGAAGATAAACAATTGCTGTGGAAACTTTTGAATCTTCTTGCAATCAAAGATCCAAAAACCGGAAATTTGGTAACCGTTCATCAAGCTATAAAGTTGAAGATTTTCGATGCAAATGAAGCAAAAATTGTTGTTAACGAAGGGCAAGATCCATTGAGTCTTGACGAAGCTCTCAAAAGAAACGTCATCGACACAAAGTTGTATGATAATTTGAAATCGTTACACGATCTCTCAAAGAAGTATGAAATCAATCTCAATGATGATGATGATGATGATCTTGATTTAGATGGGTCAAAGAAGCGAGTGAAGGTAATAGAAATTAATAAAAATGGTGCAAAGAGTATCACACAGGCGACAGCCGAAGGAACAGTCGATTCGGCAACTGGTCTGTATCGATTAAGCAATGGATCATATATCACAATCACTGAAGCCTACAATCACGGCTATTTGATTCAAAATGAAACTGTTAAGATCAAGTCAACTCCTATGAGCTTCTCAGATGCGTTAGCTCGTGGATTATTCGATGATCATGGATATTTTACAGATCGCAATTCGGGCGTCAAACATCAATTGCATTCGGCAATCGCGAACAATTTAATTCTTGGTAAATTACGCGAAGTCGTTGACATAAAGAGTGACGAAAAACTTACAGTCAATCGTGCGCTTTCAATTGGAATGCTTGACTCACAAAATGGTATGTTTAAGAATTCACTGTCAAATGAGAATTGTACTTTTAATAATGCGTTCAATAGTCATTTGATAAGCAAGCCATTGACATTTAAAGATCTTGTCGATTTAGAATTGATCAAAGACGGTAAAATTCTTTCACCAACATTCACCAAATGGTTGTCGATTAAAGATGCTATCGACGCCGGTGTTTTAGATTACGATAATCTCCGATGCGTGACAAAAGAAAAAGGAAGTCTCTTAACATTATCCGAGGCTATTGATGGTGGAATAATTTCCTTAAATGGCGTTTACAAAGACGTCGTTACAGACGAAACATTATCCATTAAACAAGCCGTTGAGCGCGGTCTTATTTCTTCGGTTTCTCAGAAATCAATCTTTGATATCGATGGATTTAAAGATCCAAAAGAAGAAACTTTCGTGTCTTTCAATTCTGCCTTTAAAAAACGTTTCTTGCGACGCGATGATAAAAGATTTATTATCGTTTCAAGCGATCATCATTTCCTTACTTTAGAAGAAGGTCTTGATGCGGGCTTAGTCCGTCCCGAAGTCTTTTCAATGCTTACACGACACATTGGCGTGTTCGACAACGAGAAAAATGAATTGCGTGTTGTTGATTTAGTTTTGTTTAAACTTATTGATCCAATTAGTGGATATTTGCTTCACCCACAAACAGGAAAGCAAATTCCTTTAGATGACGCAATCGCTGAACAAATGATAACATCTGAAGGTGCTTTGCTTTTAAGCAGCTTATTGAGTATCACTTTGACAACTGAAACAATCACAAAAACCATCAAGCGTTATGTCACCATCAGAGATAATTCAACTCACGAGGGAAATGGTCAAACTTCATATTCTGAAGCTGTCCAAAGAGGTCTCATTTCAATTGATAATCAAAGCTATCATCAACCAGATGAAAATCAGTTTTATTTGGTTCAAGATGCTTTAAACACTGATCGAGTTTTAGGTGATACGGAAGTGATTAATGGCACACCAAGAAAAGCTACAATAACTATCGTAAAGAAAACTTTTTCTCCAACTTTCAATCAAAGCTCATCATCGAATGTTATCACACAATCGTCAACTGCCGAACGTCAACCCGAACAAAAATCAATGATTAAAATTCTTAAAAAGATGCAGAAGAAAGTCATTGGTTTGAGTGACGCATTGCACATGGGATTGATAAATGATGAAACTTATGAATTGCTTGAGAATAACGTGACATTTGTTAACAATCCAGATTCATTTTTAAAGAGTAAAAAATATAAAGTTAAAGATCCCCAATCAGGCGTTAATCTCACGCTTGAAGAAGCAATTGAGCGTGAAATTATCAATCCAAATAACATAACGAAATTTTACATTCCATTTTGTAAAAGTCTCACCATTCCCCAACTTTACGAACGTGATTTATTAGACGTTGATAGTCAGTTGATAATTCATCCCGAGACAGGCGATTTACTGACAATCAACGAAGCGATTGCGTGTGATATTGTTGATAGACATTCACTAATTAAGAACGATAAAAAGCATAAAATCACTCTTAAAGATGCGTTGAAAAGTGATTATCTTGATGGACAACTGGCGATCGTCAGAACAAAAAAAGGCGACTTGAGTTTGAAGAGCGCACTTGACCGTGGACTATTCTTAGAACCAGAAAGACAAGAGAAACAAAAAGACAAGAAGCAAACATATCCAGAAATTCCACTCATCGGACAAATTTTCCCAGTCATTGTTAAAAGAAATCTTTTCGATTCTGTCAAACATGAAGTCATTAATAAAATATCAGGCAGAAGAATTCCAATTAAAGATGCAATTGAAACTGATTATGTCATGTCAGTACCATGCACACCGAATGCAGAAGAAATTTCAATTGTTGATGCTTTGAATCGAAATATTATTGACATTGAAAATCAATCATTTAGAACTCTTCGTACTGGTGAAGTCATGCCACTTATGGAAGCACACAATCAAGGTTATTTGATTGCAAAACCATTGCATGCAATAATTTCACATGAATCGTTGAAGCAAACTCAAGTTCAGAAAGATGTGAAGAATGTTTCTCACACTGTTAAGACGAAAAGTGTTGACATTCTTGATGGATGGACAATGGTGTCAGTAAATGAAATCATTAACAACAAAACTGGTGAAGTTGTTACACTTGATGATGCAAAAGATAAAGGAATTGCTATTGAAAGAGTTGAAGTTAATCAATTTACGACATCGAGCACTGAAGACGTCACTCCGATTGAAACAAAACCAGAAACAAAGACAGGAAATATTTCTCAGGTCACTGTTTGGTTTGATCCAAACGACTCACAGAAATCAATGGAACCAGACACTTCTGAATTTGTTGATTCTGTTTCTGAGACATCGCAAACTACGTCAACGTCTCATGTGACGATAAAGAAAATTACAACAGTAAAGAAAATTCTCGTTGATGAGAATGGAAAGGAAATCGTACAAGAAGTTTCTGAAATTCCTGAAACCTTCGAAAGAATCAGTGAAAGTACATTGCCAGCTGATGATAAGGAGTTTGAAGATATCATTTCGAAGTTACGTGAAGAAAATCCTGAGTTTGATGATTTGAATCAAGAAGAATTTGTCACAAGAACAGTGAACAATGAAACTGTCATCACGAAGATTGTCAAAGAGTACAATGTTGTGAAGAATGAAACTGAGACGTTGACAACATCTTGGCAAGGAGATGAAAGCATCGATGAAGGAATTGAAGCACAAGAAATTGTCAATGAACCAGAAATGATTCGAATTGTGAAAGAAACAAGTCCAAAAGTTGATGAGACAACAACTGTTGAACAACTTCCAGATGCTGAAAAGAAAACGATCGTCATCACCACAACTCGTGTCATTAAAACAAAGGATGATGACAAACCATCACATGAAGATATTCCGAAACCTGAAGTGGTTGAAGATTTCACAAGAGAAGTTTCACCTGGAAGAACGAAAACAATCATCACATCAACAATTCAATCAGTTAGCGAGAAAGTGCCAGAAGAAGTGGCACCAAAACCTGCTAAAGAATTCAAGGAACCTGAAAATCGTCAACCGAAGAAGAAAAATGTAACTGATTTGACTGTGAGATTCTTAGATGGTGAAAGAAATCAAGAACCTCCAGTGCCAGCTCCAAGAGGTAAGAAAACAAAACCAAGTGAGGTGCCACAAGACGTTGCGGATGTGTCTGTTGAACCTCAAACTGCCACAATTCAACATGTTACAAAAACAGTTATCATTACAAAAACTGCTCAAGATGATGGTCAAATGTCGTCACCACAACCTAAAAATGAGAATGATGACGCAAATTCGAAGCATTTAGAGAAGATTGTTGTGTCTACTCTTCAACGAAATAAAGATGATGATGATGATTCGACACAAAAGCCTGAAAAAATTGTTGAAACTGAAGAAAAAGTCATCGAGCCATTGAAGTCAGCTGAAGATGATTCAATTCCTAAGACAAAACAAGGAAAAATTACCACAACAATTATCACAACAAAGATTCTTGAACCAAGTCAAGTTGAAACTGTTACTATGACCCAAGATTCAACTCTCATTCAATCTCCATCAAGTAGAGAAACATCACCGCTAAGTGGACCAAAAAGTCCATCTGATCTCGTCAAAGTTAAGCAATTCACAGTTGCTGAGAACATCATTGAAGTGATTCCATTACGTGATGCAATTAAAAAAGGAAAAATTGAACCGAAAATTTGTCGCGTTATGGATAATGGAAATGAACTTCCTTTGACAGTTCATGATGCATTGAAAGCGAAAGAGCTTTCACCAACCGATGTTGTGCAAATTATTTCAAGTCATGTTGTGGTGTTGATGCGTGACACACCCAAAGCTTATCTTTTGAATTTACGAGAGAACTTTAATGAACCAAAACTTAAAGAAATTGGTCTTTACGATAAGAACGTTCCATGCTTTGTCGATCCATGGACAGGCAATCAAATCTCCTTCCAATATTTGATTTTCAATTTGGATGTTTTAGATCCATCGGTTTATGTAAAAGATCAAAAACTTGAAAATTATCTTCCACTGCAACATGCATTTGAAAAGAAATTAATCGATCCACACCTTGGAACCGTCGTTGACACACGAACGGGTGAAAAAATTCCAATCTTTGAAGCAGTCGATAGAAAACTTGTTATTCAACGTACACCTAATGAAATGAGAATTATTAAACGACCATCGACTATTGACGATTTACAACGTAATGGAACCATTAACTTTGAGACAGATGAAGTCATCATTAATAATGAAAATCTGAGCTTAGTCGAAGCTTTACGTAAAGGCGCTCTCGACCCAGACACAATTTCTATTCGCGACCCTGCAACTGGTGACATTCTCGGTTATAAATATGCTGTTGATCGTGGAATTGTCGATGTTAATCGTGGTGTTATCATTAATCGATTAACACTTGAACAGATTCTTATCATTATAGCATATCGTCGTGGATATTTCCTAATTGGAAAACTTCAACCAATTTCTTTGAATGCTGCTATAAACTCAGGACTTTATGATAAGAAAACAAACAAGATAAGAAATCCAACAACTAATGAACTTTTGTCACTTGGTGATGCCATTTCTTATGGCTTAATCGATCCTAAACTCACAGATGTTAAGAATACTAAAAGTAATTCCTTCCTTCCACTTAAGGAAGCAATTGAGTACAATCTAGTCGATCCAAAAGCGAGCATGATTACCAATAAGAAATCATCTGTTCCATTAGATAAGGCAGTGAAAGAAAAGTTAATTTTCAATCGAACTGAACCATTTGATCTTGCTGAAATTATTTCAAGAAATTATTACGATCCACAAACGGGTAAAATTTTAAATCCTTACACTAATAAATACATCACAATAAAAGAAGCGATCAATCTGAAAATAATTAAGCTTCAATATATTCGAATCTATGATGTGATGGAAGATCGCGTGTTTACAGTTGATGAAGCAATCAAAAATGGTTTGCTTGATGATCAGAAAGGAATAATAACGAGACCGAAAATGACTTTGGATAAAGCATTTTTACAACGAATTTTAATCAGTTTTAATGGACCATTATCACTTCCCAGTGCGCTTAACTGTAACTTATTCAATACTGAAACAAGAAAATTCAATTTTGATGATAAAAATCTCAATTTGGGCGAAGCAATTGAACATAATAAGATTGCTGGTAATGAACTTGTTCTTTATGATCCAAATCGTCGCAAACTTTCAACGCTCAATGATGCAATCACTGCTGGATTTTTGGATCCCGTTGAAAGTGTTATTGTCGATACTTTAAATAACAAAGAAGTTCCAATCGATGATGCAATGGATCAAGGTTTACTAGTTAGATCTCGTTCCGACGTTAACTTACGTGATGCAGTCTTTGATGGACTTTACGATCCTGAAACAGGTTCATTCAGCAATGTCACTTCTAATGAAAAACTTCCACTTGAATCAGCAATCAATCGTAATGTTATCGATGTTAAATCAACAGTTGTGAACATCAACAATGTGACATTAGATTTTGAGCAAGCCATTGAACAAGGTTTAATTGATCCAGAAAATGCGATTGTGAAAACGAAATCTGGCGACAATCTGAACTTGATTGAAGCATTCGACCAAGGAATATTGAACACAATTTCAAAACCTGTAAGATTACATGAAGCTGTCATAAAGAACCTTTATGATGAAACGAATGGATTGTTCACCGATCCAGAATCACGAGAGAAGATTACAATTCAAGAAAGTTTGCAAGAAAGTTTAATCGATCCAAATTCAATTCAAATTCAAGATCCCGGCAGTAAATCTTATTTGTCAATTTCCATTAATTTTGCTATCCAAACTGGGTTGATAAATGGTAAAGACGGTCATGTTAATTATGATAATAAAGTTTATTCACTCAGAGAAGCTTTTGATCTTGGAATTTTAATTGATAGTAAAGGGCCGGTTAGCATTCAAAGAACGATTCATCAAGGAACGTTCAATGATGAGTTGGGAAGAGTTGTCGATCCATTTAGTAACAAAAACATTACAATTCATGAAGCGATGAGAAAGTTTGTTGTAAACCCACATTTGCCTTGTTATTTTGATGAAGAAAAAGGCAAAGTTTTGTCACTTAATGACACATGCAAACATAAAATAATTGATCGATATCAAGGCATCTTCACAACTCCCCATTCGGGTGAGAAACTCACATTAAGTGAAGCTATGAAACTCGGTTGGATTATTGACATTGAAAGTGGAAACTTCTCTCTTTATAAGATTCTTTTAATGCGTATGGTGAATTATAAAACCGGTAAATTTATTCATCCTGTGACGGGTCGTCAGTTGACATCGAATCAAGCAATCGAGCAAGAACTTATTGACCCAAGATCGTCACTTGTTAAAAATAGAAATGGAAAATTTATCAACCTAGTCGATGCACTTCGGTTTGGTGTTGTTGATGGTGACAAAAATCTTTATTGGGTAACTGAGAGTCAATCAATTCCATTAGCAGAAGCGCTTAACAAAGGATTAATTGTTTCAAATGAGAAGCCATATTCGCTTCAGAATTTAATTGAAATGTGCCTTTACAGACCTGATACTGGAAAGGTTATCGATCCAAATACAAACACTTATTACGATCTTAAATCGGGTCTTGATGCTAATTTAATCGACGACAATGCGACACAGTTCAAAAATATTTTGACTAAGAAAGTTAAGCCTTTATCTGAAGCGATTACTGATGGCGACATCAACGTCGCAAAGGGAAGAGTCTTTGATCAAAAGTCGGGTTCGTCATTTAATTACGATGTTGCATTTGACAGAGGTATGCTTATCAATGTCCCACGTGGTATTGCAATGCAAAAGAAAGAAGTTGTCGAAGTCATATCACCAATTAAGATTGAAGTTGTTGATACAAGTAAGCCACGTGAAATGACTTTAGATGAAGCGATTAATTCTGGCATTCTAAATACTGAAACTGCTTTTGTGAAAGATCCAAAAACCGGTCGATTTATTTTGCTGCGCCTTTATATTGAAAAATATCAAATTAATTTGAAGAATAAATCTCTTGTTGATCCCAAATCGTCATTCTTTACGTTTGGACCGCAATGTGTCGTTTATACTCGCGAACCGAAATCGTTTGATGATGTCATTGAGTCGAAGCAATTGAATTTGACAACTGGTAAAGTTGCTGATCCGGAAAGTGATGATAGAAAAGATCGAACGATACAAGAAGCAATCGATGATGGAATTTTAGATCCAGATACAATTTTATTGAAAGATGGAGCTAAAAATAGGCTGCTTCGTGTTGATGAAGCAATAAGAAAAGGTTTACTTGACCCTGAGAGATCACATGTCGTTGATACAACATCGTCGAAACTTTTCAATTTGGAAAACGCTTTGCAAGAAGGAATTTTGAAGACACCAAAAGCTAGATTTGATTTACTTGAAGCCCTTCAATTCAACTTATATGATCCAACGAACGGACATTTTGCTGATCCATTTGCACCAGAAGTTGAAGATAAAAAAGTGAAAGCTAACATTACCTTCGAGGAAGCTTTATCAAAGGGACTTATCGACACTTCAACAACAATGGTTCGTACGTCGAGTGATAGCGAAATTATTCCCATATCATCTGCTATTGCTTCTGGAATCATCGATCCTATCAAAGGATCACTCAATATCAAAACAAAAGATAATCAAGTCGATACAATTGACTTCGTTAAAGCCAAGGAACTCAATTTATTAGTTCCAGCTGGCGCAAGGGTAAGCAAGCTGCTGTTAACATCTAATTTAGTGGCTAATGGTAAAATTTTAATGAAATATCGCATGATCGAAGATAAAGATGATTAACAATCAGTTGACTAACAGTTTATGATTCTCAATTTCTAACTGATAATAATTGACCAACAATTAATTGCTGAATGAGAGAAAAAGAAGATTTTGAAAGTGTTTTCAGGTTGAATGAATGATTTTGTCTTTCTTGTGAATGTTGTTGAAATGAATGCTGATTGAAAGAGCTTCTAGTTTGCATTGTTTATATTTTACTTTCAGGACGTTTGATATTTTCATGTAGTGCTGAACTTTCTTTCGTCTTTTCCTTCCTTCTTGTGTTTTATAAGTTTTAATCTTCCTTTTTATAGATATTTTTGCTTTTTTTATTTTAGTTACATTTATTTTCTTCATGATTTGCATGATTTTGATTAACTTTTAGTAAAGAAACAAGAAATAATTTTTTATCTTTTTTTCTTTAAAAATTTACAGCAAGCAGTTGTTGAGAGATTCGCATTGTGTGAAGAAAATATTTCAATTCTTTTGAAATGGATTAATGACATTGAGCAGAGAATTTCAAAGATTGGAGGACCACAAGAAGAATTTGAGGAATTGCAAACGCAGATATCTACATTGAGGGTGAGTTTAATTAAACTTTCTTTCTCATCTTCTTATCAAATTTAACTTTTCTCTGCTTTTGTAGCAAATCAAAAATGACATCGATTTACAAACAAGACCAGTTGCTTCGTGCCTAGAACAAGTTCGTCAACTTGTATTGACAAGTGGAAATGTTTTGTCAACTGCTGAAGTTACCACCTTAGAGAACTCCGGTCGTCAATTGAGATTCCGTGTTGATCGTGCTAATGATTGCACAGCTAAATTAATTAAACATCTTCAAAACAGTTTCGATGAACTTGAAAAGCTTCAAGCTGAAATGCATGATTTCCATCGTGGATTGCAATCAGCACAGCAAGCACTTGAAAGTGAATATTCTCTTCTTTCTGATCTTAATCAACTGCCAGCAATGACAAATCGAATCAAAGATTTACAAAAAGATCTCATTGCTCATCAAGCTGATTTACGATTCATCACAATATCGACACAAAAGTTCGTTGATGAAGGCAAAGATTATCTTGGAGTTCTCAACGATTTAAGATTTTCGCTACCCGAGAGATTACCAAACATCGAACCAATTCCCAGCTTCAAGAGTCCCGTTCGACAATCGGTGTCTGACTTACAACAACGTTACAACGATTTACTCGAACAAATGAATGCCTTTGCCGATCGGCTTAACGCTATTCGAGAATCTTATCGTTTATACAATGAAAGTTTACAAAAGGCAAGCAATTGGTTGAGTGATGTTCAAATTCGTGTCTCAAATGTCATCGCACATCCTGTTGGTACCGACATCGAAACGATTCAAGAACAATCAAACATGGCGAAATCTTTGTTCAATGAATTCCTTGCCAATGGAAAATTAATTGACGGTCTTCAACATAATTTGAATAGTTTAGTTGGTGCCTTGTCAGGTGTTACAACACCTTCCCAAGTCAATTCTCTTGAAACTCCCGTTGAACAAATCAAAAACGATTACAAAAAACTTCTCGATGCTGTTGACAATCGATGCAAAATGCTTGAGGTTGCCTTCATTCAAGCACAAAGTGTTCAAGATGCTCTTGACAATTTAATTGCACACATGAAACAAACAGAAGATAAAATTCATCTTCATACTGGCCCAGCGTCGTTGATCGTTGAGAAACTTTTAGAACAAATTCGTGAACATCAATTTATTCTATCAGATTTAGAAAGTCATCGAACAAGCTTGAATAGTGTCACCGATTCAGCTAAAGATCTTCTTAAAGTTCCATCGAATGCTAAGCTAGCGAAGGTCATTGAATCGAAACTGAAGAGTGTCACTGACAACTACGGAAGATTAAGCGACAAAACAAACGCTTATAACGACTTCTTGGAATCAATTCTCAAAAAAGTAACAAAATTCGATGGTGATTCAAATCTTGTTGAACGAGAATTAAAACAACTTCAAGAATTGTCAAATGTCGAAGAGAAATCCATTGAAATTCTTATGAAATATCTTCAAGACATTGAACAAAACCGAAGAAAGATTCAACCAGCTTATGAAGATTGTGTTTATCTTGGAAAAGATCTTATTGATAGAAAAGATGTCACCGACACTTATGTTGTTCGTGATAAAGTGAAACGTCTTCAAGCAATGTGGGATAGTCTCGGTTTACGTTTGAATGACAAATTGAAGTTGACAAAACAGAAAGCAGAGAAACTTGCAGCGTTTGAATTATCGAGAACAGAAATTCTTTTGTGGTTGACACAAATGGAAAGAAGAACGTCAGATTTCGAGCCCGTTGCATTGGATTTGAGTGTCATTCGTAATCAATCAGATGAACACAAGTTATTGGTGAATGAATATAAAGATTTCCATAAAGTTATTCAACGAATCAATAACATCAGCGCAGAATATGATTCACTTGTTAGATCATCAAGTCCAACATCGAATGCTGTTGACCGTCAAGATTTAACAGATTTGACATCGATTCAACAAGAAATGCTTGAGATTAATAATCGTTACAGTTTCATTGGTGTGAAGCTTAATGATCGACAAAAAGATTTGGACGAAACCCGAGCAGCTGTTCAACGTCAAAAGGAAAATCTCGATTTCTTGAATTCATTCTTGAATAAATTGGAGAAAGATTTGCCAAAATATAATCTCACAGTTCGTGAAAATGCTGAAAAATGTATCAAACACGTTCGTCGACAACAGGATGAAATGTTTGAGAAGCAAAGCACTTTGGAATCGACAAAAAGCCAAACTCGAGAATTGTTACAAAGTAAACCGAATGTGCCTGGTGCTGACAATCTTCGTAATGACCTAGAAGCTTTATTAGCTCGTTGGCAACGACTTGCTGATCTTCTTAAAGAAGCGGCAAATTATTCTGAGAAATCTTTGGACTTCTTGGAAACTTACGATTTGCTTTACAATTGGTTGGTATCGAAAGAGAAACTTTTGTCAGTTTTGGGACCAATTTCATCAGACGCCCGAACAGTTCGAAGCCAAATGCAACAAGTTTCAGTGTTGAGAGATGAATTTAAATCTCAACGAACACAACTTGAATATTTGAGAGATTCTGGTAATGGTCTGGTTCATCATTTCAAAGAGCATTCACAAGAAGGCAAATCAATTTCCAATAAAATGAATGAAATCGAAAAGAAATGGAATGAATTGTCGGAACAACTTGACGATCGTTATCGAAGTTTGAATGAAGTTGCTGATACATCAAAAGAATTCGAAGCAAGTTTGAATAGATTGAGAGAAAATCTACAACAAATAAGTGACGCACTTGATAATCTTCCAAGAGGAAGTGACTTTGAAGGAAGATTGCAAAAAATTACGCAATTGGAGAGACAATTGGAAGGTCAACGTCCGCTTCTTGCTGATGCTGAAGCAACAGCAGCTTCACTTGTAAATGTCATCAGTGATCCAAAATCAGCTGCTGACATCACAGCGAAAGTTCAAGCACTTGGCAAACAATATTTGGCTCTACAAAAGAAGCTTGACAACATCAAAGCTGAAAATGAAGCCGGCCTTAAAGACAAACGTCAATTCTTGGAGAATTGTGTAAAAACAGTTGGTTGGATTAACAGTAAACTTTCCAACTTCTCATCGCCGCTTCTTGTGTCAGCACATAAACCAACTTTGCTTTATCAAATTGAAACTCACGAGCCAATTTACCGTGAAGTTATGTCAAAGGAATATGAGATCATTATGCTTTTGAATCGTGGTAAGGAACTTCAAGATAAACTCGGCGACGATGCTAAAGATCTTGAAAAGATCAACAATCAATGGATTCGATTGAAAGAAGAAGCACAAGATCGTCAAAATCGATTGCAGAAAGCACAAGATTTGTATAAAAATTATGAGAAAACTTCGAGCGTTTTCTTGCAATGGTTGAGCAATGCTGAACGTGACCTCAGCAGTTTCAAACCTGGTGTGCTCGTAAAGAAAGATCTTGATCGTGAAATACGCGAAGTTCAAACATTACGCAATGAAGTGTTGAAGAAATCTTCGGACTACGATAAGAGTCAAAACCTTTGCAGTAATTTCTTGAATGTTTGCGATGTTGACAAAGACACTTTGATGAATGAAATGCAAACAACAAAACAACGTTGGGATGAACTTAACCGCCTTATCAACCTAAAGCTTGAAAAGATTGCAGGAATTATTGATAAAGTGATGGATTTCACTGATCAATTCCGTCAACTCAGCACTCTAGTTCAAAGGAACGAAGACGCTTTCGATTCTCTTGAACGAATTCATGGACCAAATGCTGGCCGTGATCCAAGATCATTGGAGAAAATAAAGACAATTAAAGATGACAATGCGGAACTTAAGAAGAACTTCCAAAATCTTCGTATTATGGTTGAAAATATTGTCGCTGAAACACGACCAGCTGGTTATAATGGTGACAATCTCTATGCTGATCTTGAAGGATTATCTGATCGAATTCTGACACTTCAATCACGCCTTGATGAACGTTTCAATGATTTACAAGTTGCTTCAAATGCCATCGCGAAATTCAATGAAAATATTAATCTATTGACAGTTGATTTGACATCATTGGAGAACGAAGTTGACGGCTTAACACCAGCGGGACGTGAAGTTAAACTGGTGAAAAATCAAGTTGACACTGCCAAGAATCTTCTCTTTAAAATCGACGATGTAAGCAAGAAAATCAATGAGATTGAAGCGACGGGAGAAGCAATGATTGAAAAAGGATTTGTTAGTCGTCCATCGGAAGTTCACGAGCCATTAGATGGAGTAAAACGTCGAAGATCACGTCTTGAAAATCGTACAAAAGATTATCTTGAAGCTGTTCAAAAAACTCTCAACATTCTCATTAAATTCTACGAAGATTATGATGTCGCTTTGAATGACATTTCCCAAATCGATTATGACTTGAAGAAAATCAAATCAGTTGGCTCGGAAGCTCAACAAATTCGTTTACAACAACAGGAATTCCAACAATTTAGAAAAGAAGTTGTTGATCCAATGGATAGGAAGATTGCAAGTCTCAACGATCTTGGTAAAGATTTGATAAGATCAGCACATGAAAATGTCTCAACATCAGCTTTGGAGAGCGATTTAGAGAAAATCATTGAAAAATGGAGTGAAATTAAGTCACGTGTTGCAGAACGTGACAGAAAACTCGATCAAGCTTTGTTGCAAACTGGAAAGTTCCAAGACGCTTTGCAAGGGCTTTTGAGATGGTTGAACGATTCGGAAGAAATGATGCAGAATCAAAAGCCTCCAAATATCGACTACAAGGTTGTCAAAGCACAACTTCAAGAGCAGAAGTTTATGATGAAAATGATTGGTGACAATCAAAACTCAATTTCATCGCTCGTTCAATTGGGAGAAGAAGTCGCTAAAGGTTGCGATCCAAGTGAGAAAATCAACATTGAAATGCAATTGAAAGATCTTACGAATCGTTTTGATCATCTCAAAAATAAAGCTGGTGACCGAACAAGATTATTGGAAAATGCTGTTGATGTTGCGAAGCAATTACAAGATCAACTCGCTCCATTGACGATATTCTTGGATCGTTCTGAGAAGACTCTTCGTGGTCTTGAGAACATTCCAAGCGATGAAGATAAAATTCAACAAAACATCTACGAACATGATCGTTTGCATAAAGAAATCGTTGGAAAAGAACCAGAAGTGTCAGCATTGTCAGCATTGAAAGTCAACATTCGAAAGATTTTCGAACCAGAAGAATCGGAAATTGCTAATGAAAAGATTGATAACATCAGCGATCGTTACAAGATGCTTCGTGATGATTCGGAGCGTCTTGGAATGTTGTTGAATAAGACAAAACAAGAAATGCGTCACTTTACACTCGCTTTTGGTGATTTACTCGCATGGTGCGATAAACAAGAAAGAATTCTTACTCAATATAAGAATATTTCAGTTCATGTTGATGTCATCAATGAGCAAATTGAAAAGCTTCAAGCAATCAACGATGAAGCAAGGAATAAAGAAGATACAATTCAAACAACAATTGATGTTGGAAATGAACTTATGCGAACAATCTCGCAAGAGGAAGCTTTCAAGTTGAAAGAGAAACTTGATTCATTGGGACGACGATTCGTTGAGATTTGCAACAAAGCTGGTGAATATTTGAACAATGCCAGAGATGGTCTCGCACTTGCACAAGACTTCCATGGAGCTCACAATCGATTAGTAAATTGGATGCAAAATGCTGAAACAATTCTTGTTGGCAGTGCTGCAAGTGAAGTTGAGATTCTCACTTTGGAAAGTGATTTGCCAAAAATGCGAAGTGAATTGGAAACAATCAATTCACTTGGACCTCAACTTGCCCAATTGTCATCGGAAGAAGGTGGTGCGACTTTGGAAGGAATCATCACAAGAGATAATCGAAGATTTGATGCAATTGTTGAGCAAATTCAAAGGAAAGCTGAACGTTTACAAATCATTCAACAACGTTCTAAAGAAATTAATGTTGATCTTGATGAACTATTGCAATGGTTCCGTGACACTGAAAATAATCTTAAAGATGCGTCACCACCATCAATTCAACCGAAAGTTGTCAAGAACCAACTGCTTGATCATCGAGTTTTAAATGACAGCATTTCAAGCCAAAAGGGTCGTGTTCGTGAAGTGACATCATCAGCTAAGAAACTCATTCGTGAGTTGCAATCAAGCAATGACAATCTCGATGTCATCCGAGAGAAACTTGAATATCTCAAAGATATCGTCGAGTCAGTGACAAATCTTAGCACTGAACGTTTGGCGATTTTGGAACAAGTTGCACCGTTATCAGAACATTTCGCTGATGCAAATGAAGAGTTGGAACGTTGGTTGTCAGATACTGAGCGTGAAATATCTCTTTTGACAGCACCAGGTGTAAGAGCTGACATCATCATCCAACAGCGAGAGAAGAATGAACGTTTAATGCAGACTGTTGTTAATCACAAGCCTTTGATTGATAAATTCAACAAGACTGGTGATGCTTTTGCTGCACTTGTAACACGACAAGATGCTGCACATATTCACGATATTGTTGAAGGAGTAAATTCACGATACAATGCATTGAAAGTTGAGTTGAGAGATCGTCAATTGGCTTTAGAAAAAGCTCTTCAGGAAACATCACAATTTGCTGACAGACTTGAAAACATGTTGAGAAGTCTTGCAAATGCTGCTGATCAAGTTAAAAATAATGAACCAGCTTCAGCTCATCCACCAAAGATTACAAATCAAATTGATGAGAACTGGGCAGTTGCTGAAGATTTAGAGAAGCGTGAACCAACTTATGTGTCAATTGTTCAAGCTGCTGATGACATCATTGCGAAAGCAACAAATCCAAGCGATCCGGCAGTTCGTGAGATCAAAATGAAGCTTGAAAAACTCAACGTTTTGTGGGTTGATGTTCAAAAAGAAGTGAAAATCCGTGACAGTACGCTTAACGACACTTTAGCAGCTGCTGAGAAATTCTGGAATGAACTTGAATTGGTGATGGGCAAATTGCGAGATCTTAAAGATACTTTGACAAATCAAGAACCAGTTGCCACTGAACCAAATGCAATTCAAAGACAACAAAATGAATTGCAAGAAGTTGGACAAGAAATTAAACTGACGAAACCGGAAGTTGACAAAGTTCGACTTAATGGTTCGAATTTGATTGTGTTGGTCAGCGATGCTGATAAGCCTGAGATTAAGAAGCATATTGAAGATTTAGATGTTGCTTGGGGTAACATCACTTCGCTTTATGCACAACGTGAAGAAAATCTCATTCAAGCGATGGAGAAAGCAATGCAATTCCATGACAACTTGCAAGGTCTCTTGAGATTCCTCGATGAAGCTGAGGAACATGTGAGAAATCTTAAGCCAATTGGCTCAGAGATCAGCATTGTCAAACGTCAGATTGAAGATCATAAGAAGTTCAAAGATCGCGTTGATCCACATGGTGTTGAAGTTGAAGCTTTGAATCGTCAACTTAATGAGTTGAGTGAGATAACTTCAGTCGATCAAACGTCAGCTATAAGAAGTGGAGTTAATGGAATTAACAAGCGATGGGAAGCATTAAATCGAACAATGAACGATCGTCAGAAACAACTTGAAAACGCTCTTCTACAACTTGGACAATTTGAACATGCACTTAATGAACTTTTGATTTGGATTAAGAAGACACAAGCAACGTTTGATCAAATAAAAATTGTTCCAGGTGATGTCAAACTTCTTGAGATTGAAATGGCGAAATTGAAGATCCTGATCAATGACACACAAGCACATCAAAATTCGGTTGACACGATAAATGATGCTGGAAGGAAACTTCTTGACAATGACAGTATTGTTGATGCATCAGCAACACGAGATAAGTTGGATAATCTTAATCGTTTGTGGCAAGAATTACAACGTGGCATTACATCGAAGGAACGTGAGCTTGAAAATGAACTTGCAGAAGCTCAAAACTTTGCCACTGAAATGCAAGATACGTTGACATGGTTGATTGACGTTGATGGAATTGTTGGATCAACGAAACCTGTTGGAGGCTTGCCAGAAACAGCAACAGAACAACTTGAAAAGTTTATGGAAGTTTACAATGAAATTGAAGAAAATCGTTCGAAAGTTGACGACATTTTGGCACAAGGTGACAATTATGTGAAGAAACATTCGGAACTCAACGTCACATCAAGTAATCTTCAACATTCTTTGAGAACATTAAAACAAAGATGGGAATCGGTTGTCGCACGAGCAGCTGATAAGAAAATCAAACTTGAAATCGCTTTGAAAGAAGCAACAGATTTCCATGAATCATTACAGGCATTCATTGAATGGTTGACTGATGCTGAAAAGCGTCTCGCTAGTGCCGAACCAATCTCAAGAGTTCTTAACACGGTTCAACGACAAGTTGATGATCACAAGAGCTTCCAGAAAGAAATTGGCACTTATCGTGAATCGATGTTACAATTAGACAAGAAAGGTTCTCATTTGAAATATTTCTCTCAAAAACAAGACGTGATTTTGATTAAGAATCTTCTTGTTTCTGTTCAACATCGATGGGAACGTGTTGTTTCGAAAGGAACTGAAAGAATGCGTGCACTTGATCATGGATATAAAGAATCGAAAGAGTTCTATGACTCATGGAATTCACTCATCAATTGGCTTCGTGACAATGAAAAACAACTCAATAAGATTGAACACGATCTTAATGGAAGCAACGACCCAGCTAAAGTCAGATTTGCTTTGGAACAAACGCAAAATATCCATCGTGGATTGTCAGCGAAGCAAGGTGAATATGACTCTGTGTTGAGAAATGGTCGAAGCCTTATTGATCGTGCACCGAAAGTTGATGAACCTGAATTGACTCAAATGTTGAATGAGTTGAAGGAACTTTGGACGAAGAATTGTTCAAGAAGCATTGAACGACAACGAAAACTTGAAGAAGCTTTGTTGTTAACTGGTCAGTTCTCAGAAGCTTTGACTGCCATTCTCGCTTGGTTACAAAAAGCGAAAAATACTTTGACAGACCAAACACCTTGTCATGGCGACATTGACACCGTCACTGGCTTAGTTGACAAACATAAACGATTTGAAGCTGATCTTCAAAAACGATCGAAGCAAATCGAAAATGTTCTCAAAAATGGAAGAAATTTGGATGTTTCAAACACAGCACCGGAGATCATCAACAACTTGAGAGAAGTTGAAGAACTTTGGAGTTATGTTCAAAACTTGAATGCTCAAAAGAATGAAGAACTTAACAACGCATTAATTGAAGCTGAAAAACTTCATAAATCTGTCAATATTCTTATGGAATGGCTTTCAGATGCTGAACAGAAACTCAAATATGCTCCAGCAATTCCAGCAGATGAAGATCAAGCAAGAGAAATGTTAAAAGATTTCAGCAAATTCCTTTACGAGCTTCGTGAGAAAGAATTCGAAAAGAATGAAACACTTTCACTTGCGAATAATATTTTGAAGCAAGCTCATCCTGATGCAATTAAAATCTTACGAACAATCATTCAGACAATCACACAACGTTGGGAAGAAATTACACAATGGGCCTTGAATCGAGAACAGAAGCTTTCTGGTCATTTGCAGTCATTGAAGGATATGGATGGAACAATTGATGACCTTCTTGCATGGCTGAATGGATTAGAAAATACATTAAGGAAATTGGAAGCTGAAGAACTTCCAAATGACGTGACAATTATCGAGCAGTTGATTGAAGAACATAAAGAATTCATGGAGAATACAGCAAGTCGACAATCAGACATTGACATGATTTGCAAACCAAGCAAAGCGAAACCTTCACTGAAAGATGTTAAAAGACCAACCAAAACTGCAATGCGAACAACCAGGTGAGATTTTTTTTAATTTCTTGTATTTCCTTGTGAGATTTTCTTACATAACAATTGAGTGGAATTTGCTTTAACTAAAAAAAATTTGAAAAATAAATACTTTTTGTGTGATTAGTCGCTTATCACCGGCACACATCACTGAAGCGAAGGGCGCAGCTGACAATGGTTTGCCACATTATGGTCCGAAATTCACAACGAGGTATGCTTGCTTTTCAAATCTTTTCTTAGTTTTTTTTTAAAAATTCTTGAAATGAATGATTATTAATGATAATTTCATTTATTAGTGCCATCAATGAAACTGAATTCCGTTCACCACGTGCAAAGATCTTGTGGGATAAATGGCGCACTGTTTGGATGTTAGCATGGGATCGTCAAAAGCGTCTCCATGAACATCTTTTGATTCTTAGGGAACAAGCAAAGATTCAGACATTTGATTGGGATGATTGGCGTAAACGTTTCCTTAAATTCCATAATCATAAACGATCGCGAGTCGTTGAATTTTTGAGAAAGATTGATAGAAAGCAGAATGGATTAGTTCCAAGAGAAGTTTTTGTAGAAGAGATCATTAAATCAAGTAAGATTATAGATTTTCTTTTTGAGTATGTTCTCTCATTTTAATGTCATCATTAACAGAAGCACCAACAAAACGACATGAAGTTAATTCTGTTGCCGACATGTTTGATAATGACGGAGTAATTGATTGGGAAGAATTCCTAGTAGCTCTCAGACCTGAATGGCATCAAGAACCCAAACAAGAAGCTGATGCTATACATGATGAAGTCAGAAGATTAGTCATGTTATGCACATGTCGTCAAAAGTTTAGAGTCTTCCAAGTTGGCGAAGGCAAATACAGAGTAAGTTGTAGAAAGATTCTCAAAATGTTTTCTTTCAATATGTTGGTTCTCAAACTTTTGTTTCATGATAAAAGTTTGAGAATCTTTGTTGACTAAAAATCATTTTTGTTGATTTGTGATCGTTTACATGTTTGTTTCAACAGTTTGGTGCAGAACAAAAATTACGTTTAGTAAGAATTCTTAGAAGCACAGTAATGGTCCGTGTTGGAGGCGGCTGGATTGCACTCGACGAATTTTTGATGAAAAATGATCCATGTCGAGGTAAGTTTTGTCGATCAATAAAAACCAATGAAATTCCTTAGCTTCTTTCGCAGCTAAAATGATAATTCCTAAAATTAATCAAATGTCTTTCCTACTTCAATTTTTGCTATCAATGAAATTATGGATAAATTTCGTAACGGTTTCGAACTTATTTCTGCTAATGTTGGATTATTGTGTGTTTGAGTAGTTGCTTTAATGTTGCCTCTTAGAAGCCCTTTCAATTTTTGGGAACACGAAGCGTGTTGTCCATTATGTAAGCTTAGCATTTTCGAAGCTTTTCTTCAATTATTCAGTAGATAGAATTTAATTCAATTATGACTTCAATTCATTTTTTCAAAGATTTTGCATGTTGTTTCAAAGAAAATATTTTCTTTCTTTATTGTTTATTCTTTTAATTCGATCTAAAGCCAAACCAGGATTTTGTAAGTAGATTTTTCAAGTAACGTTTCTCGTGTTTAGATTAAAAATCTATTTTCTTATTATTTCTCAAAACTTCCAGCTCCCGATTGGCGTTAGACAATTGCTCGTATGAAATCCAAATTCAAAAATTGAATGTTTTTCCACTGTTTGCATTTAACAAAAGAAAAAAAAATTGGTTTTATTTGTTGAAGTTTTTGTTTTGACTAAAACATTATTTAAATTTTCCTCTCCCACGAAAAGCACGCGGCAAGACTAACACAGAACTTAGAGAAGAATTTGTATTAGCTGCTGGCGTTTCGCAAACCATGCAAGCATTCACATCGCGACCATCAATATCAAGTGCGAGTCCCTCAAGGGTAAGTAAAATGTTTTATTGACTTAAATCGTTTTTCAAACAATTGTTGAGTGGCATGAAATATTTTTTTATTTTTGTGAAATATTGTGGCAAATAACGACAGAGTGATAATTACATTAAAGCTTAGCAAACTCCCTTCATCTTATCCCAACTAAAATACCAAAAATAAATGTTTAATGTTTCTTATAAATTTGTAATTGTCATTTAGCGTCTGAAACTTTGGCTTTACTGCAGCCAATCTTTGATAGCATCCGTGCTGACGGAAACGCATTATGTTCTTTTCCTTTATCGTCATCAAATGTGACTTTTGGTGTTGTTGATTCATTTTTTGGTCGTACCAATTTGCCACGAATTTCAGTATCTCCATGTCATTTGGTAAGGTTGTCAAATCTTCAATCTTCAGAGAAAATTTCCAGTTCTTATACATTTAAGAAAAGTAATATAAATTTTAACATTTTTCATTCATTTACAAATTTAAAGCAAACAACTCGCACTACGAAGTCACGAACGGGTTCTACCGCTGATTCAGATCACTCTGATTCAGCTTCAATGGGACGCCGTACACCATCGAGAACATATACGACAACATTAACGACAACAAAGACATCGATACCAGTACGTTCTAGTTTAACACCAAGCACATCACGACCAACATCACGTCAAGGGTCGACTTTGTCTCTGGCAAGTGACGATGGAACACCATCGAGAATTCCAACGAGAAAAGTCGGATCGACATTCACATCTTCAAGAACAACAACATCAACCAGAGCACCAATGTCTACTTCATCGATAAAGACAAAAGTTGTGACGAGGTGAGATTAAAATTTCCATTAATTAATTATCTTACTAAACTAACAAATAATTTCAAAATGTAAGCTTACATCCTTCGAGGATTCCCGTTCGTCAGCCGTCAATAGACGAATGATAAAATATTTCCGGTAATTTAAGTGTCGTAATAATTGTTTGTGACGTTTTAAAGTGTCGAGTTTATTACGCAATTTTATATTTCCTATTTTTGTACAAAGAATTTTGAGAAATTCGTAAAACTTTTAGCTTTTTTCTTGATTTTGTCTTAATTTAAATTAATTTTTTTCCTTATAAATTTTTAATATTTTTTCGTTGATTTTTTTTTCATAGGAAAACTGAAGAACGTCCTCCGTTCAAATAATTCCTCTCAATCGAATAAGAAAAGATGTTATGTGAAAGTATTTCACTGGGACCATAAATCATTACATCACATAGAACAGCAAATGATCACATCACTTACATATTAAATTTGAAGCATCACTGGCAACTGTTAACTAAGTAGAAACTAACAAAATCTTAGTCATTTTAAGATAAATTTTCTAAAACATTAACATAGTCATAAACTTTTATTTTATTCTACTAATTTCTAGACTACAATAAGCGATAAAAATCAAGCTTCAAGCTGCAGAGTTAATTTTTTTCTTTTAATTCTAAAAAGTATTCATTAATCACTTTATGTTCATCAGTTGATAATAAAACTGACAAAGAAGACAATTTTCTAAATATCTAATAATTGTTTTGAAAACATTGTTGTTAAGCATTTTTTTAAAGTGAAATCACATTTTGTAATGCAAATGAATAGTCAATAAAAATTGTTAAGCAGAATTAATTTTTTGAAGAAATTTTGTTTGGTTTTATTGGGATTGGGGTAGGGTCAGTGTTTGTGTTCTACCAATTAAGTGTAAAAGAAACATTTAAAGATTTCTTTTGATAATTTCCACCAAACTGGGATCACATTCATCTATATTTGAAAGGATGTTGATAATATCTGTAAAGACGTATGTAAGTATATAAAATAAAAGCTAAGAAAAGCTTCAAATTACCGTCAATTGAGAAATATTCCTGATGATTAACATTTTCAAGTTTGTTGTTTTCTTCGTCAATGTCGTAATCATGTTCAAGGTCTTTCATTGTTTTCCAGCTCAACTGCAGAATATTTTGACTTCCATTTAATTCTGGGGTTTTATTTATGCTTTGATCGATTTCTGTTTGACCAACGTTCATGATGAACAAATTTCTTGGTTGATTTTCTTTTAATATTTTAAAAGCTTCAAATACAAATTCATTCGAGAATCCATAACATCGTGAAATATCAAGAAATTTCAAATTAGGCAATAATAAAAGTCGTAAAACATTTGCTGGGGAAATGTAAGAACAACAAGACATGTGAATTTCTTCCAACTTATCCAACTTCATTAAATAGTCAACAAGATCTTCGGGAACAGAATTTTTGAAATTCATCACCAACTTCTTTAAATGTTTCATTGTGCTAATTGCATAAATTGTCGTCAATGTTAAGTTACCATAAGAAATATTTAAACTTTCAATACAATTATCAAGATTGATTGTTCGCAATAATTGATCACAAGGGGGAAAGTTGATATTTTGAATCAAAATGTGTTTTAAATTTCTAATTGTATTTATATTAGGAATGACCAATCGTGAGGTTTCTTCATCAATGTAATAATTATTGAGTGACAAAAACTCCAAATGTGGAACATTCTGAAGAACTTCATTAACATCTCTACCAAAAATATTCGGACATTTGCTGATGATCAATGATTTGAGTGATTTATTTTCTTCTACAAATATTAATAATTGCTTTCCATTGATGTGTCTGCAACCTGAAACATTTATTGACTCTACAAATGTGACTAACGGCAGGAAAGATCCATTTACATTACAATTCGTGACATTCAAAAACTTCAATGATGGCTTCGAATTTTTAAAAGATTTCAAAAAGTTTTCATCGATTTCACTGTTGTCGCTCAAATCAAGTGTTTCTAAAGAAGGAAGCAGCACAGATATTTGATCCCAAAACGATGGGCAATCTAATTTAAATCCAGTTAGATGTAAATGTTTTAATGACTTTAAATATTTTGGGATAAAATTTAAGATTCTTTGATTGTAAAATTTATCGCTGCTGATTGATAAGCTTGAAATGTTTTTACCAACTGATTCCAACACTAACTTTCCTTCGTGCAAAGTTAATTTCTTCCTTCCATGAATATTTGTAAAATTTAATTGTTTAATGCTTTTCAAATGAATTTCACAAAGTTCAGCAAATTTTTCACAAACTCGTTTCAATGACAGCACTTCGAGAATGTCAAGAAACTTCATGACATGCAATAAACAATCGTCGTTAAGTATTTCAAATATTTCTAAGGCTTCGATTTCACTCTTTCCATTTTCTTCTTCAGTTTTCTGAGTTCGTTCATAGTCAGGTTGAGTCCAAGTGTCTCCTGGTAATAACATAAAAAGCCTGGAAAATTGTTTTCTGTTAATCAAGGCGCAACTTGCACTTGAAGCATCTTTGAAGGTCACAAAGCCACGATTCTTAATTTTTCCTTTTTTCCTGAAAAATTTCATTGATTCGATTTCCCCATAAACTGAGAGTAAAAACTTTAATTCGTCGCTTCCAATCGTTTTGTTTAAGAGCTTTAAATAAAGTTTTCGAATTTCAAAACCATCCTCAGTTTTCAATCGATACAAATCAGAACCATCTTCAATTGTATCTAATTATGTATTTAAACAAATGAATTTATAATTTGAAACTTAAAACCAGAAACTCTAAACTCACCCGACAGGTTTTTATGCAATTGAATAAACTTAAATGTTGGATGATAGCAAAACATTTATTTCTAAAAATTAAATTCTTCAAACTTTCAAAATGTTCTTTTAGCTGACTGAAACTATTACTCGTTGTCATGGAAGAATGTTTGTGACTGCGCTTTGGCGATAATTCTTGAATTAAAATTGAAGTTTTTAAAACAAAATCAGTTAAATTGGCATTCAAAATTCGATGTTGTGGTTTAAAATTTTGGTTTAAAACTCAAAACTTTGGTAGGAGAAAATTTTTTGAGAAAGGAAGAAAATCAGAAATGATTATTTCTTCTTACTTTAACCAAACCTACTTTTATTTCTTGTCAGAAGTTCAGATTTTTTTTTGTATGCTAGAACGAAGACTTTGGAAGAAGAAAATGTGAATAACAAAGAAAAACAATTTACAACTTGTTTAATTTGCTTTGATTTCATTCTGAATCAATTCATATCTCATGAATCATGATACATTTTTAAATTAATTAATCGTGTCAAATCATCATTATTTTTATTAAATTTTTCTTTAAGATCGACAGAACATTTTGCTATTTTTAAAAGAAATTCTTAAATTTTGTATGTTCAGAACAAAAGCTTCATGTTGAAACGGTAAGAAATTTTAAAATAATTGCGAGATTAATTATTTTCTTGTGCAACATTATTTTTTTCCTTTATTGACTTAGCAAAGTCTGAAAGGTTATTCCATGTCAATGCTTCATTTTTAGATTGTCCACCACTTTGTAATTGCCTGCCTTTCAATAAACTTCCAACAATTGGTAAGCCTCCAATTAATCCAACTAGAGGCTCAGCCTCGACTTCATTCTTTCCATTTGGTTTCATCAATGAAATGACTAAAACACTTACAAATATGTATGAAAAAAGTTTCATTTTGAAATTAATATTCTTACAAAAAAGCTTTTTTAACTGTTTGAAAAACAGATTTTTACCCTTTCTTATATACCTTACGAATAGACCAAAAGCTATCATTAAACGAGCGTGTTCACAAATTCTCAGTCACGACTCTTCAGCCTGGTAGAAATTTATTTAATTTACTTATCACTTAATATTAAAACTTTTATAATGTAATCACGTTTCAGACATTATTGTTGTTATTTTTTTTTTAATAAGGTAAGTGGAATCAAAACATTCGATTAGATTTGGTTCTAAAATCTAAACTCGTTCTGTCTATGAATTTTTAAAAGGTCTTACTCATGGTTTACTCATACGACATCAAGATTTTTATTGAAACTGTATTAATTCTAATTACCTAATTCGTATATGAAACTGTTAAATTCTTTCCAATTGAATAAAAAATATTTGCTGTTGTTGTCTGCCTGGGATAAATCATTCAAAGATGGAATCAATTATTTTGAAACATTCTCAAGGGGTGTAGCTAAAGGATTCTTATTGTTGTTGCTTGTCGTACATTGTTTAGGTTTTAATCTTTTGAAAACTTGTACAAAATTTGATAATCCAGAAATTCCAGCGTTTCTTTTGGAATTCCATCCATCATTGATGTCAACCCCAGCTTCCCCATATAAAATTTTTCCAGATGATGATGACAATTCCGCAAGTGAAGGTTTGGAGTCAGTAGAAACTGCTTCAAGCAAAGAAACAGAATTTAAAAGTTTTCGACGTAAGGGAGCTGGCAACCTTGTCACGAAATCCATAATTAGTACGTCATAAGCCACGCCACTGTTTACATTTCCATTAAAATTTACTCCAGACCCAGAATTTATTGTACTTCCAGAATTAGAATTAAAAGATTGATTAATCTGTTTCTTATTTACATTGGCTCCAGTACCAGAGTATGCTAAGTTTGCTAAAAGCGAGAACAGAACTCCATTAGTGTAAATGAAACTTGTTAAAATATCACTGTTAGTATTACCATTAACATTTGCTGCAGTTCCAGAATTTGATGTGCTTCCGTAAAGAGAGTTAAAAAATTGAATAATCGCCTGCTCATTTATATTTGCTCCAGTTTCAGAGTTTGCTAAGTTTGCTAAAATCAGATCAGAAATTCAAAAGTAAAAATCCCAATCAAACTTGATAAAATTCCACCACTAATATTACCATTAACATTTGCTGCAGTTCTAGAATTTGATGTGCTTTCAAACATAGAGTTGATAAATTTAATGATGTCCTTCTCATTTATATTAGCTCCATTTCCGGAACATATCAAAATTGATTTAAGAAATTGGCTGAATTGTTGCTCATCAATATTCATTCTAGTTTCAAAATTTGACACTTCTTGAAACCGTGGTGCAAGAATTGTATCAAATACTTGCTCATTTAAAACTGTTGCTAAAACTACTCCATTCAGTATAACCTCATTGTCCTTCAGAAGTCCTTCACTTCCAGCATATCCTAATAGTACTTGATTATCACCAAGACCAAGAAATCCACCAACTTCTGCAAAGATTTCTCCAGATTCTAGAATTTGCTCAGAAATTTCTGGAAATCTTCCGTCGTTAGGTTCGTCATCATTGTAAACATTGCTTTTGTAATTGTACTTTCGAGCAATTGCTCCACCACCAGCACTAACTCCAAGCAATCCTCCCAACAAAGATTTAGCTCCAAATCCACTATGGCTATCTTTTCTTGATAAGGAAATGATGTAAATGCTTACAATGAAATTTTTGAAGATTTTCATTAAAGTTAGTTAAGTTTTAATTTTTCAGATAGAAATTTAAGACTAATCAATTTGACTGTCGGATGAACTAAAAATCTCAATCCTTAATATATTGGTCATGGTTCCATCATGACTCTTTCCTTACACGATCATTAATAAATATATTGAATCTTTTGTAGCGCTTATTACAAAAGAGAAAAAATGAAAAACAAATATTTGCAATCATTTTATAATTCTCGAACAGGCATGTGGAGAGATTGTAAAGTTTTCTTTGTTTAAAAAGTAGGTCTAGGAAAGAAACAGAAATATTATAATAAGCACATGTTTCTCAAAAAAACTTTTCTATTCAAAAGAATATAAAAATCATCATCTAGAAAGATTGTACAAGTCATCCTTTAATAATTATTTGTTATAGCTCCATTATGACTCTTGTTTTGCACGATCTTTAATAAATATCTTCGATTTTTTGTGACGCTTATTTAAAACAGACAAAAGGAAAAACAAATATTTGTATTTCTTGAACAAACATGTCGAGAGATTATAAAGTTTTCTTTGATTTTTTATTTTTTAAGGAGGTTTAAGAATTAAACAGAAATTAAAATGATCTCATGTTACTCAAGTTACTTTTTTCTATTGCATTATTTAATCTAGTTCATTATTTAATTTTTTGATTCAAATTGTTTGTAGGAGATTGCGATACTTATATCAATTCAGAAAAAGATATTCATGGAAATCTTCAATAGGAGATTATTTACATACAAAATAGTCTTATAAATTTCATTAAATCATGTTACATCCTGTGTCATCATCTGCATCCTTCTTCGTCCCCATTCTTCTTATTCAATAAAAAAATCTTTTCCAATCCGAATTCGAACCTGGGATCTTCAGTAAACCTCCTACGCTCGTACCGCTAGGCCAAATCATTTGCATAGATAATTTGCATAGATTTGCATAGATCATTTGCAGAAATAAATCAAAGTTTCTTAATCCTGAAATAGATTTTATGGATCTAATTGAAAATTATTAAACATTTAAAAAATATTTACTGGCAAATTAAACTTTTAGTTCTCATGGAAGTTCAAAGACATATTTTATACCTTGGTTAAAATATTAAGGTTATTTTGGTTAAATTAATTCAAAGCTTAATTTTTATTTCATGAAGTACTTTGAACACATTGAAATCAAACACTTCTGATGTAAAATTCCCTTGTACTGCTATGGAAGATTTTTTTGTAGCCTTTAACATTAACGATCATTCGAAATCTTAGTAAAGCATTTGATGGCAGGAAACTACGTAGTAGTTGATTAGCATGGTGAAGTTGCAAACAGAATAAAAATCCTGAGAATTAAACATTGTTAATTATATTAGCATAAAAGAGAGTTTAATGACTTTCACTCTTTTCACAGGTAGGTAATTCAAATGTGAAAATGCCTAATTTCATCTCTATTCATTCAGTAATACTGAAAATTGAGTTGCCATAAATTTCTTTTGATTCCTGTCAAAAACAAAAGATGTCTTAAAATATTCTCTCGCGTAATATCGATCATCATCATTTTCAGGAAGCAAGAATTGAAAGAAAACTTTTATTTTAGCAGAAGAATTGACGATAAGAAGCGTGTCATTTGTTGACAGAAACTTAATTTCCTTATTTCTACTCAGAAGGTGAAAGTTTTTTTTGTATCTTATATACATACCCTACAAATAAACCAAAAGCTATCATTAAACGAGTATGTTCACAAATTCTCAGTCACGACTCTTCAACCTACCTAGTAGAAATTTTTTTAATTTACTTAATATTAAAACTTTTATAACGTAATCACATTTCACACATTATTGTTCCTATTTTCTTAATAAGGTAAGTAGAAGCAAAACATTAAATTAGATTCGGTTCTAACATTAAAATTGGTTCAGTATATGATTTTTTAAAAAGGTTTACTAATGAGACATTAGGATTTTTATGAATTCTAATTATTGCATATGAAATTGTGAAATTCCTCACAATCGAATAAAAAATATTTGCTTTTGTTAAAGACATATTTAAAATCTTTATTGTCCAAGGTGCAACTGCAGATATTTATTGCTGTTAAATTTTATCAATTATAAAACATTGATTACATTCACTGGAATTTTGTTTATCCTGTTTTGGCAGTAGCTTTCAAATTAACCTTATTTTTTCCCTTAGATGCAGCTTCAAGTTGTGTATTGATACTTTTGATAGTTTCTATCAATGCTTGTTTGTCTGTCTGGGATAAATCATTCAAAGATGGAGTCAATAATTTTGAAACGTTCTCAAGAGCTGCAACTAAAGCATTCTCATTGTTTTCGCTTATTGTTGTTTTAGAATTCAATCCACTATTGATGCCAACCCCGGCTCTTCCATGTAAAGATTTTCCAAATGATGATGACAATTTCGCAAGTGAAGGGTCGGAGGAAGCAGAAAATGTTTGTACCAAAGGAATAGAGTTCAAAAGCTTTTGCATTAAGGGAGCTAGCAACTTTGTCATGAAATCCAAAATTAGTACGTCATTCGCCACGCCACTGTTTACATTCCCATTAAAACTTAATCCGGATCCAGAATTCGTCGTGCTTCCAGAGTTAGAATTAAAAAACTGATTAATCTCTTGGCCATTTACATTTACTCCAGTATCAGAGCTTGCTAAAAGTGAGTTCAGAACTTCATTAGTTTCAATCATTTTAAACTTGATAAATTATCACTGTTAGTATTACCATCAACATTTGCTGCAGTTCCAGAATTTGATGAGCTTCCAAACATAGAGTTAATAAGTTGACTAATGCTTTGCTCATTTACATTTACTCCAGTACCAGAATTCAAGTTTGCTAAAAGTGAGTTCAGAACTTCATTAGTTTCAATCCCTTTAAACTTGATAAATTATCACTGTTAGTATTACCATTAACATTTGCTGCAGTTCCAGAATTTGATGAGCTTCCAAACATAGAGTTAATAAGTTGACTAATGCTTTGCTCATTAACATTTACTCCAGTACCAGAATTCAAGTTTGCTAAAAATGAGTTCAGAACTCCATTAGTTTAAATCCCATTTAAACTCGATAAAATATAACTGTTAATATTACCATCAACATTTGTTGCAGTTCCAGAATTTGATGTGCTTCCGTAAAGAGAGTTAAGAAATTGAATAATCTCTCGTTCATTTATATTTGCTCCAGATGCAGAACTTCCAGAGCTTGTCAGAAATGTATTGAGAAATTGGCTGACTTGTTGCTCATCAATATTAATACCAGTTCCAGAATTTGATGTGCTTCCAAACATAGAGTTAATAAATTTAATAATCTCTTGCTCATTTATGTTTGCTACAGTTGCAGAATTTTCAGAGCTTGTCAGAAATGTATTGAGAATTTGGCTGATTTGTTGCTCATCAATATTAACACCAGTTCCAGAATTTGATGTGCTTCCAAACATAGAGTTAAGAAATTGAATAATCTCTCGTTCATTTATATTTGCTCCAGATGCAGAATTTTCAGAGCTTGTCAGAAATGTATTGAGAAATTGGCTGATTTGTTGCTCATCAATATTAATACCAGTTCCAGAATTTGATGAGCTTCCAAGCATAGAAATAATGAATTTAATGATCTCCTGTTCATTCATGTTTGCTCCAATTCCAGAATTTCCAGAGCTTGTCAAAATTGAATTGAGGAATTGGCTGACTTGTTGTTCGTCAATATTTCCACTTCCGGATGTTGACATTTCTTGCAGTAAAGATACAAGAATACTATCAAGTTTTTGCCCAGTTAAAACTGGTGCTAAAATTCCTCCATTCAGTATAAGTCCAGAATTTGTTGCACCCCCCAAAAGCTTTTGAAGAAGTTGAGTAACGCCTAATTTATGCAGGAGATCTCCTAGAAGTCCTTCATCTTGTGAATTTTCACCATTACCCAAAAGTGAACCAAGTATATTATCGAGTCCCAGCCCACCCACGACAGGTTCTAGAACTCCTCCATTTCCACCACCCCCCAAAAGTGAACCAAGTATATTATCGAGTCCCAGCCCACCTACGACAGGTTCTAGAACTCCTCCATTTCCACCACCTCCCAAGAGGGAACCAAGAATAGGATCTAACACACTTCCACCGTTAGATTTTACACCAGCGTTAACATTGTCATTGGCATTTACTTCAGCTCCAGCAGTTGCTTCAACTCCGGCAGTTGCTCCACCTCCACCACCAACTCCAAGCAATCCTCCCAACAAAGGTTTAGCTTCAACTCCACTTTGGCTGCCTATTCTTGATAAAGAAATGATGCAAATGCTTACAATGAAACTTTTGAAGATTTTCATTATTTAAAGTTAGTTTAAGTTTGAATTTTTCAGATAGAACTTAAAGACTGATCAGTGTGACTGTTGGATGAACTGAAAATCTGAATCCTTAATATACTAGTTTTGCCAATGAGAAGTTGTAGATTTTCGTTACGAAACATGACTTTTTTGCACGATTAATTATCTTCGATATTTTGTAGCGCTTATTACAAAAGTGACAAAAGGAAAAACAAATATTTGTTTTTCTCGAATCAGCATGTGGAGAGATTATAAAGTTTTCTTTGTTTTTAAAGTAGGTCTAAGAAATAAAAAGAAATTAAATAAGCTTCTGTTTCTTATTGGTTTTTCCATTGAAAAATATAAAAATCATCATCTAGAAAGATTGTACAGGTCATTCTTTAATTTGTTTTTTGTTATGGCTTCATCATGACTCTTGTTTTTGCACGATCGTTAATAAATATCTTCGATTTTTGTGACGCTTATTTAAAAGAGACAAAAGAAAAACAAATATTTGCAATCATTTTATGTTTCTCGAACAAGCTTTCGGAGAGATTATAAAATTTTCTCTGTTTTTAAAGTAGGTCTAGGAAACAGAAATTTAAATGATCTCATGTTACTCAAATACGTTTTACTATTGAAAAATATAAACATCGTCATCTAAGTTGCTGTTGAGCAGTAAAAATTGAATTTCTTATAAATAGTTTTACATCGTTGACAATTAAAATGAAATATAAAAACGATAAAATAGTTCCTTGAGGCATTCCTAAATTGTCTGAGAGTTCGTTTGATGCAGGTTGTATCATTAAATTAATTTTTTTGTTTTCTGTTATGTGATTTGACTGATTTGATATGATTTGACCATCTTTCAGCATTATCCTTGGAAACATATTTAACTATTTTTTCATGAAAATATGACGACCAAAAGTTTTTCCAATTTTTAGAAATTCATCTACAATTGGACTTTTTTTCTTGAAATTTGGAACGATTATTGTATCCCCTGATCTTATAGAAAAGCCTCACAATGAATTTTTTCTTATTGAAAATTTCTAGCAACCACCTTCAAAATGTATTTCGTGTCAAACATTTTGTCTTAATTTATGAACATATGATCAAGGTGCCTTTCTTCAAACGTAAACAAAGCCAATGAAAATTGTAATAAATTAAAAAATCCTTAGAAAAATTGAAATTATCTATTTTTATTGAATAAAAACAATTTTAATTAATTTAATTTCCTTCGAATTAGTGAAACGTTACGTGAGGGCACCCTAAAAAGTTTATTTTGGTTTGCTTCTGTATCTAATCAAATTTTATTAGTTTTCTTTTTGCGAATGATATCTAATAATAAAAATTGGAATATTTGAAAAAATGGCGGAAGATATCTCAAGACAAAGTGTTTTACTTCAAATTGCATTACGTCAACAAGGTTTGAGCAGCTACAAGAAGCTTCAAAAGTCAGCGAAAAGTAAGAAAATTGTGTGAAAAACTGAATTTCAAGGAAATGAAAATTTGATAACTTTTATTTACAGATTCATTGGCTTTTACACAAAGATTAAAATTAGAAAAGGAATTGATTGTTCATAAAGGTTGCGTTAATTCTATTGTATGGAATGAAACCGGCGACAAAATTCTTTCAGGCTCAGATGATCAAAAGCTTGTGATAACAAATCCATTCAACTCAAAAGTATTTTATCGATTTACAACAGTTCATCGCAGCAATATTTTCTCAGCAAAGTTTCTTCCAAATGGTGATAACAGAATTATTAGCTGCGCCGGAAACGGAAGTGTGATTTATACAGATCTCGAAAATACTCAATTTGAGAGAGAGTCAGAAGAATCAGAAACCTTGGTTGGTGGAAATTATCGTGCACCAACTGAACAAGCAAATTACTTCAATTGTCATACTGGAACAGCCTATGAAGTCATCAATATACCTACCGAGTCTAATTGCTTTTTGAGCTGTGGTGAAGATGGAACCGTGAGATTCTTTGATCTCCGTCAAGTCTCCAAATGCACTTTGTCTTGTTGCCGTGAAAATATTCTCGTTTATGCACCATCAAGTGTGTCATCAATGTCACTTTCACCAATATCAAATCATTATCTAGCAGTTGGATGTTCAGATTTCGTTCGAATCGTTGATCGACGTTACTTGAAACTTATTGAATTTCCACAATATAATGCTGATGGAGCTCCAACTTCGGCATTGTCAGGATTTGATGGAAAATACTACACGGAGGCAGTCAAACTATTCAAGATACCATTAGAAGAGAAACGTCCGTATCGTGTGACATCGCTGGTTTTTAGCCCAAATGAACAAGAACTACTCGTCAGCTTCAGTTCGGAATATTTGTACTTATTCAACTTAAACGATGAAGGAGTTTCTCCTGAAGGCAATACAGTCGCAAAAGGACGTCGTCGTCGTCGAGATTCACCGAAAGTTTTACGTAAACTTCGCTTACGAGGTGACTGGTCTGACACTGGCCCTGAAGCGCGGCCATTGAGTGAAGTTTCAGCTCAATCACGACCACAACTAAATTTAACTCTCATGAACCGTATGACGGGATTATTGTCACGCATGTTAAATGATCCTCGTCAACGAACACAAAATCGTGGTGATGAAAATAACTTTGACCGTGTGGCTGAAGGAATTTCGGCTTTGTTTTGTAACGATGCCAATATACCAGCCGGTGATGACGGTGCATCGACGTCAGCAGTTGCAGGTGGTAGTAGTTCCTCTAACGACGAAGCTGCAGCTAATGTCGGAACATCAAACAGCAGTAGTAGTGGAAGTGATGACGACACTACAATTAATAAACCAAAGTTTAATTATGTTAAGCAAAAGTTTTTAGGACATCGCAATGCAAGAACGATGATCAAAGAAGCAAACTTTTGGGGCGATGACTTTGTAATTTCCTTTCTTATTAAACTTGTAAATAATAACTAATTATTATCAAATATTTCAGATTCTCAGTGGAAGTGATTGTGGTCACTGCTTCATTTGGAACAGACATAATGGAGAATTAGTGAATTTACTTCAGGCTGACAGACATGTTGTGAATTGCGTTCAACCACATCAGTCTCTGCCTATTTTGGCGACTTCTGGTATTGATTATAATGTTAAAATTTGGACACCATCGGAAGAAGAAAATGTTTATGATGAGAAGCAAGCTAGTGATGTAGGTTTTGATTTAGTTTGGATTTAAATTATGATTTAGATTACTGAATATTTCTTGTAGATAATGCAGAGGAACCGTTTAATGCTAGAAGAAACACGAGATGTTGTTACTGTGCCAGCATCTTTTATGATAAGAATGCTTGCTTGTTTGCACTCTTACAATAGAAATAATAATAATAATAGTAATAGTAATGATGATGGAAATGTAAGTACCAATAATGACAATGAGAACAACGAAAATAACGACGAAGAAAGCAGTTCATAAATAAATAAAATTTTATTGATACAAAATGTGTACAGTTTAAATGTGATTAAAAAATATTATTTTAATTCTCTCTATATTTTAATTAACACACTAAACATTTATTAGAATTGTTTGAATAATCTGAATATTAATATAAAATGCAATAAAGAAGAATTATTTTGAGTTTAAAAAAATTAAATTCTTAGATAAAATGGTGAATGAAATTAAGGATAAAGATTAACAATTTGTCTAGCTGTCTCTTTCATGAAAAGAATTTATGTTTCTATATGGCAGCATAAACATATCCCAACATATATTCACACTAACACAGACGCATGTTAAGAAATATTCCATCAGGACTTTTCTCATTTCCCTTTCTTCTAAGCAATATTCCTTCTACACTTACATACTAAAAATGTATTTCAACGTGAATTTTGTCTTAATTTTATTATTGTTTTTAAAAACATGAGTAAATGTGAGTAAAACAAAAACCGAAGCGTGAATTTTAGAACACAACTAAAAGAAATCTTTGAATTTATTGTGAAGTGAAGTACTTACTGTACATTATTTATCGATTTAAGCTGCTTTTTGACATTCTTATCTCATTCGTATTAATACTGGCAGTGAAGACTGACGTGTAGTTTATCAATTTTAAAGATGAATACTGGGAAATTTTTAAGCATTATTTTATGCCTTTTGTCGTCCATTCTTGGAGATGAAAATGAACAATCGAGAGATGTTTATAGAAAAATGATTGCAAGACGAAGAGAAGTAATTAATTTGTGTTAATTGAGTTATATTTATTTTATTTCTTTTTATTTTCTTTTCTTAACTTCAGGAACATTTTATAATCGTCAAAAATGTGGCAAGAAATCCAAATCTCGAAATGCGTTTGTCGTTGCTGGTGGTGGCAGTAGAAAGAGTTTACGAAATAATTCTTCAACACAGAGATGAACTTGACAGAGAAGAGTTCAACAATAAGATTTCTGAAACTAAAATTACAATCATTGAGAATACTTGTCTCTTGATGGATTTCATCGTTAACTTCAGCTTTGAAAACTTAATATTCCGAGTTATAAAAAGACTTGACAACGATCAATGGTACAGTGACTTGAAGTGGAGTTTGAGGTTTACAGAATCTTATCTGGATCTTCTTGATGAAGTTTCAAAGAAAGAATTTTACTTTGTAAAGGAGAATCTGGCTCGAATCCTGAATTTCCTTCCTCTACCTGAATATCCTTATGAAAACAGCGTCAAAAAATTCCTTCCAACAAAAGAAAAAATAGAAGAATACAAAAAGAACAAAAAAATACATGAAAAACTGGAAAAAGCAAACCTTGTTGACCCGATCAAATTAGAACTTTAAATAGTTACCTGAGATGAACTGAAGCAAAGAGAATAAAAATAATTTACCTGAAATTTAAATCAATTTATGAACAAATAAATTTTAAGTTTCTTTTAATAACTCTCAGAAATGGATATTTACATAAGCAAACGATCTCAATATTTTACTTAACTGACTTACGTGGAATAATTATTAAGGCAAAATACTTATAAATCTTTTTCAATAAAACATTAAATTAAATTTATTAAACTTTCCACCATTTGTCACATAAAGAACCCCAAAAATCATTTATTCGTTATATTTAACGAGTTGTTGATTGATCCAAGTATTATAAGATGAAACTTTAGTATACACACTGGGTTGACCAAAACCACACAGAAATCCTCCATAAGATACAACTCCAATCAGGAATCTTTCTGAACCATTCTTGTACAGAGGATTTCCTACGAATAATCCCGACCCGTAATCACCTAAAATAGAACTCAATTAATTAATTAAGCTAATTTAGAATTAACTTTAAATGTAAACCTGTGCAGAAGTTTTTATCTGAAATAAAGGAAGCAATTCTCAAATTAACATTTTTTTAATTTAAAAATGAAATTTTACCATCGCCTATGCCACAAATTTGCTTTTCGTGCATTTCCCAATATTGAGAACACTGAAATGGAAATCAAATTCAGTTGATTGATGGATGAATTTACGACTTTACTTACAGCTTCATTACCAATTATAGAAATTCTGGTATATTTTAGTTCAGTTATTATTGGTGGTTTTTCAAGTGGAGGAAGTCTAAAGTAGGATCCGAAACCACTAGATGTACACCTCAATCCAACAAGATTGGCATCTTCATCTAAATGTCTTGGTAGAGTACAAACTGCGTCTGTAAAAATATGAATTGATGAACTTTTTATCCTTTGAAGTTAGTCTAGAAATTACTGACCACTACAAGTGAGTGAAGTTTTTAATTTAATGAGCCCGACATCATTTTGTAACAAATTCTCATCATAGTTTTGATGTATCACAACTCGTTGAGCGACGGTAGAGAATGTTGCAGAATTTTTCAGATCGATCACCGAATAAATATCCAACTGACGACTTTTGTGGACACAAAATGCTGCCTGATGTTTAAATAGACATTTTTCATTACATAAATTAACAAAAAAAGATTTCTTACGGTAAGAACCCATTCCAATGTTATAAACGTTCCCCCGCAGCGATATTGTCTGTCAATAATTATATGCGCATGATGTGGAATTTGATTCAAATCAACTTTTTTCCCTCCAATCGTTGGTGGTTCTTTTAAACTTACAAACTTTTCAAAAACTTCTTCATCGATACTATTTTTTATATTTGGTTGTTTTTGAAGTCTTTTCAAGATTTTTTGGAATTTTGGTGACAACGTGATATCTTTAATATCGTCCCAATCTAGTCCAGGATTATCAATGTTAATCACATTTCTAGATGTTACTGCCGTGAAACAGAGAACCAGCAATATGAAAGTTATCATTGCAATGTTAGATATTTATTCTTAAAGAATTTGTGATCGAATGAAAAATTAATCATGAATTTAGCTTTCTTAAAGTGTTTATATTTCCGGAACAAATTTTCTTTAAGCGGATTAGTCAAGCGCCAAATATCAGCAAAAAAAACTTTAAACTAAAATTATTAAGTGAAGTTTTAAAAATATTCAAAATTATTACAAATTTCATTTTTCAGAGGCTGAATTATGATGATGACACGTTAATCGTTTCTGTCCTATGAGATTATTGAAATAAAAGTTTTGTTTATTTTTGTATATTCCTACTTAAGAAATGCAAGCAAGCAATTCAACAATCACAATATAATAAAACAAAATCCATCACATTGTATCTACATTTATAAACATTTTTGTGAACAATTCAAAATAATTAAAATTACCTTTATCCAATAATGATCCCTTGATTACATGTGAAGATTAGCTTGACATATTCACGGTTAAACCGTTGATTAATATTCGTAAAATTAAGGAAAAGAATTTTGGAAAATTGTATATAAATACAAGGAAAATGATAGAGTCAATTTTAAAGTTCTAGACTTGTGCAAGATTCATTCAAAAAGTTAAGTTCATATTCAAATTCTCAAGAAATGGCGAAAAACTATGAAGAATTTCGTACTCACGGAAAAGTGCTGATTGACTACATTTGCAACTATGTCAAGACTATTGAAAAGCGACCTGCTTTTTACGAAAATTTGAAGCCAGGATTTCTAGCACCTCAACTTCCATCAGACATGCCGGAAAATCCAGAATCGTTTACGAATGTTCTTCTTGACTTTGATCAGAAGATACTTCCAGGAATGGTCCATGGAATACATCCCGACTTTTTCACTTTCTTTGGTACTGGAAATGCTTATCCTTCTGTTATTGGAGACATGTTGAGTGGAGCTATTGCAACTGTTGGTTTTTCTTGGGTAATGATTTGAATTTTCCTCTTAAAGAAAAAAATATTTAATTAATTTTAATTAGGCGTCAAGCCCTTCTGTAACTGAACTTGAATATATAATGCTTGATTGGTATGCCAAAGCATTGAATCTTCCAGATTTCTTTCTTAGTATTAATAGCAACAAGAACAGCAAAGGTGGTGGAGCACTTCAAGCATCTGCAACTGATGCAATGATGTCATTCATGATTGCGGCAAGAGACCGAGCAATAAAACAACAAAAGAATGGTAGGAGAGATTCTCATCAACCAGGTCTTGGTGGCAATGAAGACGCTGCATACTTACCGAAGCTCGTTTGTTATGCGTCTGTGAACGCTCATGGTTGTGTTGAAAAAGTAGCCAATTTGTGTATGGTCAAATATCGAAGCGTCAAAGTTGATGCGGATGACAAAATGAAAGCAAGCGCGCTTGAAAACGCCATCAGAGAAGATTTAGAAAATGGATTTATTCCATTCTTTGTTGTTGGGACATCTGGAACCACTGAGCAAGGCGCGTTTGATGAATTAGATAAAATTGGCGAAGTTTGTTCGAAATTTCAAGGAATTTGGTTTCATGTTGATGCTTCTTATGGTGGAAATTTCTTCATGCTTCCTTCAAAACGTTACTTATCTGTTGGATTAAACTACGCTGATTCAATTAACGTTAATCCAAATAAACTTTTACTTACTGCTGCAGATTGCACTTGTGCGTGGGTGAAAGATGTGCAAGGGTTCGTTGAAGCATTTGATGTTGAGGCACTTTATCTTAAGCATCAATACGAGGAAAGTATTGTTGACTTACGCCATTGGGGAACGCCTTTAAGCCGCAGATTCAGATCATTGAAATTATTTTTCATGTTCCGTATGTACGGATTGGAAGGATTTCAAGCATTTTTGAACAAAGTTATTGACGTCGGAGAACATTTTGCTACACTCGTAACCAGCGATTCTCGTTTCAGAGTGAAAAATGACGCGAAAAATGGAATTGTCTGCTTTAGACTTAAGTAAGCAAAACTAATTTATTGTCATGATTACGTTTTGAACATTTTCTTCTCCCTTAAAGTCGAAACGATCATGTAAATGAATCTCTTTTGAAAATGATAAATGACACAAAGAAAATTCATCTTTTGCCAACAATTTGCAAGAAGAAAATGTGTCTTAGATTCGTCGTCAATCGCGAATATTGCAGTGAAGCTCAAGTTAAAAGGGCTTGGTTGTTAATTTCTCATTATGCGACTAATCTTAGGGATGAAATCAAAAGAAGACGTGCACTTTCAATTGAAGGTCAAGCCGAAGAGAATGACGAGCTGAATCAAGAAAATTCGCTGAATTTCAAAGATCGAATGACGATTGAAACAAATGAGAGTGCAGTGAAGTAAAAATCTTAAAAATTGTTGAGAAATTCTAGTTTAAAATTTTATTATCTCTAGGAAATCGATTCAAGATGATGAAACTCCAACAGTCGCTCCCAAAGATGAATCTGCTGTCTAAGAGATGTTCTTAAAATGAAATTCAAATGTTTGTGTCGATTAATTTATTGATAATTAAAATAAAAGGTGGTGGGATGTTTTAGCTGAGGGATAAATGAGATTTTTAATTCACTATCTAATATTCATTGAAGTTATACTTATGCCTGATGCTAATTAAAGTGTTGAGCAGTCAAAAGACTATTCATGAATGAAAGAACCACCGAAAGATGATAATGAGATGAAAAACTAGTGAACTACTTACTCTGAATCTCGAGGTTTGTGATGAATTTCGGAAAGCTCATAATTAATAAGTCACAACAAAAGCATTCATATCTAGCAAATTGAAGTGACCTATCAATTTCAAGACATCCGACTTTGGTTGATTTCTACTCTCTCGTGAATTCACAAGAAATTATTAGCTTATTCTACTGAATCTTACTACCAATTACATCTTTATGAGTTTATCTACAAAATGTTGACGTTTAATTTTCATTTTATTTAAATCACTAATCATATATTTCACATTTTTTAAATTGGCATTTCTACTAAATTTTCGATGAAAATTTATTTAACGAGTTCTGTGTTGAATGTCGGAAGGCTTATAAGTGATAAGTCAGGACATTAGCATTCAAATCCAGCATATTGCACTGGCTTATCAACTTCAAGACATCCGAATTTAGTTCGAGTTATACTTGCTTGGAAATTCAAATCACTGCATTGAACTGAAATCACAATTGTCAATGAAAACTGAAGGTTTAGATTTTTTGTTTTTACACTCTTTTAATGATAGTCTTAAATTTATTGTAAATCTTGATCATTTTTCAGACTCTTTTCTCTTTGTATTATTTCACAAATTCTGTGAAGCATGAAGACTCACTCAATTAAAAGAATATTTTTGAACTTTGCTTATTAATTTCTTGCTTCAAGTTATCACAAATGTCAACTTCTCTTACTGTTTACCTTTTTCACTTTTTCTTTCGACTTTTCCTGTTGAATATCTGATGCACAATGAACATATTTTTGACATGATGCTGCTTTTATAGGCAAAAAATCTTTCGATTGTTGCGATACCATGATTTTGAACTAATTAATCTATCAACTATCTATGCTTCAAACAATATGCAATCGATTTGGGTTGAACTGAAATAAAAAAGCATAGAGAGAAATTTTAAAACGATTGAACTTAAAAGGATTTTTAAACTCAATTTAATTCATGCTTTCACCACATTTAGGCCTTCGCTACTATATTTTCGATGAAACAAAACATTTTATCCGTGAACGTTATGAATCTTCCATAAATCGCGATTTTTTATCGTGGTAGAGTAGATAATTGAATTATGAAAAATTGAGTTACACATTCATATTAAAAGGATACAAAACTGATGGTGTAAAATATAAACCAAGATTCCTGCATTATGAGAGACTTGTGGAAAAACCATAAAAAACATAACTGCATCAAATCTGCAAAGGACTTTCATGAATCATGATGGATTGTTTCAGAGATGCAACATCGTAAATTCATTTAAGGATAAAAATGTTTGTGATCAGAAAAAGCACGAAAATGAAAGCATGAAATAATGTTCAATGAAATTATAAAATTAATGTCTATAAACTGAAAGCCATAAGAACACAGAAGTGTGTATAATATTGCGTTCAATTTAAGTTTTGTGTTGTTACTCACATTTAATGCTTGCGATTTGTTTTTAACATTTATTCATTGTTGATGTAATGTTGACGAAAACATTCGGCAAATCAAAACTTTCTCATAATGTAAATTTATAGAAATGACGTGAAATGCATAATGAAATTGTATTAGACAAGAACTTAAATTTCAGAGCTTTCTTGTCAATTAATTTATGAAATGATTTCGTAGCAGATATTTTCAAACAGCGATCATATTGAAGTTTTCATCTTTCATGAGGTATTCAAAGGAAGTCAATCAATTTGAGTCTCTCCCGTCTTTTCTTTTTCGCAATGTTCGTCAGACGATCAAAGCTTTGTTCAAACAATCTCAAGAATGAAGATCAAATTATGTCATTCAATGCGTTATTATATCTTTTTTGATAATCCTCATTGACAAATGGAAGATTTTCAGTAATAAGAATAAAGAGAATGTGAAAAGTTAAAAGTTTCATTGTTATCATTTAATTTTTAATTTGTTTCGTTATATTAAAATCATCATCATCAGATATGGGGAAGAGAGACAACTCTCAGTTCTGTTGCGATTAGGATATATTTGTCAAAACTTTGCAAGTAATTTGCTTGATGTTTCGCCCCCATTTCATCATTTGATGATCAAGTCAAAAGTTAAGTAATAAATCAATTAAGATACAATATTCGTAAAATTAAGAAAAAGAATTTTGGAACATTTAATATAAATACAAGGAAAATGATCGAGCATAATCAAAAAGTTCTGAACAAGTGCAAAATTCATTCAAACAGTTGAAGTTGATTTTTATCAGGAAATGGCGAATAAACTATGAAGAATTTCGTACTCATGGAAAAGTGTTGATTGACTACATTTGAAACTATTTTAGGGATGAAATCAAGAGAAGACGTGCACTTTCAATTGAAGGTCAAGCCGAAAAGAAGAATGACGAACTGAATCAAGAAAATTCGCTGAATTTCAAAGATCGAATGACGATTGAAGCAAATGAGAGTGCAGTGAAGTAAAAATTATAAATAATGTTAAGAAATCATAGTTTAAAATTTTATTATCTCTAGGAAATCGATTCAAGATGATGAAACTCCAACAATCGTTCCCAAAGATGAATCTGCTGTCTAAGAGATGTTCTTAAAATGAAAATCTAAATGTGTCGATTAATTCATTGACAATAATAAAAGGTGGTGGGATGTTTTAGCTGAGGGATAAATAAAGTTTTTCATTCACTATCTAATATTCATTGAAGTTATACTTATGCCTGATGCTAATTAAAGTGTTGAGCAGTCAATATATCACTCATGAATAAAAGGACCACCGAAAGATGATAATGAGATGAAAAACTAGTGAACTACTTACTCTGAATCTCGAGGTTTGTGATGAATTTCTGAAGGCTCATAATTGATCGGTCGCGACAAAAGCATTCATATCTAGCATATTGAAGTGGCCTATCAACTTCAAGACATCCGAATTTAGTTCGAGTTATACTTGCTGGGAAATTTAAATCACTGCATTGAAAACTGAAGGTTTAGATTTTTTGTTTTTACACTCTTTTAATGATATTTAGTCTTAAACTTATTGTAAATCTTGATCATTTTTCAGACTCTTTTCTCTTTGTATTATTTCACAAATTCTGTGAAGCATGAAGACTCACTCAATTAAAAGAATATTTTTGAACTTTGCTTATTAATTTCTTGCTTCAAGTTATCACAAATGTCAACTTCTCTTACTGTTTACCTTTTTCACTTTTTCTTTCGACTTTTCCTGTTGAATATCTGATGCACAATGAACATATTTTTGACATGATGCTACTTTTATAGGCAAAAAATCTTTCGATTGTTGCGATACCATGATTTTAAACTAATTAATCTATCAACTATCTATGCTTCAAACACTGGTCAAAATGCAATCGATTTGGGTTGAACTGAAACAGAAAAGCATAGAGAGAAATTTTAAAACGATTGAACTTAAAAGGATTTTTAAACTCAATTTAATTCATGCTTTCACCACATTTAGGCCTTCGCTACTATATTTTCGATGAAACAAAACATTTTATCCGTGAACGTTATGAATCTTCCATAAATCGCGATTTTTTTTATCGTGGTAGAGTAGATAATTGAATTATGAAAAATTGAGTTACACATTCATATTAAAAGGATACAAAACTGATGGTGTAAAATAAAAACAAAAATTCCTGCATTATGAAAGTCATGTGAAAAACCATAAAAAACATAACTGCATCAAATCTGCAAAGGACTTTCATGATGGATTGTTTCAGAGATGCGACATCGGTAAATTCATTTAAGGATAAAAATGTTTGTGATCAGAAAAAGCACGAGAACAAAAGCATAAAATAATGTTCAATGAAATTATAAAATTAATGTCTATAAAGTGGAAGCCATAAGAACAAAGAAGTTTGCATAAAATTGCGTTCAATAATTGAGTTTTGTGTTCTACTCACCATTCAATGCTTGCGATTTTTTGCTAACATTTAATCATTGTTGATGTAATGTTGACGAAAACATTCGGCAAATCAAAACTTTCTCATAATGTAAGATTTATAGAAATTACGTGAAATGCATAATGAAATTGTATTAGACAAGAACTTAAACTTCAGAGTTTCCTTAACAATCAAATTCATGAAATGATTTCGAAGCAGATATTTTCAAACAGTGATCATATTGAAGTTTTCATCTTTCATGAAGTATTCAAAGGAAGTCAAACAATTTAAGTCCCTCCCGTCTTTTCTTTTTCGCCATATTCGTCAGACGATCAAAGCTTTGTTCAAACAATCTCAAGAGTGAAGATTGTATTCTTTATTCAATGTTATATTTTTTTATAAATTTAATTTACTAAATTCATTTGAAAACATACTTAAAATTAAAAGCAATTATTTGTGCATTATTCGATTAAACATTCAACAATCATTAATTACACACCTCCAAGTCTTCGTTCGATAGTAAGAAATTTGCGAAGAAATTTTCATTAATGGATGCTGACAAAAAAATTGCTCATGGATAAAATTTTTTTTTCTAATCTACGCCGTTTCATTGCTTAGTAGACAGCGTGAGAAGAATTTATAAAAGCAATCCAAAATAAAACACTTTTCCAGATTAGTAATCGAAAAACTGTTAAAGCAGAATTAATCTAGAAGAGTTGAAATGTATATTTGCATTTTACAGATTAAAAATATGTATGTTTAAAAAAAGTCAAAGAAAATCTGAAACAAAGAGTTGCTGAAAGTGAAGAAAAAGTTGAAAAAATAGAGAGAAAAAAAATTCAATTTTAAATGACAATATCTTTATTTCTTTGACAAGATAAGGAAATTGTACTACATTTTGATAATGATTGATACTACACTAATAATAATTAACTTTGTAGTGGCTGCAACGAGCTACAATATTTCCTAATATTTTTCTTTTTGATAGAGATGAGTTTTCTAACGTTACACAATTTCTTCCAATTTGATTAGACATACACACTTAAGATAGGTTGATTCATTTTGGAACTGAGAAATGAAATTTTTATTTAACAATTAGCTAACACTAATCTTAAGTTTTTTTATTCCTTAACAAGAACTTGTTCAGTTTACTTCAAATGAATGTTTGGGAAAAATTTAAAACCTATTAATGTATAATAAATATTGCACGTTTTAAGTAAAAACTTATTTTTTATTTCACATATGCAATAGTCACATAAAAAAAAGAAAATAGTTAGAGAACTTCCAAATCTAACTTTAGGAAAACTTCACAGTAGATTCTCTTTATAATTTCATATTCTTTTCCTTCTCATAGGATATATTTATGTTTTTAGTTATACTATTACTATTTACTTTAAGAAGTATTAGCTTCTACAGAGATCTTCATCATACTTAAAGAGTTTATAAAATCAATTTAAATATAAAATGTGAAATGCTAAAAGTTGAATGCATACTCGTCGTGTTTAGAGGGGAAATTAAGGATGCTGGTGACTGAGATCGCGGTGTAAATTGATTTTTTTTTGCGAGGATGATAAAGATGTAAAGTGGTTGAGCTGCTGTGATAATATTGTGATGTGAGGGCTAAACTTGGCAAACCCGTCAATTGAGGGAATAAGAATGGATGGTTTACCGCAGATTGTTGAAACTTTTGATGTGGTAAGTTCAAAAGAGTTTCTTGATAATTTTGCTGATTAACCATTCCCGGTAGTTGGTTTTTCAAAGCTTCGAGCATCAAGTTCTAAGCTCAAGCGCTAAGTTTTTGGGATTAACATAAAGACGTGCGAGATGTTCAGCTTGCAATGGATTAGTAAAATCCGAAAAACTCTTCTCGTCTGCATGATTCTGATGGGAGGTTTCAATTCTATCGTTAGTTGACAAAAGTTTTCTGTGTAAATTAAGATTCGAACTATGACGGTCAAGTAATCGCTTATTTGGAAAAACGGCATTGGATCCATCGATACTGCAAACATAATTTGACATTTGTTTATTTGGAAAATGTGATCTTGTTCCACACATTGAACATTTACTCACGCTGTTATTGTCTTCCATCAACCCGCCAATTTCGCAGCATTGTGAACGATTTTCTTCATTATCAACACGTTCTGGTGTGGGTGTTCTTGAACGAGAAATTATTGGACTAGGTGAGTCATTGTCGATGAGAAAATTAAGTGGCGGAAATTGTGGACCAAGAATATTAGACCCGTTTCTGATTGAATTAAAAATTCACGGCTTCGTTATGATCAAGAAAGATGATGCGTCACCATTTCGAGCGTTCGATTCTTTGGCGGCCCTACAGAAAGAGTTTGGAAGTAACACAAAGCAAACCATGGATGCTTGAAAGTAGCAACGACAACAACGGAAAGTCAACCTACAAATAAATTTTTTCTTTTCCTTTTCTTGAATTATTTTTTCATTGAGGCTTATATTTTATTTTTAGTTTGGATTGTAATTCATAAAATCGAGTTTCTGCAAAAACAAAATATTACAACCCAATGTTTATTTAAATGTATTAATGGATTCTTAGTGGTGAGTACTTTAATCTGCTTTCTTTCTCTTATCCCTTCCCTATCTAAACCTTATGCAACTATTTATGCTGGTCTGTTTGCGAGATTTGATAACATAAGATATGTTGATATCGCAAGGGTCATGTTGATTGTTAACATTTAACTCTCTAGGTTCAAAAGGTGACTCCCTGAACATAAGAAACATTGTTTTAAAATCAGCATTTTCTACTTTCTCTAATTTAAATTTCATACATCTTAATCCGGGTAGTATGAAAAAGAATTTGGATGATTTTCGAATACTTATAAAAAACGTGAACGTTCACATAATTGCTGTGTCTGAAACCTGGTTCAAACCACATCACAACTCCAATGCGTTAAATATTCCAGGCTTCTCATTGTATCGTCATGATCGAAATAATTTATCTCGCTGTCGTGGGGGTGGAATTGCGTTTTATGTAAAAGACAACATTAAGGCAAAAGTTGTATCAAAAAGCAGACATAACGGTTTAACTGAGTTTATGTTCCTTGAACTGAGTGGAATGAATAATCAAAAACTCATCTTTGGTGTTGTGTATAATCCACCAAACACATCAAATTTTCAACCCCTTCTCAATTCAATAAACAATTTAATGTCAACTAGGTCTGATATTTTAATCGTTGGTGATTTCAACTCTAACATGTTAAATCAATCACCTTCAACAAAGCGACTGCTTCACGAGTTTTCTATGTTTGGTTTAGAATGTCATCAATCGGAACCAACGAATTTTTCAAATATAGCAAACCCAAGTTTAATTGACTTAATATTTTGTAACCAAAACTTATTAAATCGTTTCACGCAAATGTCTCCTGGCAGTTACACAACCCATGACCTGCTTATCGGATCTTATAATTTCTCTTTAGAAACATGCAACAACGATATTGTCAAAACTTATCTTGACTACAAAAATGTAGATGAAAATCTCTTGCTACAAGCAATATCGTTACAAAATTGGGATGAATTATATAAGCTTTCTGCGATTGATGACCAAATTAAATTAATAAATAATTTTATAAATGAATTAATGTCACAAGTAGTACCTGTTAAAAAAATTTCCTTTTTCAAAAATTATGACTCTATCTTACATAATCATAGTTTGATAAACTTAATCAACTGCCGAAATTATTATCATCATTTAAGCAATCATGAATTAGATAGAGAACGAAAGCTTTTCTATCGCTCGAATTATTGTAAGTTTAGAAATAAAGTTACAACGATGAAAAGGAAATTAAAAACAAACTTCTACCGAAATAAATTTTCTTTGGAATTACCATCAAAATCTTTATGGACAAATCTAAAAAACCATGGCGTAACAAAAAGTAAAATGAACTTACCTGCAAGTTTTCCATCTGAAGTTTTTAACGATTATTACACGAAAGCTTTTTCTCCACAAACATCAAACGACTTTTCTTACAAGTCTAATAACAATAATTTGTTAAATTTTTCCTTTGAAAATGTATCCACAGTGGAGATTAATGAAGCGATTATGCGGATCAAAACAAATGCGCTGGGAGTGGATGGAATACCAGCAGGTTTTCTAAAAAAGCTTACACCGTTTATAGTTCCTTTCGTAACTCATGTAGTAAATTGTTGTTTAACAAAATCTTTCTTTCCCAGCGCGTGGAAAATCGCCAAAATAATTCCAATCCCGAAAATCTCAAATCCTACTACAGTTGCTGATTACAGACCAATAAGCATTCTACCATCGCTATCGAAAGTTTTGGAAACTATTATGAGAGATCAAATTGCGAATTTTATTTCCCATGAAAAACTTTTGAGTAACTTTCAATCTGGTTTTCGTCGTGATCATAACACGTTGACAGCGATGCTGAAAGTAACTGATGATATATCTAGTCTTGTAGATAGAAATCATGTCGTTATTTTAACATCACTAGATTTTAGAAAAGCTTTCGACTTAGTGGACCACAAAAGCTTATTATGTAAGCTTAACACTTTTTATAATTTTTCTTCGTCTTCATGCACTCTAATTCAATCATATCTTTCGAACCGTTTCCAAAAAGTCTCATTACCGGATAATGATTCAGAATTAGCATTGGTGACGTCAGGAACACCACAAGGGGGCATTTTATCGTCATTACTTTTTTCTTTATTTATAAATGATCTACCTAAAGCACTGAATATTAACATTCATCTCTATGCTGACGACTCGCAAGTATATTGTTCAGCGCCAAACAACAATATCACAGAATGTGCCAGAACAATGAACATCTCTCTTGAGCTTGTAAATAAATGGGCACAAGAAAATTCAATACAAATAAATCCAGAAAAGTCGCAAGCAATAATTTTTTCTAAGGGAAAACTAAAAGATATTCCACCTGAAATACTCATCAACAATAAAAAAATTAATTACACTGATAATTTAAAAATTTTAGGTTTAATAATTGATAAATCTTTGAGTTGGAATGGGCAAGTCAGCAAAGTTTGTAATGAAATATATGGAACTCTTTCGATGCTTAGACAAACACAAGATTTTCTACCGAAAGACATAAAACAGCATTTAATTAAATCATTAGTTATCCCGAAATTTATGTACTGTTCGGAAATTTTCATGGGATGTTCTCGAGCAAATTGGCATACAATTAACGTGTGCTTTAATTCTTGTATTCGCTACATTCACAGCTTAAAGAAATTCGATTCAGTCTCCAAGCATGTTAATGAATTATTAGGCTGTTCTTTGGAGAATTATATGAATTATCGCGTATGTCTTTTCATCTTTAATCTTATGAAAAAGAAAACTCCACACTACCTTTATGAAAAACTTTTCTTCCCAAGATTTCGAAGAAGTAGAATGTTAAGCTTACCTCCTACCAAAAGCTCGAAACAACACATCAACAGTTTCTTTGTTCGTGGACCTCGCCTTTGGAATTCTCTTCCATCTGATTTAAGAATAATTGACTCCCTTGCGATTTTTAAACGAGAATGTCTATCTCATTTCGCTTCGCAGAAAGCACAAAAATAGTTGCAATCTTATACCCGAACCCCACTTCTCCCTTTCCCCTTTCTTCCCTTCCTGCAGATTAATGTCACAAAATCACTTCAGAACTATTGTTTATAACTCGATTCAAGTAGTTAGGAAAAGCTAGTTATTTCTTTTTCTTCTATATATCGCATATTTTTCTCTTAAACATATTACTTTTTTCATAAATGTACATAAGAAAACTTATTGTCAAAAAAGAGCTTAGCTCTTATATGTACTTCAATCAATAAATATGAAATTAAATTAAATTAAATTAAAAGCTCCCGCATTATGTGAAATTTCTTCTAATTGTCGCAAAATGTACGCTTGATGCAAACTCTCAAGTTCAACTTTCGTTTGTTTATCGAAGTCAGTCTCTTCTTTGAATCTTTTTCACCGAAAGATTTAAATTTTCCTCGTTAGATTCGTTATCAACATCACGTTTTTTATGCTGAGATTGTTCGTCAATTCATCACTGTAAGACTGCTTAAACTTCTTACTTTGAGGCAGAGAAATATCTTCCGGTTTTTCTTTTATCTTGGAAGCATAAGATTCATCATTGTCTTCAGACATGTTGTCATTTTCATTAGGGATCATCACTGGTGAAATTGAACATTTCATTGGATTTTTAATTTTTACGCTTTCGTTTATTTGATGCCGAATATTTGTCTTTTAATTGATCAGTCGTTACATATTCTTCAATGCTACTTTTATTATTTGCCCTGCTCTCCGGAACTACATTGTCCGGCTCATTTTTCGAGCTCATTCTGAAATCATGAGGTTTGTCATCGTTAGCTTCACCATAATTCTCTGATTCGGGAGTGTAATACATGTTCATTTGAGAAACCAAAATTTTCACCTTCCGAATCTGAACTCATTCCATATTGTCAATATTTATGTGGTTAACGTCATCATCGTCGCTTTGATCATTACAAACACTCACTCGTTATCAATTTTTCTCGACATTCGCTTCAAAGCTTCCACACTCTTTTGTTCTTCGTAACTATCACGTCTATTTTCATGTTGTCTTCGTTGATGATCTTTCAGACAAAATGCTTCCATGTTATGTTTAAATTCAAGTTACGCCATAGACTGATGACGTAAATCTCCTTGTGGAAGAAGTTGAAATTGATTAAATGGAAGCAATCCACCTCGCAATGGAAGTGCAGTTGGTGGTGGTAACAGCATGGGATTAGGTTGTGCACTTCGACCATCATGCGGAGAAATATTTCTTCTGAAATGTGGTGGATGAAGTTTAGGATTTGCACTATGACGGTTCCGAGAACGTCTTGAATTGAACATCCTACTACATCCTTCGACTGTACATTTATGCATTTCACGTAAGTGAACCGAAGAGAAATGAACTTTGAGATAACTTTTCCCCCAAAATGTTTTAAAGCAAACATTACATTGAACTCGCTTCTTCCCTGTTGATGGATTGATAAAGTGTGTGCCTAAATTTGGTGGACCACCATGATGTGCCATGTCTTGATTAATCTCACTCAAATGCTTTGGTATTTTATTTTTACGGCTCAGATTGAGTACATCAAGGTCAGAGTTCTTTGATAAGATGTCGTAAGGATGATGATGAGAACTTAAATCTAACCTTTCAGTATTTTTTTGTGACTGATATTCAGATTTTGATGACGTCAATGACATGGGCGCTTTGGTGGAAGCCAATGAATTAGGAAACCATGGAACAAGTGACGCCATAGACTGATGACGTAAATCTCCTTGTGGAAGAAGTTGAAATTGATTAAATGGAAGCAATCCACCTCGCAATGGAAGTGCAGTTGGTGGTGGTAACAGCATGGGATTAGGTTGTGCACTTCGACCATCATGCGGAGAAATATTTCTTCTGAAATGTGGTGGATGAAGTTTAGGATTTGCACTATGACGGTTCCGAGAACGTCTTGAATTGAACATCCTACTACATCCTTCGACTGTACATTTATGCATTTCACGTAAGTGAACCGAAGAGAAATGAACTTTGAGATAACTTTTCCCCCAAAATGTTTTAAAGCAAACATTACATTGAACTCGCTTCTTCCCTGTTGATGGATTGATAAAGTGTGTGCCTAAATTTGGTGGACCACCATGATGTGCCATGTCTTGATTAATCTCACTCAAATGCTTTGGTATTTTATTTTTACGGCTCAGATTGAGTACATCAAGGTCAGAGTTCTTTGATAAGATGTCGTAAGGATGATGATGAGAACTTAAATCTAACCTTTCAGTATTTTTTTGTGACTGATATTCAGATTTTGATGACGTCAATGACATGGGCGCTTTGGTGGAAGCCAATAAATTAGGAAATGATTGCGCTACCAATGATGCTGCCAGTGACTGATAAAAGGAACTAGCTAGTGACGTTGGCGGTAAATGAAATGGTAAATGACCCATTGATAAATTGAGAAAATTTTTTGGAAGATTTCCGGCTGATGATGTGTTTAATGAATCAGATGCTGATGAGTCTCGTTTTTTAATATTTTCGCGCATTTGGTGTTGTTGCTGCTGTTGTTCATGTTGCTGCTGTTGTTGAAGTTGTTGTAATGCTTCAGAATTTATTTTTTTAGTTGGCATTCCACTAGCAAATGGATTAATGTTCATTTGTTCAACCATATTAATTTTTCGAAAGTCAAATGGTTCCATATTTTGCAGTCTGTTCAATGGATGTGATGATAATTCGCGTGTAGGTGATGAAGCCGGTGATCTGTTTATGTTATTAATATTGCTTAATGCATTTTGGCTATTGGGAGAGGATGAAGGGCTCTTGAAAACCCCGCTTTCCATTAAGTTTGTTGTCATATCGGTTGCTAATTTTTGGTGCAATTGAGTTGCGAGTTGAAGTTGAGAATGTTGCAATTGACTCAAATACATATTTATTAGATGCTTTGCTGAATCAGGCGATGAGTTATCAAATTTTTATTCATGTCCAATTCTTTTCATTTCAAAGCACAACACTCTCGTCTTGTTACAGTTCAATAATTCAAAAGTATTAAGTAGTCTGTAATGAAAATGAAGAGAAGAATGGTAAATTAGCGTTTTGATGACTACAAAATATATTACAACAGCAAGACAAGCAAGACATTGAAACTAGAAAAATGAAATTGAAAAAAAGTGTTCATCTAAATGTGTTTTATTTTTCATTTTGTTTGTTTGATCTTAGTTTTGTTAAAAGACAGATTTAATAATTCCTTGAGAAAATGTTTGAAATGACAAACAGAAAAACGAATGAAAATATAAGAGAGAGACATGCTTCTAATTTTTCATTTGTTTCGTTATATTAAAATCATCATCATCAGATATGGGGAAGAGAGACAACTCTCAGTTCTGTTGCGATTAGGATATATTTGTCAAAACTTTGCAAGCAAAGTTGACATCCTGTTTCGCCCCCAATTCATCATTTGATGATCAAATCAAAAGTTAAAATAATAAATAAATAAATAAATTATGCAAAGCCAATTATACAAAAATATTTTGTATTCATCAATGATGAAAAACTTTACAGAATTACCTATGTGATGTTTTGCTTGAAAAAAGATTCGTAAATTTTAATTTCTTTTAGAAAGTTGATGACTTGTTCCAGTTCTAACTCATTTAAATTAATATTCTCAATAAAATACATTTTCTTGTTTTTTAAAGCTTCGTACAAATTGTAAATTAATTTAAATGACACAAAGAAAATTCATCTTTTGCCAACAATCTGCAAGAAGAAAATGTGTCTTAGATTTATCGTCAGTCGCGAATATTGCAGTGAAGCTCAAGTTAAAAGAACTTGGTTGTTAATTTCTCATTATGCGACTAATTTTAGGGATGAAATCAAGAGAAGACGTGCACTTCCAATTAAAGCTCAAGCCGAAAAGAATGGCGAACTGAATCAAGAAAATTCGCTGAATTTCAAAGATCGAATGACGATTGAAGCAAATGAGAGTGCAGTGAAGTAAAAATTATAAATAATGTTAAGAAATTATAGTTTGAAATTTTATTATCTCTAGGAAATCGATTCAAGGTGATGAAACTCCAACAATCGCTCCCAAAGGATGAATCTGCTGTCTAAGAGATGTTCTTAAAATGAAATTCAAATGTTTGTGTCGATTAATTTATTGATAATTAAAATAAAAGGTGGTGGGATGTTTTAGCTGAGGGATAAATGAGATTTTTCATTCACTATCTAATATTCATTGAAGTTACACTTATGCCTGATGCTAATTAAAGTGTTGAGCAGTCAAAATATTATTCATGAATTAAACGAAAACCGAAAGATGATAATAAAATGAAAAACTAGTGAACTACTTACTCGAATCTCGAGCTTTGTAATGAATTTCGGAAGGCTTACAATTGATAATTCAGAACACATGTATCAATTTCAAGCATACGGAACTGACTTATCAATTTTAAAACATCCACCAATATTTCAACTTCCATTTACTTGAAGAATCAGAAGAAATCGAAAGCCCTTTTTTGCGGAATCACACTTCATTAATCATTTATTTTACATTTTATAAATTTGTTTTTCCACTGAGTTTTCGATGAAAAATTTATTTAACGAGTTCTGCGATGAATGTCGGATGAATGTGCGATGAATGTCGGCTTATAATTGATAAGTTACACTGGATGCATCAATTTCAAGCATACGGAACTGACTTATCAAATCCTCAAATATTTTATTAACTTCCACTTACTTAAAGAATGACAAAAAAATTAAAGTTATTTATCGTGAATCACAATCGAAATCATATCTCAATAAACCTAAATCAACAGGAAGATTACGTTCAATTTTCACTTCATTTCAATCACAATTTATTTAGTTTTTCTATAATTAATTGTTATTTTCACTGAGCTTTCAATCAGAATGTTTTTTTGATGTAAAGTTCTGTGATGAATGTCGGAAGGCTCATAATTGATAAATCGCTGTAAAGCAACAATTTCAAGCTTCATACACTGACTTACCAATTTCAAGACATCCGACTTTGGTTCGACTTCTACTTTCATGAAAATTTTAATCACTGCACTGAACTCAAATCACTATTTTCAATGAATTCACATAAACTGAAGGTTTAGATATTTTATCTGTACACACTTTTAAGAATGAAAGCTCACCTACCTAATTAAAGGAATATTTTTGAGCTTTGTTTATTAATTTCTTGTTTCAAGTTATCACAAATGTCAACTTCTCTTACTGTTTACCTTTTTCACTTTTTCTTTCGACTTTTCCTGTTGAATATCTGATGCACAATGAACATATTTTTGACATGATGCTACTTTTATAGGCAAAAAATCTTTCGATTGTTGCGATACCATGATTTTAAACTAATTAATCTATCAACTATCTATGCTTCAAACAATATGCAATCGATTTGGGTTGAACTGAAATAAAAAAGCATAGAGAGAAATTTTAAAACGATTGAACTTAAAAGGATTTTTAAACTCAATTTAATTCATGCTTTCACCATATTTAGGCCTTCGCTACTATATTTTCGATGAAACAAAACATTTTATCCGTGAACGTTATGAATCTTCCATAAATCGCGAATTTTTTATTGTGGTAGAGTAGATAATTGAATTATGAAAAATTGAGTTACACATTCATATTAAAAGGATACAAAACTGATGGTGTAAAATATAAACCAAGATTCCTGCATTATGAGAGACTTGTGGAAAAACCATAAAAAACATAACTGCATCAAATCTGCAAAGGACTTTCATGATGGATTGTTCAGAGATGCAACATAGGTAATTTCATTTAAGGATAGAAATGTTTGTGATCAGAAAATACAACAAAATAAGATGTTGTGAATGGTGCTCAATGCACCATTCTTCACTCGTACGACTGACTTACATAAGGAAGCGAATGACATACCAACAATACGGCAATTTGTGGACAAACTGACAAAACAATTTCATAGTAGAAGCCTTCTAGTCATGAAAATAAGCTAGTTAAGAATTTGGGTAATTATGACATTCATAACATGGGATTCAGGGTGAAACATCGCCTGCCCAAAAATTTCTAGTCGATGTGACTTGCAATATTTTCTTTTATTTTACTTATGCTATTTCGATTTTATGTATTTATTTTATTTACTCTTTATTTTTGTTTTAGGTTAGGATTAAGTTTGCTTTTTGTTTTTTAATTAATTTTAGTGCACATTTTTGTTGTGATAGAAGAAAGAGAAGGCGAATCTCGCTCTCTCGTATTTGAGTAATAAAACTAGTAAGAAGTAAGCGGAAACAAAATAATTATTTTAGTTATCTTCATCCATCAATTTAGATCTTTTAAGATCATAATAGTGGCGACGAGGATAAAAGTGATAATAATAAAAATATATTCAAAAAAGTTTTTGAAAAACATCCCCACCTCAAACTCTTGATGAAAATCCTTGTAAAAGCAAAAAATAAGTTCCTTTAAAGGTTTCTTAAAATTTATTGAATTTTGTTAACTTGAAATCTCATTTACCAAGTTTGAGGGTTTAAAGCCCCAGAAATCATATAGTGAGTTAGGTATTTAAAATGAGGGCTTCAAACCCTCAAAATTGGTAAATGAGATTTCAAGTTAACAAAATTCAATAAATTTTAAGAAACCTTTAAAGGAACTTATTTTTTGCTTTTACAAGGATTTTCATCAAGAGTTTGAGGTGGGGATGTTTTTC